TCTCTGCATATCTTTCTTATTCATATTCGCTCATACCTTACATTCTTTATTACTGTTAATGTAAACTTTATTCACTTTCATCTTCAAATAGTTATCCTATATAATTAGTTGATCTTTTTGGTTACAATTCTGATTTAATTTCTCCTCTTCTCATTTCAAAATATTATAATTATTTTTCATCTACAAACTACCTATCTAAATCAAAATCTTTAGGTAAAGCTTCTGGTCCTCTAGTAACAGGTCTTTTTTCAGGATTGAAATTAGCATGTCCATTTAATTATATTTTGATAGGATATTATGAATCTACTAGAAGCACATTCAAAGATGAATTAACTCTTCCAACATTTTTAGGAGCAAAAGTAACAATGAATTATCTTTTCATTTATGGTCCTAATTAGTATTACAATGGAGAAACTAGAAATTGAGGAGCCTTACTGAAAGTAACATCAATAGTTTAATTTTTATGAGTATTTTCAATAACAAGAATAGCATCTCTAGTATCATTAACTTAACATTCTCCAAATGCTAAAGCTTATTTATTGATTTTAACTTGTGGTCTAATATGTTTACCTTATGCATGAACTATAAGAGTTTCTTCATTGTTTTCTCCAAAAAATTCAAAAAATAAAGAATATCCAAAATCTAGAGGAGCTTCATATTTTAAATTGTCATTAGATTTATCTTAGAATGAATAGTTTTCACATCTCATTTTTCCTTCTTCAGTTACAGGACCTTTACATTCAATTTTAATAGGCATTTATGCATATGGTTCCATTGAACCTTTTTCTGGTGTTACTCTGATTACTTTTTCAAGCCATTCTAAGCCAACTTCATTAGGTGTTTAAAATCCTCCTACTGAAGATGTCATAGTATGAAAACCCTTTTTTATTAGTACTTTCCAATTTTATTTAATTGGAGTATTATTCACTAATGATCCAAAATATTATTTTGGATATCCCATAACAAGATCTTAAAAATCAATTGTAGTACTCTATGCTTGATTTTAATCTATAAAAAATATTGAATAATCAACAGCAATGCAAGAGACTTCAATAGTTTCTATAGTATTATTCCAATGTTTAATGACTTAAATACTTGATCTAAAAATGCTTGCTTAATTAGTTTAATATTTAACTGTTATCTCAACAATTTTTCCTGGTTTTACAAGAAAGTTATGTGTAGGTTCAAATTTAAGTTTATCATTTTTTAAAGTGATTTCAGCTGTTAATTCTTTTTCTATTTCTGGATCTTGTTCTTCTATTTATTTTTATTTTTTTTCATCCTCATCATTAGGAACATTTTTAAATTTGATCTTACCTTCTTTAAGTTTATTTATCTAACAATATCCTAAGTCTAGAAAAGTATCAAATTTAATGAATGGTTGTGGTTTCAATCCTGATAATTTTACATTAAATTTAAAGCCATCTTCTGAAGTGATTACAAAAACATCATGATAATCCTCCACTACTGTACATTCAAAATACACCACTAATATCATAGATAAACCTGCTGCTAATGAGCCTTGCATATCATAATCTACTCTAAATCGAGCAGTTGTTGGTTGAGTAATTCTAATTCTTCTTGGAATTTTTGTAAGGTTACGCACAATTACCTACTTTTATTGAGCAATCTGTTTGCGAATATTGTAAAATCTAAGTTACAACTATATATATATACTATTTACATTATATGATCAGGATTTATTTCAATAACCTCATTATTTGATAATGAATCTTTATAGTGTACATCCCGATTTATTTATTAAGTAGTTGGACGAAATTTAAACCCTGTCGATGACATTGTCTTTTTCTATCTAAAACCATCACCAGCTGTTTAAGCCCTATTCATTATTAATTAATATATATCAAATATTTGTTATTTTAAAATATTATCTACATTAGACTTCTTATATTATTCAATCAAAATATTTATATAACATCATTGAGAATTCTTAATCTTATTAATAATCTAGAAAAAATATTCAAAAACACAAAAAAAATAACTGATTATTTAATCAAATTTCTTAACCTTACTATGGTAAAATATTTAATATAAATTAATCAAAAGTATTTACGAGTATTTTTTTATACAAAATTTCATTGAATCAATTACTATAATAATTAAAAAAAAGAAATATTGAAAAATGAGTATTTTTAATTAATTTATTTGTTTGTATCAGAAAATGTTTAGAATTAAATAAGAGTAAATGAATGTGTTTAATAATATTATTTAAATTAAAATATGTGAATAAACATAATTTTTAGTTTGTTTGTTGAAAAAATAGATAAACATTTCTAATTCATTTTTGAGGAAGAAATGAAAATTCAATTTGAAATATTTAAAAAAAAGTAATTCTCTTCACAGGAGTCAGCAAATCAATAAACTACTCATTCGTAGATTGTAAAATATTCGTAAGCAAATAGAATATTAAATTATTTTAATAAATAATATCCTAAAATAACCCTTAATAAATTCAGTTAGATTTTTAAATGGAAATTTGATAAAAAAGTTTATTGAATAATGATCGATTTATGAGATATGGTTTAGAAGCACATTTTGGCAAAAATTAATTTGAACCAATTAATCTAAGTTAAAAATTAATAAAAAGAGTAATTAAATTGAACTACCATTATTAAAGTGATGATAAAGTCTTAAAGTGATTAACTTTAGCTTCAGTTCCTAAAAATATGTAGATTTTCAATTAATGCATTAGGTGACCTAATAGAATATTTTGAATAAGAATATATACTTAAAGTGTTTATAGTAATATCAAATTAAGTCTTATTTTGAATTTTCAAAAGTTCTCAAAACAAACAGGTATTGTTAGAAATATGGTGTTAAAGTATTATAATCACTATCACTATAAATGATTATATTGACATTCTTTACCTACCTTACAAAGGAATATTATTACTGATGTCTTAATTCTCCTTATAGTATTCTTATTGCATAAGGATGATTGATAATTAATTGGTAGACAGAAATTATTATGATAATTAAAATTATCTCACATCATATAGAAAAGTGAACAATTATGAGATTATATAATGGATTTATTAAGAAAGTTTAAAATGAATAGTAATGAATTATAAGTTTATTGTTATTCATTAGGGAAATTTTAGCAATAAAAAAAAAGAATGAAGTTGATTTAATCATAAGAAAACAAGAATATCATTCTTACAACATTGTTTATTAAAGACTTTAAAAAAATATTCTTATTATTAAATATCATGAAATAAAAACTTTTTCTGATGAAAACACATTCTTATGCATTAGATCATAGTTATGGTCCTAAATAGAATATGAATTCTTCCTAGGTTAGTCGTTCTATTTAGCCATCACCTAGATCATTAGCTTCTTAGAAAAGTCAAAACAGTGTAATTGAATTACCCACTCGCTTATAAAGTTAGGATTTAAGTGTAATTTTAGAATCTGAGCAAGATCCTTAAATGAAACGTAATTATAAATTTGAAATGAAGGATATAAATATCAATGCAAGAATCCATAATTGGTGAGATTAGAAAAGATTTAAGAGTTAGTTTACAATAAGAAATTATAGAACAAATGTAAATATACAGAGAAAAACAGAAACATAAAAAAAGCAGTGTCAGTTCCGAAAGGTAGTGTGTCTATAATGTTAAATAATTAAACATAAAAACATTCTAATTTCAATCTAACCAAAAAAGTAACTGCTAGATCAAAGTTTAAAATGAAATGGAAAACTATATAATGGCTTTTAAAAAATAGAAAAGAAGCTATTACTTAGCTATTTAGTAATTATCAAGTTATGGTTAAATATGCAAAAAAGAAATAAAATGGCCTTAATAAAGCTGAATTTACAGATTTATTAAGTGTTGTAGGATTAGGTACAGATCTTTCAGAAAAACTATTTTATGTTTTTGATGAAGATTAGAGTGGTACAATCGATTATAAAGAATTGATTGTGGGATTAGAAGTTTTTAAGGAAGATTCTATTGAAGAGAAAATGAAGGTCTTTTTTGAAATTTGTGATACTGATGGTAGTGGATCTATTTCTGAATAAGAATTATATAATGTTTTAAAATTAAACATTGCTTCATTTAGTGATAGATAAAAATTAAAAAAAACTATATCTAAAATCTTTATGGAATGTGATATCAATGGAGATGGATAACTCGACAAATAAGAAATTTTAGAAGCAGCAAAAAACAATTTCACTTTAAGATAACTCTTATAATAAGGAATAAGGGATGTTAAATAAATTGATAATCTTATTGATAATGATCTACATGAAAATTTCAATGAATGGGTCCCTGCATCAGCTAATTTTGTTAACTATAAAGAAGGCATTTTCTATCCCTACAATGATAAACTTTTATAAGCATTTAAAGAAATGGAAGATGTATAATTTTATTATTTTCTTTAGATTTATGATAAAAAAGAAAAGATTTTCAAATATGTTCATAGAGATGAATAAAATAATCTTGCAAATTAGGATGCATGAATTTTTCATTTATTTAAATTTGTTTTCCTCAATATTTATTACTTTTATCTTTATTTATTAAAATTTTTATTAAATTAACTATCTAATATTAGATCATAAAATAATATTTTGAAAAAGTTATTTAAAGTAATCCCTCTACTTTATAATGATTTAATTGTATTTATATGTTCATCTGTATGAAATGTTAATATTTATGTTTAATTAATCTAGTAAAACATTGTTTTCACTTTAGAATGTTAAAACGAAAAACATATTAGATTTTTTTTTTTAATTTCAAGCGTTAATGATTAATGAATTAAATTTTATCCTCCAAAAGAATTAAAATATTGATATTTTTAATAAATGATTGAGAGGAGATTTTATCTAAAAGTTGAGTATACAATTATTTTCATAGATAAGTATATAGAGCAACTGATAAGATTTACAAATAATAAAATGTTGGTTAAAATAAAAGATATAGAATAAAAATTTATTTAATATTGTAATATTATAATTTATTATTTTATTTATTTATATCTCAAATCCAAATACTGAATATAAGAATGCTCATAAAGATGATAATAGGATTTGATCCAGTTCTTTCTGGATCTATAAGATCATCACTTAAACTGTAAGTTCTCCTTTCAGTTGGAAATGGTCTTCTTCCATCAACTGGTCTTGCACCTAAAAATAAACGATTTTCTCTTTAATATAATAAATCATTTTCTTTGATTTAGCTATCCTTTGTTAATCCAAAAGCTGGGAAATCTTTTTAAGTTAAATTTGTTTTTTAGTTTACTTTGAATGGGTCTATGCCTTAAGGTAAGTTTTAATTGAATTATGCTGCCAATTATTCAGTTTTTGGTGTAAGATATAATTCATTGACAATAAATTATGCAAATTGAGCTCCTGAAACAACTGCAGAAGCATCACCTTCCCATTCAAGTTTACCAACAATTTCAAATTCTGTTAATGCATCTGTTTATCCTGGTCCAGGGAAGCTGGTTACTACTAAGTTGAAAGATGAATCAGTTGGAAAAGTAAACTGTCTGGTTTAGAAAGTCGTAGTAACTTAACCCTAACTATCTAATCCAGGTCTAACTTCTTTTGCTATACTAATCCAAACTCCTTTCACAATTTCTTATTTAAGTTCTTCTAATGTTAATGGAGTTGTATCATCAGAGAAAGGAATTAATGGTGCACATAAACCTCTTGATGGTTAATCTATTGATGCTTCATTTCCTAATGCATCAACATCACCCATATAAAGATAATTATCTTTAATATATAAGATATCATATCCAATGAAATATTGACCTGCTAATTTATTGAAAGCAGGAACAGATAATAAAGTTATATCTTAAGGTTTATCTTTAACCCAAGCTATATTTCCTTTTTCATATGAATTGAATGTACTTACAAGATCATCTGTATGAAGTGTTAATACTAATGATTTATTCATATGAAATTAGCAAAGGAATGCTCCTTCAATAACATTACTTGCACCTTAGAATGTTACAATTCCACTTCCATCAAAAGTCATGATTCTATTTGCACCAGATTTATCACTAAAGCGTTCAAATTTCATTAAAAACTCAGAATTTTCTGTAAAATTCCATTATCTTCTTTCATATGTGGGAAATACTTCTTCTCCTTATTAAGATGGCACCAATTCTAAAGCAATACTTTTCCATTCATTAATCATTTTACTTTTTAATTCATCCAATGTCTATGATTTTATTGACACCATCAAAAAGCTCATCAGTAATAATAATTAGTAAAATTTTGAAGTGTTAGTCATTTTTTAATTTAATTATCTTTTTCTTTTGATTGCATTCAATTTTTATAGATAAAAATAGAGAATTTCTGAATTCCAAAAAAAAGATTAGTATCTGGATAAATTTTAATTCAAGTTAAATTTTAATGTTTACGTATTATAAATATTTTAATTGTAAATAATTTTAATTTTATTTTTAATAAAAGTTTGAATTTGCCTTTTTTTGTATTTATAGAAGTCTTGTAAGTAGAATGAAAAATTGCTGATTATATAAAAACAGTTAAAAATTAGTTTCTTAAAAAAATTTTAATAATAAATATTTAAAATAATAAAATTGCCTAAAAAAATTATTTTCTCCTAATTGGTCTCTTTATTATATTTATTATGGTATTAAAGAAAAAATGTTAAAATATTATGAAAATTTTTAATGAATGCCTCTAAATACTTTAATATTAGCTCTTCTAAATTTTTAGATAATCTCAAAAATTCACATCCTAAATTAGTATTAAAACTAGGAAATATTCTTTTTGGATTCAATTATTTTTAATAGAATATCATTAACAATTGTTTTTTGGATGGAAGAAAGACTTTATTACCCAAAGTGAAAAATAAAATCATAATGAAAAATTAAAAAGCGGTTTTCCTAAATAGATTCGTTTCAAATCATTGATCTTCTAATAAAAATCAATTATCTGACCATTTAATATTTTAATTTATTATTTAATTGTTTATCCTACTTAAAAAAAATTAGAATCTTTTGTTTTGTTAATTTCCAGTTATTAGATATTTTTAAGACAATGTTCAGATTTAAGGAAGGATAGTGTATTTAAAAGTGTGACAATAGGAAATAAATTTATTTATCTTAAATTGCCTTAAAATCGTACCAGATGTTATAATAATATTGAACATCCCTAATTTGATTTAAAATTTATAATTTAAAGTTATGGTATAAGATTTTTAATTAGTGAAGAAAATTTAGAAATAACTTAAAAGATTAAATATTTTAATTTTAGATGAAATATATTATTATACAATAATTAATTTATCCTTAAGAATAAAAATAGAAATCATAATAATAAATTAAAAAATATAATAAATAAAGTAAATAAAATATAGAAATGGAATAATACTAAAATATTTTAATTATAAATCAACTAATTGAATAAAACTTTTTGTAATATCTCATAACTTGTTATTCTTGACCTCCACATGGTAATAATTTGGTTGGAATATTGAGTGGTCTAAGAGTATTAGCACTTACAAGCATTAGTGATGAAGAAAGACTCAAAAAATCAGATAATAGAGTTTCTTAAATATTTAATTTGGTAGGTTATTTAAGAGTATTATCATTACAACATCTTCTAAAATCATTCAACTCTGCATCCTATATTAACACATCATTATAAATTTAATATAAACTAATTGTTGCTGATGATGAGAATGTTGGATAACTATCTAAACTATTTAATTAGTAGTAATACCTATGATATGAATAAATTAATCTTTTACAAATTGTGCATAATCGTACACATCTTCATAGACTTATATTTACATATTTTTAAAGGAAGGTGTATATAATGTGAGTAATTGAAGTCCCACATTAGATAAATTTTAAACCTTATGAGCAGTAATAACTACTATCTATGGATTGTCTAATTTTTCTACTTTTTCATTCTTAATAGCTTAATACAATTCATGAACTGATGCTGTTTTCTATAAATATGAATAGTAGATCTTAATTATAGAGGATTAAGCACAAATATTCTTATTTAGAAAATGTTCTGCTATCAAAGATGAAAGGGGTGTATATTCTCTTAATGAGTAATGCAAAATACATAGAGCATGCATATTTAATTTCTATTCAAAAATTTAACCAAGAACCTCTATTATAACTTATTATTTTTATACTTGGATTCTCAATAACTGCTTCTGATAGTATATCTTTTGCAACTTGTAAATCAATTGATTCATCTGTAATTTAATGAATCAATTCTTATTTTACATTCATTATCATCAATTTATTATATTATTGTAAATTACAGTTAATTTTATAATTAGATTTCCAAAACCTTCCTAATAAACAATAAAGTAAAAAACAAAAATCTTTAAATATTAACCCTTTTTGATAATTACATACTAATTTATACTTTATTTTTTAAAATTGTTATATTCAAAGATGATAGAATAATTTTAAGAAATTAGTAAAACTTGAAAATTAAGATGTCATTTCTACACGAAATCATTTCACAAAAATAAATCCAATGGAACTAGGTAAATATTTACAAAAAAAAGGATATAAATATAATATAAATCTCTATCATTAAATAAGAATTTTCAAATATGGGATAGTAGTAACAACACAATCAGATTGATTTTCCCTTAATACAACAGCAGTCTTTTTTATATTTATCTTCTAAAAATAGCTAATATTCTATTCCAATAGATCAACCAATATATGAGATATCATTTTTTGAAAACATTCCTACTAAATCATCATAAAGTCCACTAATTAGTTAAATTATTTATTTTACCCTCCAGAAATAGGTCATTATTATCCTCCTAATAAAACAGCTTTTTATATCTATTCAGTATAATAATCTAATCTTCTTGGGAAAGAGAGATTAAAAATCACATTTTTTAATCCATTCATATATTTCAATAAATTAAATAATAACTCTATTTCTTCTAAAGCTTCTTTTCCTTATATTATTCAAATTTCTTTTATTTCTTTAAGCTATTAAATCATTTAAAATGATTCTCCTCTTCATTATACTATTTTGCTTAAAGCATCTGCTTATTATTCAGTAATACCTTTTTTCTCAAGTGATTTTTATCTAATTTCTTTCAATGTTCTCTTCCTTATATTTACCTAGTGATGTTTCCTTTAATTTAAAAACTGGAGTATCTATTTCAAATGCTCCATGCTATTCAAAAAATTTTTAATTATCTTAATGCTTATCTTCTTATACCATTTATAAAGGTAAGAAAAATCTTGTAAATTTTATTTTGGATTTTTTACTGTTAATTATTCTTCTTTCTGATTCTATTCTCCTTATTATTATTATTATTTTTATAATGCTTTTTTATAAACTTATTCCTATTTTTTAATAGATTAATTAAAAATTTATAAATAAATTAAGAAAATTAAGATTGAAATATTGGTTATATTCTGGTTAAACTTAAATTAAATATTCTTTTAGATAACATAATCCTTTTATTAAATTTATTAATATTAAATTTAAAAGAATAATATTTATCATAATTATTTTAAAGAACTCATTGTCTTTGGCTCTAATAAAATTTCATATGGAATTAGAGTTAAGCTTAATCTCATTAGTTTCATTCTTACACTAACATGCTTTAACCAAAAATATGATACTGAACCTAATATTATTAATAAACCTAGCCCTGTTATATAAATATATAATTGCATTATTGTTGTTGCTTATTATAATTTTGATTGATTCTATTCAAACAAATTATCTCCAATTATTGACAATAACTTTCCAGAATCAAGAAAATATTCTACAAATTGATTTATATGAATTTATGTTTTTAAAAACGAAATTGCTTCTTAAGTAGTTTTCACTTGTAGTTGCTTAAGTAAAATTTCTTTAGAAAAATATAAATTTAAAGTCTTTGTAAACTCTTAAACACAACCTGTAATACCTCCAGATAAATAATCAAAATTATTATCTTCTAACCATGGACTTCCAAAAGTTGTTTTAAAAGAATCAGGAACTTAAAAATTTTGATTTGAAACTCTAATAGTACAAAATGGGATTTCTTCAGTCATGTAATTACAAAGACTATCTTCAAAATACATCAATAATTCTTTTTTTTAAGCTTCTAAAAGTCCAGATTAACTAGCCAGTGAATCATAAATATTTCTCATAGAATCTTGAAATCCATCAGTTTATTCACTAAAAAGATCTAAAACTAATTAATTTTTCATATCTATATTGATATTCCAATATTTAGTTGTTAATTCATTACTAATTATTTATTAAGTTTTTAGAAATTCTCCTAATACTATGAGAGTATCAAATCTAAGTTTAAATCTGATTAATTATAAATTTAGATTAAGTGTAGGTTTAATGTCTGAAACTTAACTAATAGTTACCAGAATACCTCCAATAATGAATAAAATAGCTAAAAACCATAGGAAAAAGAGAAAAATATAATTAGAAGGATAACTAAGTGTTATATCATATATTCTCTAAGCTAAAGAATTACTTTAATATGATCTTTTAGTTTTAATTTTTGATTTTTAACCAGATATTTCATTTGATTTAGTAACTGATTAAGTTTTAACTGATTTTGCAAGTAAAAGACTTGTAACTTATTAATTTTATTAAACTTAATCATAATTTAATTCAAAATAATTAACTCTTTTCCACAAAAGTTATGAAGGTTCAATTAAAATAGTTTTAACATCAGTTAATTTTTACATAATTTCTTCAGCTCTTTTATGAGATACTCTTGTTATCAACATTAAAATTTATCGTTCATATTGTGTTAATAAATACATATTATACAATATATAAAATATAATACCAGTGTTAACAGCAATAAAAGTCATAGTCAATATAACTACATCATTTATTATTCTATCTTCATAGTAAACTAGATTTTCATTAAGTAAAGTAATATATTTATATGCAAAATTGTATACATAAGGTACATTCAATCTAAAAAAGAGGCAATCTGAAAAAATAACACCATTTTAAACATTATCGATATAATTAAAAGAGTGTAATTGAATTTATTGTATTAATTAAGTTAAATCAAGCTATTATTCTGAAAAGGATATATCATTAATACTAACTAATTTAAGTTCATCATTCATAATTTACTCTTCAAATTATATAATACCTTTGTATAATTCATTTAATTTTATATCAATTATTTATCTAGTTGCTTGAAGTTCTTCTATCTATTATTTTTTAATGAAATCACTATATTCAATTATATCAAGTCTTTCTTATAAACTAATCCAAGCAAAGAAAGCAACTTTTTAGAAATAAAAATTTAATGTTTCTGGATAGGTGACATAATTGATATTAGTTTATAAAATGTTATAATTATCTAATATTTGATTTTAAAATTACTTTAAATGATGCTAAGTTTAACAAAAACTAAACAAAATTATAAGAGAAGATATAATAAAATAGCAAAAATGACAGATTTGAGTCCTCCTCCAAAAGTACTTACTTAATACAAAGATCTAACCAATAATGATGGTGATTTAGATGTACTAGTTCTTGATGAACTTGCAATTGATCTTTTTTTCTTGTCTTCTTCATCAATTTCATTTTAGTTTCTATAAATTATATAAATTATTAAATTTACTCTTATAAGATTTATTTATTTTCAACTAATAATTATAAAAAGTTTTTTTTATTTATATTTTAATTTGAGGAATGTTTGTCAAGATTGTCTTCTATTTCTTATTATGATTCATCTTTATCTTTAAACTCATCACTTGATTTTTCTTTTTGAAATTGTTTTTCTTCTATTTTTAGATGTTTTTCCTATTATATATGATTTTATAATTATTACATCAAATTATTTATGAAGTTAAAAAAATTCATCTGAATCATTATCTTAATCTTTTTATATTGGAATACCACTAAAATCTGGTCTATATGCATTTTTATTTAAAATTATTTCAGATGGAGGAGCAGATACATCTTAAATTTCTATTGCATTAGGTTTATCAAATAATCTAACTTAAGAATGATCATTTCCAAATAATAAATTACTATCATCTTATTAAATTAATTATTTAATTTTTTCATCTGTAATTTTATTATTTTTATTTATTTTTTTATTATTTTCTAATTCTAAATTAATTCTGTCTGGTTAAAAACTAACTGGTTTAGTATCATTAACTGATCTATCTGCACTAGAAGGAACTGTTTCATTTAATGATTTATGATTTTATGCAGAATTAAACATTGTTGTAGATGCTTCAAAATTTTATCCCATTGTAGGATATTTATTAAAAAATTTATGTTAAGAATTAATCTCATTCATATGTTCTAATTCAATAACAAAGTAAGGATAAGAATATCTTTTAACTTTCATCATTTAAAAGGACATTTTTATTTTTGTTCTAATTATTGAATACTTTAAATTTATATAATAATTAAATACCTTTTCTAATTAATCTTTATTTTAATTCATAAATTGATAATGAAAGTTTATATTAGATTTATCAGCTATAGGTACTTTTTCTCCCAAAATTGTTGTACTACCTCTATCTAAACCAAATGAATGATCACTTCTCATAGATTTTTCAACAGATTTCCATGATCTCCATGAACTTAAATTTTAACTCTCTAAACCCTCTTAAAGTGTATTACCCATTTTTTCATATTATTCTCTAACAAATAAAGAATTAAGTTCAACTAAATTAGATGGAATATAAAATAAATGTTCTTCATCTTCAATAAATTAATGATCTAATTCACTTATTTTATTTAAATTTTAATTCAAAATAGTTAAGAATGATGGAAAAATCAAAAAGAAATGACAAAATTCTTTAAAAAATTCAATTGTTATATTTGGAACTTTTGTACTTATTGTTTTATATAATTCTTCACTAATTCCAATTATTTTACCTTCAGCATCAACCATTATCAACTAATTAGATATATTACATTTTAGTATAGATGCTGTAATTACATAATCATCCAATTCTTCAAATAAATTGCCTAATTTTACATAACATTTCTCTATAAATCCTTTTTTATTTTCATAATACCCAGAAATTTTACGAATAAAATATTCACTATGTCCTTTTTAAATAAAAGCATCAATTAAATATTCATGACCTTTCATCATAGTTTTTGGTAATAAATTATGAACTTAAGATACAGATTCTTTAAAATCATTTGCATCAATATAATAAAAGAAATTAGCTAATGCCAATTAATTTTTATTAACTATCTTTCCTTTATTCTTAACTATACTAACCAAAATAATAGTTGTTGAATCATTGTAAAGTGAAATATTATCAATAATATCAATTTCTTTTTATCTATCATTTGATGTTAAATCTTTTACATACTATTCTACATATATAGACTAATATATATCATATTATTACTCTGTCAAAATCATTCATCACTAATGAATAAAATAATGAATATAATTTTAAGGTTATTACATTTATGTTAAGTTAAGCATGACTTAATTTCTTTACAGCAATACCTTTTGTTGTTGTTGTTTTCATATCGAACCATTCTTAAGGTACTCCTATATATTTGTCTAATGCAATCCTAAGCTAATCATATGTCCATACATTACATTCATGATTTTTTCACATAACTTTTATGTATTTGATTAAAATGGATTCAAACTAGGATATCCATTTATTAAATTTTACCAATGATCTATTTTTTAATCTACCAAATTTGTATATGTTTATAATAAATTTTCATATAAATTTTATGTTTACCATTATTATGTTAGAGATATTTCTATAAGTTATGTTCTTTGTTCATGAATCAATACAGCCTTTGAATTTTATCTAACTTAATTATCCATTATTTGCTTTTTTAATTAATCTGCTAATTTATTAGTTATCTCAATAAAATAAGTGGAATTATTATTTAATTTATTGTTCTAGTATTGTCTTAATTCTAAATATCCTATTAATGGCTTTTAAGCTATTTCCGATACAAAACTAATATACTATAATTACAACTGCTCAAATTATAAATCTGCATTTAAATTATGACTATTTTATTAATATAAAGAGTACATAGAAAACAGCCAGTTTTGGGCTGCCTTAAATATACATTTGATTATGCTCAAGGTCAATATGTTTAGATCTTTTTTCTAATCAACGTTCAATGTCTCAAAGCGTTTGAGTTTGGAATAGCATTTATTATTCTTACAATATAAACGATGAATCATTAAAAACTAAAAATATTACAATTGAGCCTAAGGGTCCTAAATTCAATTGCAATATTTTTACTTTTAAATAATCTGTATGATATTTGTAACATTAATCTACAGCAATTATAATATGTTTCTCTTCTATTTGAATACTTGAATTATAATTTAAAATAGCATGACTTTAAAATAAAGAGGATAAGGTTTCTCCAACAATTGCTAATCCTGGTAAAGGTAGAACAATTAAGAAAAATAAATTGTCTTAATCGAAAAAATTAAACTTAAATGCAGTAACTGCTAGGACTATCCAAGCATATACAAATGCTAATCTTATTGAAGGAACACGGATTGGATCTCTATAAGGGAAGTTTGTTAGTTAATCTATGATTTAGTTAATAGCAAAGAAATTTGCCATTGAATACTTAAGAATATCTGCTGCTTAAAACTATAATTTAAATGATTTGATTTTACTTCATAAACATAATGTGAAAATATCTCTATCAGAATAATTGTGTTATTTAGTAATAATAAGGAAGAATATCTTCGTTTTAAAGAATTAGGTTCATGAAATCTATGATTCCTCATTATGTAAATTAAGATTTATCCATTTATATAAGAAATTATTAATGGAGTAATTGCTAATATCTGAGTTCCTATTCCTATTTCACATTCTTATTTTGGAAATATACTTACAATATTGCAAGTAAGGGAACTAAAAGATATTACTGCTATTTGAAGATATATTACAGGATATAGAACAAAATACCAATGAAGTGTTTCATTAAAACTCATAACCCATTTCTATATTTAAGAATTCATGTTATCATTTCCAGTAATATCTCTTCTAATAAGATTAGCTGTCCAAATTCTTATGAATGTTGAAAAAAATAAAAATAAGATAAGTATCAATTGTGAGACAAATGAGATCACAATAATAACTAATGCCAAATTATATGTCATAGAGGATTATAAAGTGTTATTCAAAATGAAAAATTCTAAAAAACTTTTTGAATAAGTTAATTTAAAGTCGCTATAGTTTTTATTCTAATTTGCATTCACGATGATAGATAAATATTGAAAATGATTGATTAAATGGAGAATAAAATAAAATGAACCATCCATCTAATTTGATAAATTTGGTTGTTTACCTTAAAACTTGGTCTCTCCTCTATTCCATAAAGCATTGTTTGCATATAGCCTCTCGCAAATTTTCGAAATGTATTCATATTGTTCTACTGATACTAATTATTAAATATTAAATATTAATATAAATTATTTTAGTCTTTATTCTCAATTTAATCTTGCACAATGAATATTTAACAACAACAATAAATCATGTCTAATTAAGAATTTTATTTCAAAAAAAGTACGATCATAGAAAAAAAAAGGAACGATTTAAATTTAATTAAAATATAAACCATTATTAATAACGAGAATAGAAGTGTGAGTATAATAAAATTAAGAAATTTGCCCCACAAAGTTATGTTTTAAAATGTGTAAAGAAGGAAAAGGAAAAATAAAAGGCAATTTTAACTTGCCCAAATCTTTTATTTTATATTATTAAACTCATTTTCTACGTAGATGACTCATTGTTATTTTCTCTATTTTGGTTGGTTCGTGCAACAAGATGGAGAAATCTAGACTGTAGATCAGAGTGCCATTCACTCTTAATAGAAAAGTACGCCATACATGGACCAAAGTTCATCTCATAATTGTCATCGAATACATGATACTTATCCAAACTCATAGAAATTAGTTCACTTTCTGTACTATTTGCCTCAAAGCCTCGTAATCCTTAACTTAATACATTGTCTTAAGGTGCCGTTAGGAAAGTATTTGGAACAGTTTATTTGTAATCAATTCTTCTAATTCCACTTGTGCTTTATTCCTTGAAGAATTTAGGATAATACTTACTTCAAAGTAATTGAAACCTCTTGAATCGATGCCCCCTTATTTAGTAATGGCTTTAGATCCTTCTCCTACAAGAATAAGTGCAAGTTTGACATATCTTACATGAGTAGTATCTTTAGTTTTTAGATTTAAATTGACATTTCTCATTTCAGAATCTAGAACACAATTAATTTGAAGTGAGTAGGGTCCGTTTTCTGGATTGATTTTAAATCCAAGAAGAAAAGCACTAACTTTTGGTGATTTTATATTAGCATTAACAGGATTTGTAAATATATCTTCTCTTACACCAAAACCTAGTAAAGATAATATAATAATGTAACCTTGGCGAAGTTCTCTCAATTACATGAAATTAAATTCACGATAAGTAAGTTGTACATTTTTATCAACAAATGCTACCCATCTCACTTTAAGTTATTGAACTCTCGCTGGTCCTCCTAAACGATATCTCAATTCAAAACCTAAAAGGTTATCTTAAATATTCTACCAGATTTAGTCACTTATCCTAATGATAGATTTATATCGACATCCAAAATTGATTCAAATGTTACATGTTCATACATTAGCAATACTTCAGGTACTCTTTTAAGAGAGATACATACTCTGAAAATTGTTTATCAAATAATATTTCAATCTGAGTGTGGATTGGATAATTGCTGGTTAATGTTAATTACGGTTGATTTTTTATCACATTGTCTAAACCTGTTTGCCATTCAGCTCCAAAACTTAAAACCATTAACAAAAACAAATCAAATGTTTTCTTCATTATATATTAATAAAATGTAATTAATTGATGCCATTTTTGAGGATCAATTCAGACAAGTTCTAGTTCAACATTACAAATTAAATAAAATAGTCAGAAGACCTGATTGTCTATTTAAGGCATTATAGTCTCTAAATCAAATATCCCTAGAAGAATAATTAAAGTTTTACAATTATTTAGAGAAATAATTATTACAATCTTCCTCATTGTAAGCTTTAGCATTAATTCATAATCAAAATGAGCAAATTGTAGATTTACTCTTAGAGTTGGGTTTGACAAATGAACATGTATCAATTATACTTTACTTTTCAGCATACACAATACTTATTTCGGATTATTGATTGGTTTTTAAAAGCTATTACCTTGACAAAGAGAAATTATAAGAGCATGTTTATATTCATTAAAAACTAAATGTATAATTCTTAATTGACAAATGAAAAAGTTTAGAGATTCATATCATTATTATAAGTACTTTTTAATTTCCATTTTATAGAAAGTGTTTGCAGAACATAGTTATGATTCTCCATATTCCTCTTTTTACTTTAATTACATAGATAGTGGATTAGTAGTTGATACTAGAGAAATGAAATGGCTTTTCAACAAAGGCCTATCCCTCTAAACATGGCTCTATCCCTTAAAAATAAAATCTGAAGTTGATACTAAAATTATGTACTTAATGTCTGATAAAAAAAAAGGATGTCAGTTTATTTTAAATGGAAATAAATTAGTTTATCAATATGTGGATTTGAATTGTATCATTCATTAATTATTTAAATACAGCACCTCATCATGAAGTTCCTATAAGTTTAATCGAGATTCCTTATTAAGAATGGTCAACTTTAAGTATTCAGATTCAATTGAAAAAGTTCTTTATGTAGGAATCTTATTATCTCTATTTGACTTGCGGAAATCAATAACTTAGGGAGATCAAAATAGACTTTCCTGAAATTTCAAATGATTCTTCAGTCATAGAATTTTAATTTTTTACAAATTTTTATGGTTACGTAACTTGTTTATTAATTTATAATGATGGATTTGATGGGAAGTATAAATAACAATTATGCATATAGTGATTTAACCTGTGGAGACAAAAACTTAGGTATTTAATCTAATGATCACTTAAAAAATTTACATAAATAATATGGAAATAATAAATTAATATTATGTTACACTCCACTTAGAGCAAGAGCCAATTTTATTACTGATCCTATTAATTAATTTAACGGAGCACTATAATCATATAGTGGATTTTATTTAAGAATTACTTAGAAATAACAATTTTCATAATTTTGTAGGATTGAAAATTTTGTTCCTCTGTTACTTTTTTTAAGACTTTAACCTTATGATTCCTTACTTAATGAATTATTGACTCTAATTTGTTAAGTTATAAAATCAAGACCAGAATCACAGTAAGACGCAATAAGAATAGAATATTTAAGTTTGATAGCCCTTAAACTTAATGATTTTGGGCTTTCTATGATTAATAATTTAACAATTGAATTACTTTCATAATTACATAATTCTATATAGAATAAACAATTGAAATAGCAATTTTTTTGTAATCTTTTATGGAGAGTGTAAATTTATAAACTAGATAATTTTTCGATAATTTAAGATTACCTTAAATTTATTCGCGTGATTTATAATAGTAATCCTGAGTTTTGTATATAAATATTTGGTATAAGTAAAATATTGGAGATATTGATTTATGATATTGATCCAAAGAATAGATTATGTTGTGAAGAGCATGCAAATTAAATGGGATATACAAATTTTAAATTACCAACAATACCTCTTGCTTAATTAATAGATTCATATCTTAGTATAATTTTAATAAATATTCTTAGATATAATTGATGCAATTCTCCATTATAAATTATTTTAATCATAATCTAAGATAGAAAAATAAAACATTATAGATATTGCACGTGTTTTCACTTTGAAATGTTCTCCTTGTTTTTACTAATTATTATTGAAAAAGCTTTAAGGATTATTTCAATATGAGAATAAGAGCAATAATCCTATATCATAGATATTAATTTAAGAAGAAGTAATGTAAATGTTATTGAATTTATTAACAACTTGTTCATGTCCTGATGTGAAAACTAGTTGTATAAAATTAATAGCAGAAAGTATTCGTTTAAATTAATCTTCAAATGAAAAAGAAATAGCTAATTGGATTGCTCATACTCTAGGCAATAGTGCTGCAGTAGAAGTATTAGAGACATATTCAGATGATGAAGATGAAGATATTTAACCTAGAAAACCCTTGATTAATTAAGCTTTAGTCTTTCATTAATTAGAAGAATAATAAAATTCTATAGAGGAATAAAAAAAGTAGCATGTCATTTAAAAAAAAAAGATAGTCTAACCAAATAGAAGAATTATAGATTATGAACCTTTATATGTTGCAATTATGGAATGGATGTTGAGAACAAGAGTGGGAAAAACTAATTCAGATACTCTTCTTCTAGATGAAAACTTTATTATTAAATCAGATGGTGGACTATCTTTATTGATCAGTTATTTTCAATATTGTATAGATTCTGTTAAAGGACGTATAATGTAAGATTTATGCATGCTTATTAAATGGAATTAGGCTAGTGCTATGTTTCTATTGAATAATGAAGAGTTCCATTGGTGGATTTTAGAAACACTCTTGGAAATATAACATCAATATAATATTAGAGAGCTTTCTTAATTTGAATTCTGGGTTTGGGATAGTGGTTTAAAATTATATTGTAATGTTATCAAGGCTGCTATTCAAAATGAAAAAAATGGATTTTTAAGATTGTCAAATTTATAGAGTTAGTGTAGAGTAATCGAAGAATTGAATAAAGATAGGACTAATTTGTAGGCAACCTAATTATTAATTAGATTAATATATAAACAATTACTTTCTAGTTTATCGTAATTATAGTTCATTTAATTTTTTAGTGATTGTCTTAAGTTGGAATTGTTCTCAACCTTTTGGGTTAACTTATATTCTACTATTTTTGAAACATTTAGACTTGTAACAGCTGATCCTAGATCTATAGAAAGTGAACATTATTATTAATTCCATAAATTCTCATCTATTTCTTTTAAGTTAACAATTTCACAATAGGAAATGCCTAAAAGTAAATTATTATTTTATTATTCATTAAGAATGGAAACAATAATTTGGAATCATATAATGGGTTGATCACATTCTAATTGTGAATATTTGTGATATTGTTAATTAATTTTGTTCCAAATTTTCTCCTTAAATTATTAGTTTATTAGATGATTATTAGATTGTCTAAAAAGGAGTTTTAGGTATTTTAGAATAGAAAAATCAAACAGAATCATAAAAATCATTTGCTGCTATGATGTTTTAATTTGATATTGGACTAGAATAATATTAAAATCCTATATTTGTTTAAGTATGTTAACTCTTTCTTTAATTGAATGCTGAATACTTTGCCTTTAATGTTTAGAGTAGTGAAAATATCAAATAATTATAAGTTATATTGAACACAATGGATAAATTAATTAGAACACTCATTATATCATCTGAAACTTTAAGAGATAAGGAAATAGAAGAAATGCAAGATAAAATTGTCTATTCAATTATTGGATCACATTTCATTTTTCTATATTAAATGGAGGATAAAATTAAGGAGATTAATTATGATAAGGAAATCAAATAAGAGTTATTATAAATTGTAAGAAATTGTTTATTTTATTCATTTAAATTTTTAATTATTTATGTAGATTCTTTTACTTAAATTTTAAATAAAAATGAATCTTTTTAAGCACTTATTTTTGAAGGATATAAACAACACAAATTATATTTAATTAAAATGTTAAATGATTTAATTAAGAAAGACAGTTCTCATATATTTGATGTAAATGAAGCAAAATCATTAAAATTAAATAACAAACTAATAATGGAAAGGATGATATCAGCAAAATAAGTATTTGTAGAAAATAAAACTTTATTGTAAAAAATATAGGAATCATTTTTTATGAATGAAGAGTATTATATAAAAACTATTGATGATTTTGAAGAATTATATAAAATATTTGCATAAAAAAAGAAGACCTTATAAGATAAATTGTAATAATAGCGTTAGGGTATTGAGGAAGTGTTGTTTTCATAGATGTAAATAATAAGTAAAATTTAAATAGGATATCATAATCATCAACATATTCGTATGATTAAAAAATATAGAGAATAGATTCTGAATAAATTTAATAGAGATAAGCTCGATATATGTTTAAAAAGTCATTTAATAGAGTTAGAGTATTCAATTAATGGTGGGCACATCCTGATTTTAAGGCATAAATTGATAAACCATTTGATTCATTAGATATGCATTATGAAAATATCATATAAAATTAGATGTAAGGAAAAGAATTATAATAGATTTACATGGAAAATGTGGAAATATGAAACAAAATAAAAATCAAGACCATTATTGAAGGCAAAGTTATTTGATTACCCTTAGTTTGATAATGTAATGTAATCCCAACAATAAAATACAAGAATAATGAATTTAGCAGATTATGATAAGAAATAACCAGAAAGATAAAGAAAGAAAATACATGAGATAATCTTAGATACAATAATACCATTTTATAATTTATAGCATGAGGAAGATGAAGTTATTTTAAATAGAGTTTAATGGATAAAGACATTAACAGTAAGAATAGGTTCTCTTAGAATAAGTGATACTCATTTGATTTTTTATTTTGAATCAATTAATTAAAAAGAGACTCATTAAAGTTTAATAAAATTTAGAGTTCCTGAGGATTCATAATTAGTAAAGTAATGGGAGTTGGAATAAATTTATGATATCTAATATCGTAGATATATTGGAAGATGGACATCTTTGGAATTAACACTTTTAGAAGGTAGCACTCTTGTATTTAATTTTTAAATTGGAGATCATCAGAAAGCGATTGAAAAATTGATATCTTTAAAGAAAAATCGGACAATAAATATTAAACCTAGAATTCAATCTGGAAAATTGGATCCTATGAGTATTATGTTAGAAAGTAAGGCAATGAATAAATGGTATAATTATAAGATAACAACTTTTGAATATTTAATGAAAGTGAATAAGGTATCTGGAAGAAGTAATAAGGATTTAACATAATATCCAGTATTTCCATGGATAATGAATGATGGTGAACAGTTACATAAATATAGAGATCTCACTAAAAGTATGGGAGCTTTAGGTACAAAGGATAGAATTGAAGTTTTTTAATAGAGATATAATATGATTGATCATTTTAATAAGGTTCCATAATTTCACTATGGAAGTCATTATTCTAGTCCTGCTATTATATTTCATTATTTAATTAGATTAAAACCATTTTCAGATGGTGCTAAAGAATTATAATCAGGAAAATTTGATTTGGCAGATCGGTTATTTTTTTCATTTGTTGAAACTTACAGAAATGCGGTTGAAGAATTAAGTGATGTCAGAGAATTGATACCTGAATTCTTTTATTTACCTGAAATGTTTCTAAATTTATCTAAATATGATTATGGATTATAATAAACTGGTCAAAGAGTAAATAATGTTGAATTACCTATTTGGAGTTAATAGAATCCATATTTATTCATTTGTGCACATAGAATGGAATTAGAAAGTGATTATGTTTCATAAAATATTTGTCATTGGATTGATTTGATTTTTGGATATAAATAAAAAGGAGATGAAGCAGTTAAAGCTTTAAATACATTTTATTATTTAACATATGAAAATTCTATTGATTGGGATTCAATTAAAAATGAAAAATAAAAAATATCACTTGAATCATAAGCAATACATTTTGGTTAATGTCCAAGTTAAATTTGGGATAGACCTCATATAACTAGAGGAAAATTTAAAATTGTTTTTAGAATTGTAGATGAAAAGATTGATAAAAGAATCTTTAGATAAAAATAAAATAATCCATAAACTTAATCATTAAATTATTAAAGATCCAAATCTATTATTAGAATATAATTCTTAAGTGATAATAGAGTTTGGTTGATTCGTAGAAATGGAGAATGCGCTACTATTAAATTAGAATTAAAAGATAATAAGTTTGATCTTAATAATTAAAAAGAATAATCAATTAATTTTGGTAAATTTGTTGAAGAAAACTAAAATCTTTATGATTGGACTTGTAATTATGATGAATTACCAATATTATATAGAGGTAAATAAATTCTAGTTGGAGGTATTTGGGATGGAAGAATGTTAATATATAATAATGGTATCCTTTCTGAACAAAGATTTGAATAAGAACATACTATAACTGTCATGAGATTTGATTATAAAATGAGAATATTAGCTACTGGAAGTAAGGATGGCACTCTTATTATTTATAAAGTTATAAATAATACATATATTCCAATTAGTAAACATCATCATCATGATTAATCAATAACAGATATATTTATATGTAATGATTTAAAAGTTGTATTAACTTGTTCAAGTGACAGTTGGATTCACATGTATAATTAATGGTCAGGTAAATATTTAAGAAGCTACAGACATCCTAAAGGATTACCTATTTATAAAGTTTGTAGTTATTGTACACCTCTATATGGTATAGCTTTCTATGAAAATAAAAGTATTTATTCTTATAGCATTAATGGATAATTCTTAGCCCATTATGAATTAAAATAATATGTTGTCAATTAAGGACATCTTAAAGTTGTTAAAGACTCTAAATTAACTGATATTATTGTAAATACCATTTATATTTTAATAGGTCTTACCATTGTGTATGGAAAAGAAAATTTTGATGTTGACAACTCCTTTTCTCCAAAAAAGAAACGAAATTTAATTAACTGATTGTTATTAATCAATGAATGATATCAGTTCTTTCGCTTTATCATCAGATAGAACAATCCTAGCATTTGGAACTTCTGATGGAGAGTTTGGATTGGTAGTAGACTAGAGAATCTTTTAATAAGATTGAGATTTATCTGTATATCAATATAAATTATTATCATTCTATATTATTAATCTTATTCTTTTATTTTCCAAATCAAATAATTCAAAATAATAGCTACTATAAATTAATCAAAAAAAATAAGAACATTTGAAATACAATTTACAATAATTTAAAGGATTTAATGAGCAAATCAAAATAAATAATAAAATATTTAAGAAATACAATCGTATGTATATAAACTATATCTGAAATTACTGGTACTTATAATTAAAAATAATAATTTACGAATTTGCAAATTTTTGTATTTTTAATATTCTAATCGTTCATGGCTGTCTAAATTCAAATGCTTTGTTTCGTATTCCAAATTCTTAAGTTTTTCATCAGAAAGATCACCAATCATTAAAGAATAAATTAAATCAATGGATAATATAATAAGAAATTGGTTATAGATAAGTATTATCAATAAAAATAAGAGTTTGTTTTTGGATATAAATTAAAGAGTATTTCAATTATGAAGATTAGAGTTAATTGAAAAAATAAAGATAAATTAAATAAATAGATTAGAGTATATTGTTGTTGTTATCCTAAATAATATTTCTAACGAATTTTATTTCTATTACCAAAATTTGTTGTATAAATATGTTATCATAAATATAAATAAAATTATAATTGAAACTAAATAGAATGTATAAAAGCATAAAAATTTATGAAAAATAGTTTAATAATGCTAAAATTTAATTATTATTTATTTTTTTTGAAAATAATTAATGTTCATTACAATTATTACATCAACTCTCTTTTAATATGGATAAATTAGATTTGAAAATTTAATAATTGGCATTGTTCTTATAAGAAGAACTTTACCACATTATGAACCATTTCAAGCAGAACCCAAAGTTGATACTAAAATTATTATTAATAATAGTAATTTCAAACAAAATAATTTCTTATAAAATAATATAAACTATTTTATTTTAATTTATATGGCTATTCATCATCTTGCTTATAAAAAAAATCTACTGCAATTACTAATCTTAATTTAGTAAAAGTATCAATATCAAATCTATTCAATTAATGAAAACTTAAAAATTAAGAATGATTATTAAATTTCTTTATTATATATATGTGTTAAAATTATTTATTTATTCTTATTAATTAATTAAAGATATTTTAACTATTTGTTTATTGTAAGAAATAAATTATAATTTTATTATTTTTTAAAATAAAACTAATTTGTTTAATATATTAAAACAATTTTAATAGAATCAAAGTAATGCTATAAGGTTTGGTAAACTATTCACATCAATTTAATAATGTAAAATTCTAATAAAATTTCTAATAGGAGATTGATAATTTTTTTAAATAATTATTTGAAAAAAATTTTTTTCTTATTATCTTAAAATTATTAACAATAATTTTAGTACCAACTTTAGGTTTTGCTTGAAATCGTTCAGATTTTGGTAATGTTCTTCTAATTTAATAAAATCAACACATATCATCAGCCTCAATAATTAAATTTTCAAATCTAATTTTTCCATATTAATTGTCGATCTTTTATAAAACTAACGTAATCATTCATCATCGACAATAAAATCTACTGCAATTACTAATCTTAATTTTAGTAGAAGAACTTTTGGAGCTACACTCACTAGATACCAAATCTGTTCAATTTAACAAAACTTTAAAATTTGAATGATTTTATTATTAATAAATTTCTTTATTTAAAAACAACTTTAAATTTCTTTATTTATTCACATTAATTTATTTTATTTTTAATTAGTTATAATTTTATTATAGATATATTTATTTTAATATATTAAAAATATTCTTATAGAATTAAACAAAAGTTCTTAAGCTACTCTTTTTATTTCAAATAAAATAACAACTCTAATAATATTAATTTCAAATAAAATGCCTTAAATAGTTTTAATTGGAAAAATAGGATCAGGTAAAACTACTCTGTATAATAAAATTACTGGGTCAAATGAAAAAGTTTAATAAGGCGGAAGATCGGTTACTCTTGCTGCTTTCTAAAAGAATTCAATTTATGGTAGGGGATTTACAGTATTGGATACTCCAGGAATAGGTGCATAAGATGATAAAATGAAATGTTATGGAGGGATACTTGCGGCTTTATCTGAAGGTCCTTTAAATAGAATCATGATTGTTGAAAATCATGCACGTGTGGATTATATAGTGAAAGAAATTAAAGAAAGAACAAAAGTATTTGCAAGATACAAACCAATGATTACTGCTGTGATAACTTGCTTTGATTTTTCAGAAAATCCTCAGAATGACAAAGAGTTTATTATAAACAATTTAGCTAAGCTAAATATCAGATCTGTTATGTTTGTTGGAATAAAAGATTCAGGAATTAGCATCTGTTAACAAATTGATCAAATATTATTAAAATCAGTCTAATAATAAGTAGAACTATTAGATTCAGAATATTTAACACATTTTGACTTAAATGATTATGAAGATAAGGATGGTTAATTTTAATATTAATTAGAATGTGATTCAGAAGATTCATTGAGGGAATTTAGAAAAGTATTTAATATTATTTAATAAACTATAACTGAATTTCCTAATACAGAACCTGATCTTTCTAATAAATTATAAGCATTAATACAGTTTACTAAGTCATAAACAGAAGCGATAGTAAATAAGTTTTTGAAAAAAAATGATCATATTTATTAAAAACTTTTGGCAAAAGAAAATGAATTTGCTATGTATCTAGTTCATAATCAACTAAAGAAAGAATTAGCAAATGATATTGAAAAGATTGTTAAATTAACTTAAAAGAAGCTATAGAGCAATGCATAACATTGTTTTAATTATATAAAAAAATGTAATTTCTGCAATGCTATCTGGTTAAAAGTAGATGGGTGTGAAGGACTAACATATTGTGGAAGTGTTTCTAATACAGACATCCTTCAAAAGTAAGAAGAAGCTCCCCAATAATATGATGTTAAAATTGTAGGAATTAAAATCATTTTAGAAGTTAATTTGTTGTATTTAAAAAGAGTAGCAGAAATTCAAAAAATAGCTATAAAAGAAATTGTATATATCAAGGCTTTGGTTGCTTAGAAAGCATAAAAATAGAAAAGGAATGTTTTTAGAGCACAATCCGGAAAAACTATCACTTTAGGTGAATTTGGATGTGGTTAATTAATAAATTGGAATACAATGATACCATTAAATGAAGGTGAGTTAAATGAACTTGTAGATCCTGGATTAATTGATTATTATAGAATTTAAGATGATGAAGTATCAAGAAAAATGCATTTATATAAATAAGCATTAATTTCAAAGCTAGAGAAAGAAATTAATCTATAAAAAAATCACTTAAAAAATTAAAAAAAAATCTTATGATTTTTATGAATTTATATGTTTTTAAGTATTGAATTTCTAATTATATGTATTGATTTCTTCAATTTATTTGTTTAATTAGGTAATTTAATACATAATTTTATAAAACTATTACTTGAAAATAAATTTTTTATCAATATAATTATCATCCCATACTAAGATAACGAAAAATTTAAGAATTAAATTTAAAAATTTGTAAAGAACAATTCTATAGTCCTTTTATTATCCAAATTTCAAAAAAATTGAAAAATTTTGATAATTAGAAACTTATGATAAAACTATTGAAAAATTATATTTTTTAAAGTAAATGCTTAGTTTTACAAAAGATCGGCAATTATAACTTTTAAATTCGCTAATGATACTAAATTTGTTCAGTTAATGAATTTATTAAAATTATTAGTTTAATTTTTTAATTTTTTCTTAATTGTAATAAATTATTTATAACTTTATTAAAAGATTATTTAACATGCATCACTATATTTTATGCCTACAATATTTAAAAAATCTTGATTTGATATTATGAAGTTGATGACAAACAGCCAATTTAGAGAATAAAAAATGTTAATATATTAATGAATACCTCAATTTAGTTTAATTTTGTTCTATTTTATCTGACTCACTCTATCTACCTGGACAAATTCCAATACACGCCCCTTTGTTCCCAGTTTTATACCTGATTACTATTTTTATATTGTATTTTCTATATCCACAAGCTACCAGAACAATGGTTCTCCTTTTGTTCGTGAGCAAGTTTTTATTCCTCATTATAGATGGAAATAGTCTGGCGTTGATTGTATTAAGTGTAACTAACTTAAAAATAAAAATAATGAGAATATTTTTTTGAAGAATTCAAAAGTTAATATCATAGCTAATCTGCATATGGTTATCTGAGATAAATAAATAAAAAAGAAATCAAATTTACAAAGAATAAAAAAATGTCAGGATAGATTAAATATCTTTACTAATTTCAAACCACTCATTTAGAAATTAGATAATTTCTATTGATGCAACATTATGCTAAACATTAGTCAAGAGAGAATAATATTATTGGCCCTTAAGTATAATTACTTTAATAGAAGGGTACTTGAAGACTTTTTAGGTTATATTTAATATTGATAAGAAATGCTTATGCTAAGGTATTTGGCTTATTTTAGTCTAATTTATTTGTTTAATTAAGCTAAAGAAAAAAAAAAGAAAAGATAATTTTTACTTGTGCTAGGAATTCCGTTATTCAAGGAAGTTGTTTATTAAAATAGCAACATTTATTTTAACTCATTAGTCACCATAGTGAAACCCAATTAAGAACGGTTTGGGCTAATCTAAAGAAAAAACTAACTAAAAAACAATTAGAAACTCACCGAATTTTCAATGAATTTAATTGTAACAAGTCACTATTATTCCAAATTCTTTATTCAAAGAGATGGAATTTTCATTATAGATAAGATAAATGAGAGCTACGATGATATATATATATTATGAATAAATAGATTGATAATTGAATTATTAGCTTATATTCTTTTCATTTTATATTAACATTTACCTCATTTATTTCCTCTTTTTTAACTTTAAATACATTCAGTATTTGGTTCATTATCACCTAAAATAAGAGTTGCCAATTGACGATGAGAATATTTTATGTTTGTGTAAATCAATGCTGGAAGAATGCAAAACAATGTTTTATTATGTAACAATTGTAATTTTTCAATTCATGGAAAAATCCTAAATTAAAATATCTGATAGAATAAAAATAAATATCAAATAATTAATTTATATTGTATATTTTTTAATTTATTTTTTATATTGTAAATAGAGTAAAAAACATTAAATAATGTATCTTCAGGAATAATAAATGAGCTCTGAGAAGCAGTTTATCTAAAGACTAACTTTAAAATTAATATATAATTTATTAATATTTGAATAATGATTATTTTGCTTATTTTATTTATTTATATCTCAAATCCAAATACTGAATATAAGAATGCTCATAAATATGATAATAGGATTTGATCCAGTTCTTTCTGGATCTATAAGATCATCACTTAAACTGTAAGTTCTCCTTTCAGTTGGAAATGGTCTTCTTCCATCAACTGGTCTTGCACCTAAAAATAAACGATTTTCTCTTTAATATAATAAATCATTTTCTTTGATTTAGCTATCCTTTGTTAATCTAAAAGGTGCAAAATCCTTTTAAGTTAGATTTGCTTTTTAGTTTAACTGAAATGGATTCATACCTTCTGGTAAATTATCATTGAATTATTTCACAAAATCAGTCTAACTTCTTTTGCTATACTAATCCAAACTCCTTTCACAATTTCTTATTTAAGTTCTTCTAATGTTAATGGAGTTGTATCATCAGAGAAAGGAATTAATGGTGGACATATTAGTCATTTTTTAATTTAATTATCTTTTTCTTTAGATTGCATTCAATTTTTATAGATAAAAATAGAGAATTTCTAAATTCCAAAAAAAAGATTAGTATCTAATTATATTTTAATTAGACTTAAAGTTTAATTTATGATAATTTATATTATATTTAAATTAGCTTTCAATATATATTGATTAAGAAATCTAGTGTTTGCAACTTAAATACTTCAAATTCAATTAGATAAAAAAAGTCAGCACACATAATTAAATACCACTAATATAGATTAAAGAGTTAAATTAAATTATCATCATGGTTATTGTAATTTCAAAGAATTAGATTAAAAAAAGAAAATATCAAAAACCTTTATAATCATGATAACAAAAATATTAAAGTTCTTCAATGAAATTTAAATTTCTATTAAATATTATTGATAATTAACTATCAATTAAACAATTTATAGTATTGTTATTTTTTTCAAATATTAAAATGTTAGTACTTATGAGAATCAATAATAAGAAAAGTAAAATGAATGAATAAATTCACCACTTTAATTTTTTGGTGTTTAATTCAACTAAATAAAAATTATAGAGGATTCCTATAATGTCAAATATATTACAACTTAATAGATTAATAATCTTATCTCAAAAAAATGGGTTTCTTGGTAATATCTGGAAGAATAAATATCCAAATGGTTATAGTGTTGCTGTATCTTATCAAGACTCATTATTTTTAATATTAATCTCCAATCATGGAGAATGTTAAATAATTTTGTATATCAAATTTTATATAAACAAATTTCTCAAATTATACAGAGATTACCATTGTTACAACCATATATTGAAATTTGTTTTGTTATCTAAACATACCTTGTACAAACTTAAGTTGGCACAATTGATAGTCTATCCAGAAATGGTAATCTGTATTCACAAACATTATTTTCTGTGAGTACAATCTAAAATTTAAACTAAAAATTGTATACCAATGTGTTTATAGAAGATTTCTTTATTTCTATATATTCTATATTTGCTTTAACTTATAGGATTTATAACAAGAACCCATTTATTGAATAAGTTACAATCTTTTAATCTTGGGAACTAAACAAAATACAAGGTAATGGGGAATAACTTAATTTTAAATAAAAAATCGGTAATTGTTTTGGATGATTGATAAATCTAAAGAGAGTACGATTATACAAATTATATATAAATATAGTACCATCTTGAGTTCCAACACAAAAGATGGTCAATTATTCTGAAATTGAAATTGAATTGATTTGTGATGTCGTGTCGTAAATGACATATTTACCTTTTAATAATTCCTCCTATTTTACATCTTATTTATTTTGAAGAACCTTATTATAATAATACACAAAACCCTTATTTGTTCCTATTATAACTATATTTTGATATTTGTTAGAATCTATTGTAGTAACAGTGCAATGATTGTTTATTATTTCACTTTCTAATTCAATCACTCCCTAAATCTTCAAATTATCTAAACAATAATAGATAAGTGTTCCATTGTTGTTTCCACCAAATAATATAATTTATTATTCAATCAATACAAGTATTGGTGGTAATATGAATCTAATCATTGCATCAAAATGTATTTTAGGTAATTAAACTTATTTTTCTAATTATTAATGTTAATTATTAACAATCTACCATTAAATTAATGTAAAATCTTCTTATAAACTTACTACTTTGTTATGATTACAAACTAAATAAATTATTTTACATTATGATTTTTTATTTTTTAATGTCTGCCATTAATTCTTATCTAATACATAGTTTTTTTAAGCATGAGGTTTATAAAATAGTTATTCTGGTGTTTATCCAAAATGTGCAATCTAAGTTTCCATTGCTAACTCATTAATTTCTATATTGTTTTCATCAAAGTTTGAATAAGTTAATGGATAGAATACATTAAATGAATCAATTGCAGCATTTCCTTGTTATTTATATCCCCAAATTAAATCAATCCATTCATTTAATTTAATTGCATACTCACTTTCTAATGCAATCATGTTTTATGCTACAAAATAAAATGGATTCTTATTTGAATAGAATGGTAATTAAACATTGTTTACTATTTAACTATTTTATAACTTACCAAAATTATAACCATTTATATTTATAAAGGCTTCTGGTAAATAAAAGAATTCTGGAATTAATTCTCTAACATCAGCCATTTCATTATTACAATCTATCCATGATTTCATTATTGATCTAAAAAGTCGATCTGGAATATCAAATTTACCATCTTAAATTGATATAGCTGCTTCTGTAAATGGACTCAATCTTATCAAATATTAAGATACTAAAGCTTAACTTGAATAATGAGTTCCATAATAAAAGTATTCATTTTCAAATCTCTTTATAAATTAATCTAATCTAGCTTCACTTCCACATGCTCCTATAGGTAATGATAAATCTCTATAATTATTCTCATTTTATATTGATTCTATATCATTATCATCAAAATCTGAAGCATTTCCCTTTAAAACCCATGGAAATACTGGATATCTTGTTAAATCTATATATGATCTGCAAGATAGAAAATTCAAATACATTAAATATTTGAAATTGCTAACCTTGTTAAAATCACATTGATTTGGTTATATATTCAATCTCTCAATAACTTCTTCTTTCGATCCTTCATCTTAAAATATCAAGTATAAGGACTCACCATCCTTGAATGTAATTTCAATTGCATTTCTATTTCTTATATATATTCTCTCATGAACCCATCTTATCTAATTTGTCTTCCATGATCTCTTAAATGGTTTATTATTTGGAATTGTGTGTGATAACAAAATAATATGATTTGCTTATTAAGTATATTAATAATAAGAAAATGTTATTTTATCCTCATCTATTGTGACTCCCCCTTATTTTAAATACAAACTCTTCAACCAAAAACATTTATATTATTATTTCTTTTCCAAATTTACTTATGGATCATTTTCAAATTAAGGGTTCTTTTTAAACTTTATTTTTAAAATTGGACGTGAATAATACTTATTTATGTATTTGCAAATTTTATTTATATAAAAAGGATTTTCATTAAATTTGTATTCATGATCAATATATTCATCAATTTAAAATTTGCAATTTGTTGGTCTATAAACAGTGATTCTTAAATTATGCCATAATTTACACCATCTCTATCTTATTTTTCTTGTTTTATTGATCAAATAATAAATTGATACTTACATTTATGCTGCAGCTAAATTTATTTCATCAGTTAATTTAGATAATTATTCAGATTAAGTCATTTTAATTTCTTGTTATGATTGTGCCCATTAAAGTAGCAAAGATTCTTGAAAAGCATTAAAATCTTCTTAGAATTTAATTGAATCAAACACTTATGCTTATTGTTAAGATAGCGATTGAAGTAATAAAACATTTTGAGTAAAAAAATACTCAATGTTTTCCTTAATTTATTAATCTTAAGATTAGGATTAAATGGCTTTAAGCAAATCAATAATTTAATTCATAAAGTTATCACTAGCTTCTGTATTAAGATATTAAATTTATTCAAAAAGTTTGGTAAAATAGAATAACCATTCTTTTAACTTATCTAATGGACAACTTAAATTAATAATTTTTTGAATTGCAAATGGAAGTTCTTTTTATTCAACTATTTTAGATAATTCTTGTTCATTTTCTAAATATATAACATATTTAATTAATTTAGTTAAAAATGTTTCAAAATTTTTAAATGATTGAACAGAGAAATAAATTTATAACATTATCTATTAGACTGAGTAAATTTGATCTTCATTAAACTATTCAATTACTTCATTAACAACAATAATGAGTGCTGAGACATCCTTTCTAATTTAAAAATGGATTAATATTTAAAACATGAATTAAGGATTCTATTTTAGAAGATAAAGATAAATTTCCAAAAGTTTTAAATTAACTTCAGATTTAATTTAATCTAAAAACCATATAGAATATTATTAAAGTATTAGTTGTTATTGTTAAAAACTAATTTTTTTGACATAATTAAGGTATAAATCCAAAATATTCTATGATTTGATTTAGGAATATAGATGTTAAAGGATATCAACAGATAAGCAATTAATTTTGAGTAATTGAGTTAAGGCATTTAAAAGATTATCTAAATTATTGTTTATACAGATAGCTTTTGAAATATATGAGATCATTCCTAAACTTAAAATATCAGTTGTTCCATGAAGCATTTATCCTAATAAGGTAATAGAAGCTACTAAACATTCAATACTATCAGTTTGTAAGAGAAGTAAGATATCATTTAGAATTTTATTTTAGATATTATAATTTCTAAAAATAATGAAATTTTCGTAATCATCTCTAAATAAATCTGTAAGTAATCTGGTTGCACTTTGAATAGCTTTAATTTTGAGTTAAATATTAGAGGCTTCAGCTACTTTTAAGAAGAGTTTAAATTAATCTTTTAATGTGTTAAAGCTATATTAACAAGTGTAAATCATAATTTATAGAATTTGATCTTAGATTAAATTTTTTTGATTGACACTAACTAAAATTTATGCCAAATATTAGATTGTGGTTACTTTTAAATATTTTTAATGATCGTTGATATAGAATTATTATAATAGAATGCAATATTATTATTCATCAGTGACATGTTTAATGAAATTGATATCAATGATTAATAATAAAAGTTGATTTAAAATATCTTAATCTTCAATTTTTTATTTGATTTATTAAATATAAAATAGATTTGGTATTTTGACTTTGATAATTTAAGCAATTTATTAAAAAAGTTTCATTTCAAGTATTTAATTTTTATTGATTTGACTATCTTATAATAGAGTATAAAAAAGGATTTGAAATAAATCATCAATAAGAGAATGATCATAATATTAAATAAGATCAAATAATGGAATAAGTAATTTGATTCCTCCGAATTCAACAAAATCATATTTTTATAATGCAGATGTCATTTTGGTATTACCTTAAAGTTGATAGACAACATTTTAGATTCTATCATTAAGTCTTTGAGTTGAATGTGGATCATAAATTGGATATATTTAATAAAATGGAGATTTAAGATGTAGATCAACAACTTCATTATAAATTGAGATTTCTTTGACTTTGCACATAATATTTTAAAAGTAAAGGATTTCTAGATTCTGATTTCTAATTTTTGGATATTCGATGTGTATAGTATTTTTAATCTGATTAATTGAATATAAAAACTTTGGTCTGGAATATAATTTTCCACATTCATGTGAAATGATTAATTCATTCCAAGCATTGATAAGTACTTCTCCCAATTGATTATTAGAAGAATAATCTTCGAGTATAACTTTTTCAAGTGTGAATCTCTAATATACAATTTTATAGAATATGAATCCAGCCATTATATAACAATGTACTCCATTAGCAATAATTCTTTTGCCATCAATATGAGAGGATGAAAATTAGAAGAGTGTTCCATCTCCTTAAGGATTGAATGTTAAACATATTGAATATGACTTTTCAAAATTCCATTATGATGGATTGATTAGTTTAATTCCTCCATTGTTGATAATGAATAGATCTTCATTCTTCTCTTATTTAAGATACTCATACAATCCTTAGATACAATTAATCATAGTTTAAGGATTGTATGTACTTTAGAAGTATTCATTAGATAAATCATGAAAGTACTTTAACATGAGTATATATTAATCATAGAAATTGTTAAATAGTCTTCCGAATTGATCTTTTCTTCATTACATTTTCAGCATCTTTCTAACTAATCTTTGCTAATAAATCAATTCTAGTTAGGTTTGCTACATCATCCAAATTTCCATCATGAGATACTTATACTGATTATAATCGATTCTTCATTTTTACTTCTTCATTTTTCTTTTTCTTTATATTACTCTCTTCTTCCTCTAATTATTCTAAATCTCTTATAGGTATCATTGGAGCTTCCTCATTTCTTATATTATTCCAATCAATTCCATTAAAAAATTCATGACATTTTAATTCCTCAGCTCCTCTATGTCCAAGTCTCTTATAATATTATGGTTCTAATAATTTATTTATCAAATCATATGCTTCTTTACTCATCATATCTTCTCCTACACCTATTTCTGGCCACTCTATAACTCTATTCATTATATTCTCAAACACTTTTGGTATACTTGAATCATTAAATGGAGGTATCCCAACTAAAAATTCATATGCTATCACTCCAAATGCCCACCAATCTATTGAAAAATTCGATATTGATTAACCACTTATTACCTCAGGTGGAATATAATCTGGAGTTCCAATTATTCTATTCTACCTCTTACCTGATTAAGTGCGATCCTATATACTAGTCTTTATTGTTGTCTTTTATAAATGAAATTCTATATTGCACTTTGTCTTTATATTCCTTTTTGAAACATTCATTGGTAATGCTTCAGGATCTATTGAACAATTTATTCCATCTTTCCCTTCTCTTATCTTTCTCTCTAATGCTATCTCAGATAATCCAAAATCTGCTAATTTTAAATGACCTTATGCATCCAATAATATATTCTATGGTTTCAAATCTCGATGAATTATTCCCTTCCTATGTAAAGAATCTATTGCTAAAAGTAATTCAGATAAATAAAATCTTGCTACTGACTCTGAAATACGTCCATATTAATAAAGAACTTAACTAAAATCACCTCCCATCATATATTCTAACAAAAATAATAGACAATTATCTTAGATAAAAGAATAATAAGCCTTAACTACAAAATCTCCTTCTAAAATTTCAAAAACATTTTTTTCGGCTCTTAAATTTTAGATTTCATTCATATTCTTATTTCTGCAATCTATTACCTTCATTGCATAATAATCTTTAGTCTTTTTTTTACAAACCAACCAAACTGCTCCAAATGCTCCAACTCCCAAAACTTATATAAATTCAAAATCCTGGAGTGTAACATTCAATCTAAAATACTTTTATAATTTATTATTTACAATTATTTATTCTTGACTAATTTAGTGGTCTTAAAATCACCATCACTATAATATCCTTTAACTTTCTATTCTTTCTCGTTATCAAATTCACATTTATCAATTATATTATTTTAATTTAAATCTTTAAATGAAATAACATTACTTTTTGATTATTATACAAAATCTTCCATTTCAAAAGATTCTTCAAGTGATTTCTTAGTCATATTTTTCTTAACCTCTTTAGAAACTGCTTCCTCTGAATCTGATTTATTATCACTATCCCCTGCATCCTCAGATTCACTTAAACATTTCTAAAAGATGCAATCCTTTCCTACACCTTCAGTAAAAGTTTTAGATTATGTCTATTAATTATTTTCAAAATTCGATATGACATTTTATTTATTCAACCATTTGGATCCATTACCACTGTTTTTAAGCATTCCAAATTGTTCTTGTAATGAATTACCTAAAGAGGTTCTACGATTCCCACTTTCTACTTTATTAATCTTAATTCTAACCGGAGTTAAGCTTTCTTACTTTTCTTCATCAGAAATAAGTTTTTGTAATCTAGAAATTTTTTATGTACATTAAACCTTTTCCTAAATTAAATAATATTTTTCAATTTTACTTCAATTAACTTCAAAGTCATTTTTACTAGATCCTGAACTTCTTTTTAGAGGGTATGTTTAATATTGAATAACTCGACTTGTATTTTTAGATCAAATTATATAGATAATGTACCATGATGAATTTTTAGTGTTTCTTCAGTATATTTAGTAATAATGGAGAGAGAGTTTAACTGTAATCTCAAATCTTTTAAAATTTCATTATTATCACTAATCTATATTGAGATAAGTTTACTCAAGTGAGAAAGGACTGCCCATTCCATTTGATAAAGGGGAACTTATTTATTTAATCTCTGGAGAAGGAGAATAAGCAAACTTAATTCCTTGTTTCTATTGTTCTATTTTCTTCGATAATTTAATCTATTGTTTCATAATTCGATCAAGATCTTCTCCTGTTATATTTTCTTAAACAATCTAAATCTCAGCTTTTTGTTCAGGTTATTCTTCAGAAGACTCTTTATTAGCTAAACTTGTTCCTAAATTTGCAAACCTTGATTTGACTGTGCACTATAATAATGAATGATAACACTTACTTTATTTGTTCTTGAACCTGTTTCATCGGATGCACAATCTTCTGGTTGATTCAATTTCAAAGGAGCACTACTTCTCATCCCTTGATTCTCATGATTTGTAAACCGAGCTTATTTGGACTTATGAATTTGATATTTTGTATTTAGTGAACGAAAGCTATTTTATGCCAACTCAGCTAACTTTTGTATTTAGACATCCAATTAGTGCAATTACTTTCTTGCCTCAAAGATTTGCTAACAATTAACTAAATGATTCTCTATCAATGAAGCATCTGTCTATTTATGTGATATCAATCTCATACTTTTTTTTCACAGATTCTACACATTACCAAGGGATCTTCATTACTCTAAACTTCAGCAATCATTAATATATAAAATTATTATAAACTCAACGATTCTTAATTGAATCTCAACCAATTTATACTACTCTCTTTTACTCTTATTTCTTATACCTCATTTTAATTTTATCTAAATTATACTTCTTTTATTCTTACTATTCATTAAATTTAAATCTCACTTTTTATTATCTTCTCCAACAATCCTATATTACTTTAAAGTTAATTAATTTCAAATCAATCCATTTTTGAAAAAATATTTTCTTTAATCATATATTAGTTTTTAATTATTTATACAATAAATCTTAAAAATACTTAATTATTTCAATGAATACATCTTAGATTTCTTAAATTCTTTCAATTGTTTTCAGATAAGTATTACCTATTCGAATCATAGACCTTTTTTATCAATTAGATTTTAAATTACCTTTATATTCTAATTTATATATTAAACATTTTAGATGACCATATATATTCTAAATGGTATTATATAGTTTGTTTCTCTTCTTTACAAGTCTAAAATCAGTTTTAATTAGTAAGATATATTGAGTTTATGTATCAATTTATATTCAACTTATATTAGAATATAATATGTTGATAAACGATCAATTTTATGAAAAACCATCGTTTCTAAATCCTTAAATCCATTCATTATGAGGACATGTAATCTACATTGAATTTTTATCACTTTAGGGTTTGCTTTACATAATTCGAAATTATCTTCTCAATCGTTTTCAAGTTTTTCGTCATCAATTTTCTTATGATTTTATAACATTTTATATTTAATATATATAATACAAATTCTTTAAATAATATTAAAATCTTCAATAATACTTTAAAGTAGTGAAGCCAAACTTATTGATTATCTAAATAAATAAATTAAACTTGCTGTCCTATTAGAATTTACCTTTTAGGCCTAGAAATATGAAATTCTGATTTTGATTCCATCGTAGTCTACAACAAAAAAATCGTTCTATAAAGTAGATTTTGGTCTATTTTATGTTATTCTCATTGAATTCATTGATTATTTTAGAAAAAATCATGATGTAATTGCTAATATTACATTATTTTAGTTTGAGTGTTTTACTAGAATTATGTAAACTCTGTATTATATAACATGATATTTTGATATATCATAGTGCTATGAATAATGGGAGTATTTGTGGAGATTATTGTCTTCAAGAAATTATTTAATAAATAAAAAATGAATTACTGCCAAAAGTAATAATAAAAAATAGTAGTTCTATTTTTAGTTTTACTTCTAATATAGAAAGTTGATAGTATTATTTAATAACCTTTTAATGAAAAACAATCATCTCAAGAGTTGAAAATTGTAATTATTGTTTTTATCATTATAAAAGGATAGATGAAACCTTGATAATTATGGTTATTCTGATAGATCAAGAAATGATATTCTATTAAAATTAAAACTCAAGTTCATAAAAAAAAATAGATTAAAAAAGGCTTTGAAAACCTACCTATTGAATAAAAAAAAGTATTTCTTGATTATAATTAGATAGAGCACCACAAGAATCATCCATAAAAAATGAAAGCTGATACTTTTTAAACTAATAAACCCATGTTCAATTGCTAAGAGAAAAGTCCAATTTAATCTGAAATCTAAAACTCAATTGAAAATATTGATCTCAGCAATAAAGTATGGAAAAAAAGATCTTTTGAGATACTAATTATCATATTAAGGTTTATTAGTTTTATGATAAAATCAAATTTTACAACTAGCTTTAAATAAATTAAAAAGAATAAAAAGGTAAAATAAGTGCTAAATAAATTTATAAAATCAAAATGCTTAATAGAGATAATTAAAATACTAAATAACAGAATCATTAGAATACAGAATTAAATCATAAGAGTAATCAAGATTCAGATAACAAAATAGGGAACAGGGATAAACTAAGATAATAACTGCATCATATAAAAAGTGAATGATAGTGAAATGGAATATTGATATGTAAATAAGAATTTAGAAGAAGAACATTGTAGGAGGATGGGATAATATTTGGAAATTTTTGAAGGATTTGATAAAGTAAAATATTATGAAACATAATAATAGAAATGAAATTGCTAAATAATTTAAGAATCTAGGAAAGAATATAAGAAATATTTATTGATAATATTAATTAGAGCAAATAAAATTTATTTGAATATATTTATATATTTTATTTATTGAATGTATCAATCTTTGGCTGCTCTGTAAATTTTATTTGCTGCATCTTCTAATAGACCCAAGAGAGATTCTTAAGATTCTTCTCTAAGTTTCTTTTCTTCTTCAATTTCACTCTTTACTCTTGATACTAAATCTTTGAGCATTTCAAAGATAGCTGTTTCTGATTCTTCTCTAAAATTATGTATTTCTTCAATAGAAATACCTCAATTTCTTTTGATTTCCCAAACCTTCATTTAAACGACGGATTTCATCTCCTGCTCTTCTTAAAGTTCCATTGTCGTTGTCTTCTCTATCTTGTCCTTCACTTTTTACCATTTCATATAATTTTGGTAAATCATTCTCTAAGGATGTTGTAATGTTCTCTATTTATTCTTATCTAATTTTGCTTTCAGTCTAGATATCCGATTTCAAGTATACAACCTATAAATTAATTATTTATTTCTAACCTTCTCATCTAAGTATCCTTACAATTTTAGATTACCATCTCTTCTCAAAGCTATTTCTTATTCTAATTTAGTTGTGATACGACTCTCAAAAGCAGCAATCTCTCTTACTCTTTATTCAAATTGAGTTTCAAATGCATTGTTCTCTTCTTCTATTTGTTTTTATAAACGAACTATCTCATCTTTTAATGAGTGCTACAAATATTTCATATTCTTACAAGCTTTCTGTTATACTATGTAATTGTGTCTTAGGTTCTTTCTTCAACTGCTGTTATTCTACCACATATGGTATCAATTCTATGAGCTTTAGATTGATCATGATGTAATGGGATTGAATTCAATTTCTCAGAGATTTTTTGAAAACGTTCATTGAAGGGAGTGTTTGGATTCATTTTAATAACAAATTTATTTAAAAAATATATTTTATCAATTATGGCTCAAATAGAGGAAGAACACAAAATCATTCATTTAGAGATTAAATACACATCAGAAATTCACAAAGATGTACCTATTGATCTCAATGGAACTGTGCTTAAATTCTAAGAAACACTTCATGAAATTTTAAAAGTTCCTATTGAAAAATAGAAGATTATGATAAAGGGATCACTTTTAAAAAAAGATCAAGATCTTTCTAAATTAAATCTTAAGAATGTAAACATTATTCTATTTCATAGGGTTAATAAATTATGGTCATGGGAGCAAGGGATGAACATCTTATTAATTTGAATTAAAAAAAAAAATTATTTGAAGATGATCTTACTCCAGAATAGAAGGCTATTTTATTAAAATAGAAAGCAGGAGTACATATTTTTGATTATATAAATATTAGATTGTTTTACCAATAGGATTAGTCAATTTAGGAAATACATGTTACATGAATGCCTCCATTTAAATTTTGAGAAGAGTTAATGAATTAAATGAATATATAAAGAATAACAAAAAGTAAGGATAAGGACTAAGTGTCAAGTTATTTAATGCATTACAAGATGTATTCTAAAAGCTTGAACTTAAAGGTGAACCATTTCAACCAAATCATTTTTTATCAGTAATCAATATCAAAAATAAAAATATAGATTTTCTTTTAATTATATCCAGATTTTGGTTAAAAAGAAAATCAAATAGCATACAAATAATAGGATGCAGATGAATGTTTTTAAAATATTCTTTAAACAATTGAGCCATTGACTTCTTATGAGAATGAGGAAGGACAACAAAGAAATTTAATCAAAGATTTATTTGAGATAGAATTAAAATCAACAATTGAGAATCAAGATATTCCAGATGAACCAAAAAAGGTGAGTATAGAAAAAGGAAAGAAATTAATGTGCATTATTGATAATTAGAGCAAACCAGTAAATACTTTATTAGAAGGTATAACAGTAAGTTTGGAAGCATAAATAGAAAAAATATCAGAGACAGATTAATAAACTCATTTATATAAGAAAACATCAAGAATTAGTAAATTAGTAAGAAATAATTAATATTATTAAAGCCTAGTTATTTATTATGTTAGATGGTTAGATTTTATTGGAAGTAAGGAGTATAAGGTAAGGAGGGAGTAAAAGCTAAAATATTAAGAAATGTGGCATTTCCTAAAATTTTAGATTTATTTGACTTTTGTGCACCTGAGTTGTAAGAACAATTGCATGCAGGAAGAGAGTATGAAAAAAAGAAGCTTTTAGAGATGGCTGCAAAAGAGACTGATGAATTAGAATAATTTAAAAAAGATTTAGAGGCATCAGGAAAGATAGTTCCAGATGATACTAGAGAGATTTATAAATTATTTAAAGCTAAAAAATAGTAAGAGGAAATTTAAAATCATGATGATTAATTGTATAGAAAACATGGATTTGGATTAGTTACAGGAAATTATGAATTGATTGGTGTTTTGAGTATTTTATTATATCGATGATTTAAGCACATACTGGAAGAGAAGCTGATTCAGGACATTATATGGCATGGGTTCATCATTCAGGTGAAGATTGGATTTGGTATGATGATGAAAAAACATCAGATAGGAAAATTGAACATATTTTAGATTTAAGAGGAGGTGGAGATTGGCATATGGGTTATTATCTACTATATAGAAGATTAGAGATTGAGTGATATTATAAAAATGAATAATTATCATTATTTTTTCAAGTTCATTATAGTAGGAGAATCAAGTACAGATATCAATAAGAAACTTCTGCTAAAACTGGAGAAAATGTAGAATTCCTATTTGAATCCTTGACCAAAAATATAATCCAATAATATTGATCTCCTTATGATCCAAATTATGAAATCTAAAATTGGATAGGTTTCTGAAAATTAAAAAGTTATTATAGAAATACCTAAATAAAATAAATCGCATTTTTATTGTTGAACAGATTAATTATAATATCATTAAATCTATTATGTTTTATATTATGATTAATTAATATCTAAACAGAAATTAAATCAATTCTTTTTCCTTTAAGGATTTGGACTTTAACTTTTTTATTTCTTCTTTTAACTAATCATCATCAATTTTATATATACATTGCAACTCCTTTCTATTTAAGCATACTGTATTTTTTGGAAAGTGGAATTTCTTCGAAATTTTCCTCAAAAACTGAATCTTTCCATCCAACTGTCTCAACACAGGTATTTTATTTTCCATTCTAATTACGTGTTTCAGCTGTCTATTTCATTGTTTAACCAATGTCTTATGGAGAACTGTCATCACACACTTTTACATCAAAAGCCAAATGTGAAGGTTAATATTTTGGCCTGATTGAGTTATAAGTACTTAACATTACACTACCAGAAACAACACTTGGCTGTTAAGAATCTTGTCTCTTTAATTAAGATGGTGGTACTAAAAATTAATTGTTGCTTAATCTTTTTGATATGTTTTACATATTACTATCGATTTAAATTGGATACTTATTTATCAACTGATTTTTTCATCTCTGTAGATTATGGAGGCTACAATTATTATTAGATAGCTGATCTATGTTAATTATCTAAATTTTCATTATTTAAAGATATCTTCATCTATTAGTTTGATTCCCAATCATAAATATAATCTAATTGAATTCCTTAATTTTCAGCAGCTTTTTCAAATTGATGATAAATAAAACAATAATTAGGTTGACTACTATACTGCAACTATTTCAAATATCTATAAAATATATTGAATGACTTACTCAAGAATTTTAATAAATTCAATAGGTACATCCTTACACAATTCTCGTAGATCCATATTGATTTTCATTTCACCGACTTTGACCGTTCTTTCTTCATCAGTAACATTCTGCATATTTTGCCATGGAAGCTGCCTAGACTTCTAATAATTCAAAATTCCGTTACCCTTTTATAAAATATAGTAACACATAAATTAGTGATTCAATATCATCTTTTCTACCTAATTCATGACCCTTATGAGCTGCAATAGATGCATACCTTGTAGTACCTATAAATGAAGCATTATCTCGAAAAGGTCTAATCTAATAACATCAAAGTAATTACAATATTTCACCTTAAGCATCTCTAAATATTTTGCTGATCCCAAAGTCCACTACATATATTTTTGATGATTCATCCTCAATACCAAATAAAATATTTTCTGGTTTTAGATCTCTATGTACAACACCTTTATTATGTATTCTCTCTAAAACATGCACTATTTATATCCCCAACTATATTGTTGTTTTAAAAGAAAACTTCTTTTAACTTTTCATGAAATAAGAAAGATCCTTTCCCAACAACTGTAAAATTATTACATTATATTCATCCTATTCTCCATGCCATAATAATTTTGGTATTCCATCAGTTCCCTATAATCTTTCTAATACTTAAACTTCCCTCTCTAATGAACGAACATCTTCGTTCTCTTCTTTCTCAATTTTGATTGCCACATCAACATTCTTTTCTTTGTCATGTCCTAGTAACACTACTCCAAATGATCCAGAAGATATCTTTTTTTAAACTACATATATTCCATTAAATATTGATGAAGTTTGCATAGTATTTTTAAATAATTAATTATTTATATAAATATCTATTATTATTTTCAATTTAACTTTCAAATGTCAGAAATTCTCCCTCATGTTTATTTATCATCAATTGTATATGCAAAAGATTTATACTGGCTTAAAAAAAAAAAGATTTCGAATATTCTCATCATAGGATAATTGTAACAATATTTTCCTTTAAAGTTTTAATATAAATGCATACTAATTGAAGATAAACCAGACAATGATATATCATAATATTTTGAGGAATGCATTCAATACATTGATTCAGTTGTTGCATAAAATAAAAACATTTTAGTTCATTGTTATGGTGGTTAAAGTAGGTCAGTTAGTATTATTATTGCTTATATAATGAGAAAATTATCACTTGATTCTGAAAAGGCTTTCAAATATGTAAAGGATAGACATTAAAGAGCAGAACCAAATTATGGATTTTTAAATCAACTAAAAACTTTTAAATGAAAATTCATTATCATATTTAATACTTTATATAGATAGATTTTCATTTTGGGTAATCCTACTTTATAATTGATACAATTTCATCAAAATTTCTAATTTTATTACACTGATATACTTAACAATTTAATTTTAAGAACCTATAAGTGCTCTATTTTATTTTAAGTATGTTGATAAAATCTACTCTTTTAATCTTAATAATTCAGAGATGAATTAATTTTCTTATAGATTTTCTTCATGGATACTAATGCTACTCTTTTTGACTAATTTAGAAGAATATTATTTATTTTTTTGATTTGAATTATTTATTCCATTGAATTGATGATTGAGTTTGGCTTAATCAATCTACGATGTTTTCATAGGATTCTGTAAGGATTATTCTTTAAAAACAAGAGGTGAGGATTTAGCCTAATTACCTTGATTAATTTTTGTAGTGTATGGTCTTTGGCAATTAATAGTATTTTATTTTTTTCCCTTGTTAATTTTCTTCGTATCTTGGCTTTCTTCATTAAGAATTTAATACATAAATCTTTGTTAGTCTTAGTAGGAACAATCAAGTGGACAGGAGTTGAAACATGATTGGTTTTATTGTTTTAAATATAAGGTTAATTCTCAGCTTCTTCTGTGAACAAAACGTCTTCCTCAACGATGATATTAGGTTTATTGAATTCCTTGATTTGATTGTCTAATTATTAATCTGAATGCACATCATTAATTAACTTACAAGATACAACAACATTCTAACTTGAATGTAAAGATTATGAATTATTTTTTTAATGCATCCAAGTAGCAACCAAATTTTCTACCTTTTAGTTTTATGAACTTAAATTCAACTAAATATAATATTCTTAATTTTTTACTTATTTTTCAACAGAATATGATTGTGCTTTATTTCTATTTCTTGAATTTTCAATTGAAAACTGTAATTATCTTTAATAAGTTTATGGTCTTTCATTTGAAATATTTCTAGAACGTGAAGATTACCCTTGAATTGATGCCTTCATATTTTCTAATTCTTCTATTTATGTAGAGTAGTGTTAGGATAATAATAACATTTTATAAATAATTATAAAAAATTCAATTATAAAATTACCAAATTTTCATGACTAATTTTTTATAATAAATCTTATTTTCATTTCTATTATTGAAAACTAAAACAAGAATTTCATATATTTTTGAAAACAATATTTATTTTAAATTTTATATTTTTTTTTAGATTATTTTAAATTTTTTTTATATAAGTATTTTTTTATATTTAATGGATTTACCTCCACTCTCTGAATTAGAATTATAGAATGTCTATGCTTGGGTAAATAAATAAATACTATTTAAAGATTGATAAAATTCCTCTATCAAGACCAAAAAAGAACATTCAAAGAGATTTTGCAGATGGAGCTATGGTTGCTGAAGTTGTGTATCATTACCTCCCAAAATTAGTTGAGAAGCACAATTATCCTTAAGCTCATAGTATCTAATAAAAATAATATAATTGGAGCACACTCAATTTGAAAGTATAATAGATTTCAATTATTAGGTTTTCAAAAAACTTGGGTTTCAATTATCAAAAAATGATATTGATAGTATTATTGCTTGTTCACCTGAAGCTGTTGAAAGAGTTTTAAAGTTTTTATAAATCAAAATTGAAAAATATTTGGAACAATAGAAAGAATTAGAAAAGAAAGCACTTGAACAATAAAAACAATAGTAATATTAATAGCAACAAAAATAGTAAGTGTAGGAAGATCCCCTACAAAACTAAGATTTAAGATTGGTATTAGCTGAAAAAAATTAAGCAATAACAGAATTAAAGGAAACTGTCGAAATTTTATAATTAAAAGTTAAAAAACTAGAATAACTTTTACAAATCAAAGATAATAAAATTTAAGGATTAATCAATTAATTGCAAGGTAAGTAATGAATTCTAATTATTTTCAATTTTTTCAAATGTAATTTTTTTATATTAATTTTTCTTATTTTTAATAACATAATTATAAATATTATACATAGCCAATATATTCTAATGTCAAGTTAGAGTGATAAAGAGAGTGATGTTTAGGATGTAGAAATTATTGATAATTATTCTAATGATTATGAAGAGAGCTAAAATTCAAGTGAAGTTTTATAAACTCAAATTAAAAACGAGTACTAAGCATTGCTATTTTTATTATTATTATTATTTTTTTAGTGTAAATCTGATAACAATAACATATCTCATTAAGAATCAATTTCTAATAAATTACGTATGCATTATAAAGCATCTTTAAAAATCATTCATGTTAAAAGCATCAAAAATCAATGAAAAAATTATGAACTAAAGAAAATAGCTGAAAGATTAATTCAAGGAGTTCTAATGTAATCTTTTTAAAAATAACTTAATTACATTTAATGCAGCAAGAAAAAATCTCAAAGATTGTGAAATACCATACTAAACTGATAATTTTCCATTGTAATTAAAAACTTAAGAAAAGTTTGTGATTTTAACTGCATAGAATCTCTTTATTTGGAAAGGAACTTAAGAATAATTTATTAAAACAAATTTAGAGAATGAGAACTCTATTAAGAAAGTAGAATAAGATGGAAGAATTGCATTTAAATAATGTAGACCCTATTAAAAAAGAAAATTTGACTTTTGACTATTGTAAAATATTATTAAATTAACCTTATTTAACTAAATAACTTAAATTAAGAATTTTATTAAATCAATTATTGATTGTCTCATTACAATTAAGTAAAGGTTTTAAAATTGTCTAAATTTTTTACTTAAATTATTTTTATTAATCTTCTAAAATCAATGCTGATTTTTTTATTTATTTAATTTTGAAAGGACTTTCTTTTTTATTGTATTAGATTGATTCATATATCTTGCAAAGTTTACTTTTGTAATTTTGATTACTATTTAATAAATTTTCTATATTAAGCATTTTTTGTTATAGTGTAAAAAATTAATTGTTTGCTGGTTTCTTGTGAATTAGTTTAAAAATTTCTTTATCAACATTATTCCCTACACATAATGTATATTTTTTGATTTCCATAGTTAATTTATAAATGGGAGCAAAAATTTATACAATGACAATAAATTCTAGAAACATTAATAATGCTGAAAAGCAAGCATGACTTAGAAACATTTTCATAAAAATGATAGCTAATTGGGAATTCTTTTCATCTATATTTTATTGTATCCCTTATGTTGTAGTAATATTTGAATAACTTGAATTATGGATTACAATTACATGATCATTATATATTCTTTATTTGGAAGTTAAAAGGTTACCATATACACAGATAGATTTGAAAGTTTATGTTAGAAAATTAGTGGATTTGAATTTTCATTTTAAGAATTTTCTTAGATTAAAAACCAATCAGATTTGTTAAATCCTGTGATTTTTTCATCAAACACATAAATTTTTTAGGAATCATTAAAATTTAAATCTACATTACAAAATAACACAACACCCGTCATATCTAATAATAATACATTATAAGGAATCTATGGGATCATATATGAATCAAATCTTATTTATGTTTTAGAAACACCAATAAGTTCTTTAGCTTTAGATTTAATTGAATAACAAATAGAAACCTCTAAAGTTTATGTAATAAAATGATTAAATGGTGGAGTATAAGTAACATTTAACTCTGGATTCTAGTCAAAAGCTTAAACATGATTCAAATACCTAAATAAGATTGAAACATTACCAAGGACGTTTAAGAACATTATAAGATTTGACTAAATAACTAACAGGATAAGATGCTAAATATTGAATATTTGATCTTGCTCCAATATGAAAATATTCCTTCAAATTAATTATATCTAATCCAAAAATCATTGAGTATGCACTTAATAATGTTATTGTTGAATGAAGTGATTTTACCAAAGTGTCATTTATTGGAAGTGTGATTGAATCATTTATTCCATTTGCTTAATAACAAAAAGATTCATAGTTAATGAAATAATCGTTTCCTTTTAAATACTAAATTGATACACATGGAGCTATAGGACTTTATAATTCTATTGTAATATTGTTATAATCAATATAACTGAAACATTTTTGAATAGAAGCCAAATGGTTTATTACTAAGTAAATTAAAAATATATTTTACCATTCTCATGTTTTAAAACAATCCTTCTCATTAACATTTTCCCAATTGTTTTTAATTATATTTTTTCTTACTCTGATTCTGTTAGCTCAGCTGATTGACTTGATATGTAAGAAAATATTTTTGATTAGACATAAAATGCAGAAATTACTAATAATATAACAGTGGCTAGAAATATTATGTTAGCAAATATTATCTAATTTCTCATTTTTAGATTCTTTATTTTTCTTAAAAGACCTTCAAACATGATATAAGTTAAGTTATTATGAATCTTATAAAATTAAATTAAATGTTTGTCAAAACAATAAAAAAATTCAATCCAGTTCATCAAAAAATTATACTATATTATATTCATTGCTATTTTCACTCTATTTATCTAACATATTTAGATTACTTTAAGAATTAATAAAATTATAATACTTCTAATTTTAGATTTATTTAAAACAACCAGTATTTTATTGATTTTTTTCTGCTTTTTATCTATATATTTATTTTTAATCATATGATGAAACAATAATTCAATTAAAAATAATAACATGATTCATGATCTTTTATGGATAGTAGGAAAGAGTAAAGGAATTAGTAACTGTATAATAAATATAAATAGATAAGATATCAATATTCTATTAAAAACTATTATTTAAAATTATAAGAATGATATTTGGATAATTATTATGTTTGAATATATGATAGATATAATAATGTAGATGTAAAATAAGTAATTATAAAATATTTTGATCTAATTGTGAATTAGAAAGGTGAGTAATGTTATTAGGGTGGAATATTTATGTAATTAGAATGTGTAAAATGGTTAGTATGATATTAAAATCCAATAAAGAAATATCTTTTAATAAATCATACAATTAAAATAATATTTTATTAAAAATTAGAATGAGTATTATTAAATAATTATTATTAAAATGGGAGTTTGTATAAGTAAAATTGAATAAACTCAACCTGAGATAACAATGGATTCTATGCCTATAGGATAAGGATAAAAAGGGAATTATTCAATGAATAGTTTACCTGCAGAAGTATGAAATATAAGTAAATAAAAAGCCAAGAAGAGGGGATAAGAAACGTTAAGCTAAAATAGAAGTGGTAGAAGAGTAAATACATGAGAATGTAGTAAAATAATAGAAAGAAAAAAGTCCTTTTGATTTTTAGATGATTTTAAATGCATTTGGAAACCATTTTTTGTTTGCTCAACTTAATAATGATGATAAGTAAAGTAATGAAATAAAAAGTAGATCAAAACTAATTGATGAGATGTATTATGTAACAACAAGAAACGCAGATTACATTTTTAAATAGGGGGATAAAGCAACATTATTTTTTATAATTGGTAGATTTTGAAGATTAATAAGGAAGAAAGAGGAGATTGTAAAATCATCATAAATGAAGAAGTGAAGAGAGTATTGAAAAAATCAGAATATTTTGGTGAATTAGCATTAATGTATCATGCTCCACGATCAGCATCAGTATAAGCAATAGGAGATTGTGGATTTTGGGTATTGGAAAGAAAGAAATTTAGAAAGGCAGTTGAAGATATTTAACAAAAAGCATATGAAATAAATAGAAAATTTTTAGATTAAGTGAAATTTTTTGGTATAGAATTGTTGATTATAAATAATTTAGATTTTATGACAGAAGAATAAAGAGATAATATAGCTAATGTGTTAATAACATTAAAATTTAAATAGGGTGAAATAATAGTGAATGAAGGAGATATGGCAAACTCATTTTATATAATATAGAAAGGAATAGTTGAAGTAACTAAATAGGGATAGTTTTTGAGATATATGAATTAAGGTGATTCTTTTGGTGAATAAGCATTATTTGGAAATTGTGTAAGAGGAGCAACTGTAAAAGCAAATGATTAAGATGTTAATTTATTATCTTTAAGTAGAGAAGATATAACAACTATTTTAGGTGAAAAGATTCAGGTACAATAATTGTATCTATATAGTTGATAGTTAATCATTTATACAAATATGCAGAAATGGGCATTTGAAAAACATCATTAATTAAGAGATCTAACTAAAATGTAGATATAAAAAATAGTATCTAATTTTAAAATTAAAACTTATGAAAGTAAAGAATATTTATTCTCTAAAAATTAACTGATTGATAAATTAATTATTATATTAGATGGTTAATTGGAATTCGATGGATAATTATACAATAATGGATAACTATTTGGAGATATATTTTTATAATTAGAAGAATCTAAAAGAAAAATTAATTCAGATATTGTAACTACACGTAAAACTACATTATCTGTACTTCCTTTCAGATAATTTTTTGAATGTATAGGAGGAGAATTAGAAACTGTTGTTAAAAAAAATAAAGATAGAGCTGGTTCATCAAGTTTACTTGAAAAAAGATAAAAAAGCAACTATTCTTTATTAACTTTAGAAGATTTTATTGGGTTATAACTTTTAGGTGAAGGTACTTTTGGAACTGCTTATTTGGTTAAAGATATACCATAATAGAATTTACATGTAATGAAATGTGTTCCTAAAGTTAATATTATATCAAATAATACTGAAAGACATATAAAAAATGAGAAATAAGCATTAGAATTATTAAATCATTATAGTTTAGTATCTTTTCATAGATCATTTAAAGATTAAAATTATATTTATTTGTTAACAGAATATGTTAAAGGAAAAGAATTATTTCATGTTATTCGAGATCTTGGTTTACTGAATTCATATGAAACTTAATTCTATATAGCTTAGATGATTAATATTTTAGAGAAACTTCATTCTTATCATATCATATATAGAGATGTAAAACCTGAGAATTTTATTGTAATGGAAAATGGATATTTAAAACTTATAGATATGGGAACAGCTAAAGTATTAAAGTCTAGAGCATCTAAAACATATACAATTGTAGGAACACCTCATTATATGTCACCTGAAATATTAAAAGAAAAAGGATATACATTCTCTACTGATTTATGGTCATTAGGAATATGTTTTTATGAATTAATGTGTGGTGAAGTTCCATTTGCTGGCAATGAAGATGATGATCCGTATTTAATCTATTTTATTTAGATATATCATCTCATAGGCCATTATTAATGGGAGAGTAGAATACCCATCATTTTTAAAAGATTTTAAAGCTATTAAATTAATGGATTAATTAATGAATAAGACCCCTGAATTAAGATTAGGAGGATCATATGATGCACTTAAAGTTCATTCTTGGTTTGATGGATTCTAATGGGTATATTGTATTATCCTATTATTTTTAAGGAAGAATTAGATATGATGGAAATTAAACCACCTCATATTCCTAAACTTTAATAATCCCATTTTTAACCTATTCCATTCCTTGATATGATTTAAAAAGATACAACTCCTGATATGATTTGTACTGCCCTTGTTGATTGGGATTAAGAATTTTGAAAAATATTTGCTCATTTATTTATTATAAATCTTTTCTTATCATTTAAATAAGTCATTCATTATTGTTAATCTCTAATTTATTCAACCTTCAATATTATATTTGAAAATTTAAATAAAATCAATCCCTTTCTATTATAAATATTTAAATGACCATAAACTAGTCAAAACTACATTCATAAGAATACCTTTCTTATTTTTAAATACTTGTTTCTTACCAATATTCTAAAAATCATAACATTACCATTATTAGCATTTATTTAAAAGAAATAATATAATTTTAATCCTAAATTTGAATTATAAACTTAATCTAGCAATTATTATTCTGTTTACTAAAATATTTTTTTCATAACTAAAAGTAGAATCTTAGAGCCAAAAAATAATTTGATTCACTAATATTAATTTTCTTGATGAGCAAATAATCTTAATAATACAAAAAGTATATTTTTATACTGAAAAAAAATAAAAAAAAAGTCTACATCTTTAAAATAAATATAAATTAAGCTAGTATTTTGATTAAATTTATAAAGAGTAGCAAAACAAAACTTAAAGAACAATTCAAATTAAGTTGAAATATTTTAATTTATTATTGCATCTCTATTTATAACTTTTAATTAAACAATCAATAATTAAAAATATTTTGATTAGAATTTCACAATAATTTTATATCTAAGCATCGTATTTTAATATGTAGTAGAAGAATTATTTTGATAGAATATTAATTATCATAAAACTAATTCAAACTTTTATTCAACACAAAAAAAATTATATAATACACAATTTTTTATCAATTCAGTTTTCATAAGAATCCAGTATTATAAGAATTAAAATTAATTTCAAAAAGCATGGTGATTTTCAGAAGTATTGATTGATCTATGCAATAATGGCATACCCTCAATTGAATAATATGGAAAATTAAGGTTCATGAATTATAAATGAACTATGATCTTCTTAATTATTAAATATATATGAAGATTTTTAAATTTATTAGGCATAAATAAATTTAATAAGGTTGCACTTTGATATCAAATCAACATCATCTAATATTTAATAGTTATTGAATTTAAAAATCTTTTACCTCAGAAATATATCAATAATTATGTTTAGCATTAAAAATTTTTGATAAATGTTATGCAGATAATTTAAATCAAAATAAAAAATATTATTGAAAATAATCTTTCAAATATCTTTGTGAATTAAATTTTCAATTGGTATAACAAATTGAGTAGATATAATAATTATTAAAGAAATTATTTAAATTATTTAATTTCTTATGATAAAGACCACAAATCCTTATGTACTATAAAAATACTTAATATAAGGAAAAAATTCCAGTTAAAGTGTTCAATAACTAAAGATAAGCTTCATTGTGGATAGCTGCAGAAATAGCCTAAATAATAAAGTAGAAATAAACTTAAGGTGCTCCTTGTGTTTTGGGTTTAGCTACTGGATCGACTCCAATTTAAGTGTATAAAGAGTTAGTAAGATTACATAAAGAAGAAGGATTATCATTTCATAATGTGATAACATTCAATTTAGATGAATATTTTCCAATTCCAAAGGTATTATTTTTTAAGTCATTTCTAGGAATCTCTTCATTCATATTGGCATTTTATGCATGAGAATCTTTTTAATCACATTGACATTAAGAAGGAAAACATTCATATCCCTGATGGAACATTAATTAAAGAGTAGATAGAAGACTTTTGCTCATATTATGAAAATTTGATAATAGAAAATGGTGGATTAGACTTTCAACTTTTAGGTATTGGTAGCACTGGTAAATAACTTTATAAAGAATTTAGGACATATTGGTTTTAATGAGCCAGGATCTTCAATAAATAGTAAGACAAGATTAATAACTTTGGATAGAAAAACAAGAGCAGATGCTTCGTCATCATTTTATGGTATTTAAAATGTTCCAAAATATGCGATAACAATGGGGATTGGAACAATTTTATAAGCTAAAAAGATTATAATAGCAGCATTTACTGAAGGAAAGTAAAGAATAGCATCAACAGTGATTGAAGGTGGGATTTCATCTTAATATCCTGCAACATTTTTATAGAATCATAAGGATACATTGTTTGTTTTAGAGAGGGCATCAGCTTAAGGATTGACAAGATATTAAGCACCTTGGTTATTAGAAGCATAAGGATTGAAAGGGGAATTATAGATAAAATATGATTTGAATACAGCAAAGAAAGGAGTTATATGGTTAAGTTAGAAAGTAGGAAAGTCTATATTGAGATTATAATAAGAAGATTATGAAGATAATGCATTATTAGAATTAATTACATAGATTGGATAAGGAAATTGTGGAATAGTAAATTTGACAGTGTTTAGAGAATTATCATAAATGTATGAAATAGTATATATAAATGGTTAGTATAACAGGATGGCCAGCAGGAGGAAGACCTGATAAATTACCAGAATCATATTTTACATAGAAAAAAGCAATTAGTAAATAAAAGATAATTATATTTTCACCACATCCAGATGATGATGTTATATGTATGGGTGGGACTATGAAGAAATTAACTAATTAAGGTCATGAAGTTCATGTGGTATATATGGTGAGTGGTAATTTGGCAGTTTTTGATTTTGATGCTTTAAGATTTGCTGATGTATTGAAAGAAACATAGAATATGATAGGTGGAAATGGAAAAGAGTTTTATGAGAAAGTTAGAACATAAATTAATGAAAAAAAACCTGGGGATGTTGATGGTCCAGATTTAGCATATATTAAAACAATAATAAGAAGAACTGAAGCAAGAAGTGCTGCTTTATGTACAGGAGTAGAAGAATAAAATATTCATTTCTTAGATTTACCATTTTATGAAACTGGTAAATCATAGAAAAAACCACTTTGTGATGAAGATAAGAAAATTGTCAATGATATTATATTGAAGATTTAACCTGATTATATTTATGCAGCAGGAGACTTAACTGATCCTCATGGAACTCATAGAGTATGTTTGGAATCTATTTTGGCAGTCTTACCATAAGTTAAAGAACAATTACCAAATTTAACTACATATTTGTATAGAGGTGCTTGGTAAGAGTGGGAATTAGATAAAGTAACAATGGCTGTTCCATTATCACCTGATGAATTATATGAAAAAAGAATTGCAATTTTTAAGCATTAAAGTTAAAAAGATAGACCTATGTTCCCAGGTGCAGATAGCAGAGAATTTTGGTAACGATCTGAAGCTAGAAATAAAGAGACTGCAAGGTATACTAAATAATATAATTAGATTATTCACAAATTTAGGATTTGTAAATTATGAAGCATTAGAATGTTTTGTGTAATTGGATGTGTTGCAGTAGTTAGGTGAATTATGAGTATGGAATTTTATATTAAAAATATTAATTTAATTCAATCATGATATTTAGAATGTTTAACTTTATGAATTCTCGGATGGATGAATTCATTGAAGAGAAGAAAGACATAAAATTAATATTGGATGAATCGTTGCTATTGTAAGATCTGTTGATGCCATAATAACAATATAAATTGCTTAATTAGTAATGTTGGAGATGATTCATAGCGTCAAGGACCATCCTGAACATTTAGAGACTTTAATTGAGTACATAACAGAATATAAAGATGAAACTTAACATTAAAGATTATAATATAAGTATCAATGTATTGAAGATTGCAATTAGATATCCCTTTTTAGCAAGTGAGATCCTAAGTAAGGAGAATGATTTCTTTCAAGATTTCCTTTTTGAAGAAGAGAATGTGCATTACTTGAATAGACTATTTTCTATTTTGAATGAAGATATCTTAAATATCACATAAGCAGGCTACTTCTCTAAAGTAATCCTTACTTTATTGAGAAAGAAGCATTTCAAAGTATTCGATTGAATATAACAGCAGATGTTACAATATTTAAATGATAGAGATATTACTAATCTTCTTAAACATATTGATATCCCACACATTGCTGAAATTATTGAAAAAATTGTTATTCCAGATTTAAATGATGATAATCTATTACTTTAAAAATAAAAATCAGTATTACAAAGAATCATGAAAATTGCTTTGCATCGTTACTATGAAAGTGATGTATATATTCCTGTTTTAATCTAGGTTTTTGACAATTGCTTATTAATTATTAACAATCTAATAAAGAGTTAAATCAATCAAGATCAGGAAGAATTGATCAAAATAGTTATGAATCCATACTTCTTTCTCACCATCTGTGTAAATATCATTTTTATGATCTTTTTTTTAGTACCAAAGTCAAAGAAGTGCAGCATATGAATTAGTATCAAATCTACTGTAATATATTAATAATTCAGGCAAAACAGATTTATTTCTCTATTTTATCGATGTAGCTAAGCATCTTCCAAATGCATTCACTACTTCTAATTTATATGCCATACCTCATCAAACTACATATGGCTAAATTATTACTCCTTTATCTAGTAACAAATTGATATTACTTCAAATATTTTACTTACTTTTACTTAGTGAGAAATAAGAAATCTTGATGGAACTCCTTAATAATCAATCCTTTTAAGTTATCACCACTGTTATATTGGAACATGAATTTAATAATCAAGCTCTAATTTGGTTTGATAAGATAGTGATCTTCATTTCGTAGAAACTGCCGTATATGTTCAAATCACTTTCAGAATACTTAGCCTCAACTATAATGAAATACAATTAAAATTAAAAAAAAAAAGTTGGATCTCTTAGAAACAATATTAAACCTGGATATTAGGGAATTTTAACTAAAATTTCAAATTTATTAGTTGAAAATCATTTCACAAATGAGTTTTGGAATCAATATATTAATGACACTCTATCTAAAATTAATTCAGTAGAAAAACGATTATTATGTGATGTTGATCCTAAACCAAGATAAATAACATAATGTATTCAAGATTCAACAACATTTGAACAGTCTAAAGAAAATGAAGATAGAGAAGAAGATGTTGAAGTAGAGGAGGAAGATATTCCTGAAGATGATAATAATAAAGAAAATGAAAATGAAAATGACGAAAAAGATTAGAATTAAGATTAATAAGAATAAGAAGAGAAATTTTATGATTGCAATGAGGAAGGTCGATTGTAACAATTAGAAGAACTTTAATAAATACAATAAGAGGAACCAAAAAAAGATAAGTTATTATCAAAGTATTAAATGTATTTTTGAATTAGACATAAATCAAGTTCGGAGGAATAGGAATTAATTGATGAATAGATTGAAGAAATCATTTCTGATCCATAAACAAAACCAGAATAAGGTATATATATTATAATATGGAGTAGTTGCATAAATTATTTAAAATGAAGAGGTTTTAATTGATGAGATTGGTCCTTTAGAATTAGAAAATAAATAGGATCATTAGGTTAATGAATATTATAAAAAGCATGAGGATCCATAAGATGAAGAGTGATATATAATAGATATATATTTAAGTATTTTAGCTTAAAATAAATATAATAAAAATAATAAAGAAGTATGAATCAAGAGGTGTTTTTGAAGAAATAATGGTTTATTATGAGTCATGAGGGAAAGATTGAATAATATTATGATATCAATCTTAAAAAGGTGATTGGATCAGGTACATATGGAAGTGTTGTAAAGGCCACCTTAAAGGGTACTAAAAATCATAGGGCTGTAAAAGTGATTCCAAAAAGTAAAGTAAAGAACCCTGATAGATTCAAAAAAGAGATAGATATTCTTAGATAATTAGATCATCCAAATATTATAAAATTATATGAAACATTTGAAGATTAGAGAAACGTTTATCTTGTAATGGAGTATAAAAATCATAAAATAATTAAAGACTTTGTGAAGGTGGTGAGCTATTTGATCGAATAATGGATAAAGGATGTTTTAGCGAAGCAGAAGCACATGAAATCTTTTTATAAATTATGCAAGTACAATATATATATTGAATATCAATTATAGGCATTGAATTATTGTCACACTAATGGAATTTGTCATAGAGATTTAAAACCTGAGAATTTTTTATTTTTAACAAAAGCAGAAGATTCTCCAATAAAAGTAATTGATTTTGGATTAAGTACTTTATTTGAAGATGCTGTATCTGCTAAATAAGCAGGAAATTAAAAAGTTACAATGAAAACAAAAGCAGGAACTCCATATTATATATCTCCAGAAGTATTAAAAGGTAGTTATGATGAATCTTGTGATATATGGAGTGCAGGTGTTATTTTATATATACTCTTATCTGGAGTACCACCATTTTATGGAGATAGTGATCCTGAAATATTAGATGCAGTTCAAAAAGGAGAATATACTTTAGATATTCCAGAGATGAAGGCTGTAAGTGATTCAGCTAAAAATTTGATATCTCATATGATTACAATACCTGAGAAAAGATATAAAGCATCATAGGTTATCTAACATAAATGGATGAAAGATGGTAGTAAATAAACTAAATGTATAAATATTTATATATAATCATATTTGTAGAATTAAAATTAAATTTTGGTCAATTGAAAAATTTTAATGGGAGTAATAAACTTAAGAAAGTTGCATTAACCTTTATAGCATCCTAATTGAATGAATAAGAAATTGCAGACTTAGGAAAGTAAAATATAGAATTAATTTATATTAGACTATTTAAATAATTAGATAAAAATGGTGATGGTGTTTTGACTATTGAAGAATTGAGAGAAGGATTAACAGGAATGAATGATACATAAGCAAAAGAATTAGGAAATGTTATTAAGAGTATTGATACTGATGGAAATGGTACAATTAATTATACAGGTATTCTATACAAATATTATTCTAAGAATTTTTGGCTGCTACTATGGAAAAGTCTTTATATATGAAAGAAGAGAAATTATATTAAGCTTTTAAAATGTTAGATTTAGATGGAAGTGGAAAAATAGATAAACACGAATTGCAAACTGTCTTAGGAAGTAATATATTGTTGAGTATTTTAGAAAGTGACAATATTATTGATGAGAAATATTGGGATGATATGATTCGTGAGGCGGATAAAAATGGAGATGGAGAAATAGATTATAATGAATTCATAGAAATGATGGATAAATTTAGTTTATTAAATTGATAATAATATATAGATTCAAAAAATGTTACTAGATTTTATAATTTCTAATAACATATAAATTACAATGAATGAACCAACTAAACCATATGATGAATTATACAAAAGTAAGTTCTACTATCCTTTAATTTTAGTTATTCTAGTTGGAGATTCTAGTGTTGGCAAGACAAGCTATCTCATTCGGTAACTCATCTAAATCTATTTTAGATTAACTAAAAATGTTATCAAAAAATAATCATAACCAACCATTGGAGTAGAATATGCTGCTTAATCAATACTTTTATCAGAAGAAGGAAAAATTGTTAAGTCTGTCATTTGGGATACTGCAGGTGCTGAAAAGTATAAAGCCATTACAACAGCACATTATCGTAGATCTGAAGGAGCTTTGCTATTTTATGATTTAAGTGATAAGAATTCCTTTGATAATGTACTCTCTTGGCGTCAATAAGTATTGAGCAAATTTTCAATTAGAGATTATTCAATATACAGATGAAAATATAATGATAATGTTGATTGGCAATAAATTAGATTTGATCTAAGAAAATCCTTCAAATAGATGTGTCTCAATCAATGATGTACAATCAATTTGTTCCAAATACAATATGATTTATTACGAAACATCAGCTAAGGAAGGAACTAATGTTAAGGAATCCTTTGAGCAACTTATAAGAAGTTATTATTCAAATTGATTTAAGAAATTTACGAATTCAAATAGTAATCCATAGAAGAGGAGAAGTCCTCAGATCCTTAAGATTTCCTCAGTTCTGAACATAAAAGTTCCTATTAACCTATTTTACCTACCAATTTCGATCAAAGTTTACATAATAAAAAATAATCTGATACATGTTGTGGCACTTAATGATTCAAATAATTAAAAATTTATGATATTTATTTCAGGAATTCAAAAATTAATACTAAAATGAGAATATTTATAAAAATGTCTAATTTTAGAAAATTTTAAGAAGAAAACATTAAATTTCTTATTGTAATACAATATGAATCTTTAATTACAAATTTATAATCAAGATTATTTATATTATATTCAAATATGAATTATATTTATTCTTTTCCTGTTGAGGAATAACTTAAATATATCCAAGGTACAATCTGCATTTTTTTAGAATGAGGATAACCATATAAATGTGAGTTCTTTCATCCAGGATATACTTGTGAAACTCAGCTACTTCATATGTAAAATCGTTTATTATTATATTTAGGTTTCCGGTCTTATTTTATGAAAGTTCTAAAGTTTATCTTCCAGTGCATTTGTTACCCCTATTGATTTACAAGAGAAAAGCATTTGTCCAGAAGTATAAATTCCAATTATTAAAAATAAGTCCAATAAGGACAACAGCAAGGACATTGTTATCTTTTTTAAAAAGTGTGTTATTTGTAACTTTCATGGTTGAAATTTTCAGATATAATTGCTGTAAATAAATAAGATTTCGTAACATTGTTGATTCATTTACTCCAATACCTGGAGGTTTTATAGGAGGATTATTTTTATATTTAGAATCAGAGAATAGGTAAAACAGTCTATTAAAATTATAGAGCTTAAGAAATCATGTTAAATGTAGTTCCTCGTTATTTTGAAACAATCTTTAACTTATTAAAGAGGAAAGGATGGTTAAAGAATATACCAAAAGGAGATGTTTTGGTATTTGCAATAATATTAGCAATAATTCATTATTATTATTAACATGATGTAAAAATTAAATGTCTATAATTATTAGCAAAATGCTTTAAAAACAACATATAGAGGAGTGTTTTCTAAATTTTGGGGAAAGAATTGATTGATTGTATTTGTAAAAATAAAATATTATTGAAAGTGTTTAAAAAGTAAAAATTAAATTAAATCTTTAATTCATGTCTATAAAATTACATTCACCATCTGGTTAAGGAAGAACAAATAAAATATTAGTAGCAGCAAAGTTGGCTAACCTCCAATTAGAATTAGTTGATACATAATTGAATGACAAAAATTACAAAGTATTCTAAGAAAAATTTCCATTTGGAAAGGTGCCAGTATTAGAAACCTAAGAAGGCAATCTTTTTGAAAGCAATGCTATTCTTAGATATATAGCGAGACATTCATAAGGATTATATGGGTAATATAAATAATTGAAATATAGAAAAACACTTTATTAATAAGGATTAGTTGATTAATGGTTAGATGTAACAACAAATGAATTAGAATGTGATGTTGTAGCAGCTACAATATAAATATAAGGTTAGATTCCATCATTTCCTACTTAATATTAAACATCTTTAACTTAAATTACTCATACATTATCTATAGTGAATAATCAATTAGGAAATTCTAAATATATTTCAGGAGAATCATTAACTGTAGCAGATATTGCTTTAGCATAAAGTGTTACAGTTGCTTTTACCTTTTTGTTAGGAGAATAAGAAAGAAATAAATATTAAAATTTATTAAAATGGTTGAATGAAATTAATTCACTTCCTGAATGGAAAGCAGTAATTTAGAAAATTATTATTTTTAGGAATTTGGTAGACCAAGATTCCCAAAGAAAGCATTCACTTTAATAGTAGTAATTGAAGAATAAAAAGATAAGAAAGATAAGAAAGATAAAAAGGATAAGAAAGATAAGAAAGAGAAAAGTTAAGAATAACCAAAATAGAAAGAGTAATAGGAATAACCAAAATAAAAGGAATAATAGGAGAAACCAAAATAATAAAAAGATTAAACAAAATAATAATAAGATTAACCAAAATAATAACCTAAATAAGAAGAAGATGATGATGTACCAAAAAAGAAAGAAACTAATCCTTTAGATTTATTACCACCTTCAACTTTTAATATTGATGATTATAAGAGAATATTCTTTGCAGAAAAGGATATTAATAAAAATATTGAAACTCTTTTTTCAACCATAGATTTAAATGGATGGTCTTTATGGTTTGTGAAATATAATAAATCAGAAAATGAAGGAAAATAATTGATTCTTACAAATAATTTAATGAAAGGATTTATAAACTAAAGATTAGATTAAAATTTCAGAAAATATGCTTTTGCAATTCATGGAGTTTATGGTGATGAACCTAATCTTTTCATAAGAGGAGCTTGGTTATGGAGAGGAACAGAAGTACCAAAAGAATGGGTATTTATTATTTTAATAATGAATTTAGAAAGATCATATTGCATATGATTATCATGAATTTATCAAAGTTGATGTTTAGAATGAAGGTTAAAAATAATTATTTATTGATTATTGGGTTAAATAAGAAGAAGATGTATCAGAAGTTGAAGGATTAAAAGCCAGAAGTTTAATGTATTTCAGATGAGATTTATATTAATATAACAATAAAATTGTAAATCAATCTGTTAATATGAGTTTGACTATTGACTCACGTATTCCAGGCAGTGTATCTAAATTATGATTAGAAAATGATTTAAGAATTCTTTCTATATTTGTATGGCACTATTAAACAGTATAAACAATAAGCGAAGATACTTTTTGTTCTATTTATTACTAATCAGTTGAATCTCCACCTTCACTTATAGAAATATCGAATTACTCTGAACCCTATTGGTATTGGGAACTATCTTCAACTAAAGATGAAATTATATCAACAGATGACCCGTCTTCTTTTAATTTCATTTTCTTTTATTGTAATAACTACATGTATAATACATAAACTAACATATTAATATCTTTCCATGCAGCTTTAAGGGTTTTTCTCTTAAAATCGAGAAGTTATTTAATTCCATACACCTTTGTATATTTTAAATGCTGCCCAAAGCATTTTATCATCCATTGCATTCCAAACATTCTAATATTAACTTAAGACCTATTTTTGAATTTACTCTCTTTTTTATTATTATTATTGTTATTATTATTATAATAATAACAATTGATTTGGTTATTTAATCAAAGCCTATTGAAATTGTTATAAATGCATAGATTCACTAGAAGACTCTTCATTATAATCAAAATGTGGATTATATCTTCTAGGTATTTCTCTATGTTTTTTCTTTTATTTTTTTAACTTATAATTTTGATTCTCCATTTCAGAAAAATCAGCCAAAGCATCTAATCTATCCATTGTTTCTACTTTCTTATACATAATTATAATTAATATTACTTGTTTTAGAATCTTCCATCTAGCTTAACATTGTTTTGAATCTTTAGTTGGTACTTCTTCCTATATTTTACTCCATTAATTTCCATATTTTCTTATTGCTTTTAAAAGTAATTCATCTTCAACTTCTTTCCATTTCTTTCTAGCTGGAATTTATTAGTTTTTTTGTCTACCATCATTTTTTTAACAGAAATCTAAAAAATCATTTATCATTAATAATGTTCCAATGCTATGCTGATTTTGAATAATTTATTAGCAAATTTATCTAATGATTATTTTTATATTATATACAATAAATTTGATATAATAATATGATTTAAAAACCTTCTTTAGAGAATATATTAAAATAAAAATGGAGTGATAAATATGAAAAATAAAGAATACTATTTCGATCCACTTTAAAATTCATTCATACCAAATCAATTTAACCATTCAAAGGATATTTTAATTTATAATTAGTAATCTTTATCTATTCAATTAGAGATTGAAAATAAAGTACCAACTCAAATAAGAGATCCTGAAACAGAATTGATAGGAGAATTTAATGAGAATGATATTAACTTTCTAAATGTGGAGTAAGAAGAAATCCTTTTTAGAGTAGATTTCTCTACTGGGGAAATTATAGTTGATGATAATAATCTTAATGAAAATAATGACAATCCAATACTCATTAATACTGCCCCAATTTGTTCATATCATTCAATTGTTGTTCCATTCTTAAATTCTAAATTTCAATAACTTCTAAGTGGATTTATTGCAGAAAGTGTTTTTATCCTCTTTAAAATTTCATCCTAACCACATCTAAGAATAGGATATAATAGGTATTCCATATTTTTATTTATTTTATTTAGTAAATTAGCCAATTGTTCTATAAATCATTTACATTTACATCTTATTTATGTTGATTAAATTTTTGAAAATAATCGATTCCCTATCGAAGAATTTCCCATCAAACCCTTAGCTGATATACGTAATGCAACCCTTGGATAAGTTGAAAACTATCCTATTAGAACATTAGTAGTGACTGGTGAAAACATCATTGAATTGCTATCTATTACAATCGATACACTTTTGGCTTATGAAATACCTCATAATATTATGTTTGTTAGTCCATAATTAGCATACATTTTTCCTAGAGTATTAATTATATTACATTATTATAGAAAAATCAATTTGAATTTATTCATGAACATGGAATGAAACCGGCATTTGTTGAACTTAGTGGATTAATGGTTTGTAGAACTAAAAAGTATTATGAAGAATTAACTCTTAAAGAAATTGAAATCAGATTATCTGAATTAACTCATCCTCTATTTGACAATGTTGTCTAAGAATTAATCATGTTATCAGCTGAATGATATTGATATAAGAGGTATAAAATTAACACCAATTACGTTTCAAGCTTAATTATTATTGTAATTATTATATTAATCAAATTTTGTCATTATTTTTTTTTTAATTTATGTTTTTGTCATTCGTCAACATTGCAAAATATTTCATAAACCTACAGAAAATTGTACTTCTCTTAATAAAAAAAAGAAATAGATTTTTTTAAGATAATCATAAGAAAATTTAAAATGATCTAATTGAAGGTCTAAGTCAAATAATCAACAGCATACATGATTATGATCAATTTAATAAAGTAAAGAATTAGCAATTTATAAATAATTGTTAGTTTTCCTTCTTTTTTATATAAAATACCCAACGACATAACATTATAATTATATTAGTTAAATAACAACAGTTTTGAAAATTTATTATTATTATGAAAATGGATGGATCTGAAAATGCTAAATATCTAATTCATTTCTAGAGTATAATTAAAGAGCCTTAGGATAAACAAGATAGAGATCTATAAATTTAAGCCAAAAAGATACAAAATCTCGGCACTTAGAAAATAGAAATCTAAAAAAGAAAACTCATTTTAGATTAAACTGATACAACATCTATAAAACAAAAATGTATTAAGAAAAGAAATAAAATTTACGAAAATAAAAAAATAAGAAGACCTTGGAGTGCTTAAGAAGATTAATAATTATAGCTTGCTATTTAATAACATGGATCTAATTGGATTTAAATAGCAGCATCATTGATGAATCGAAATCCATCTCAATGTGCTTAGAGATGGAAAAGAATCAAACCATCAGATGTATATATTGTTAATTAATTGTAGTTAAAAAAAAGAAAACCATTTTCTATCAAGGAAGACCAAATTATATTAGAATTAGTTTCAAAATACACAAAAAATTGGGGTAAGATTGCGTAATACCTACCTGAAAAAACAAGCAAATAAATAAGAGAGAGATATATTAATAAACTTAATCCTTAAATCAAATTTGAACCATTCACTGAAGAAGAAGATTAAATCATAATAAATGCTTATAGAGAAATAGGTTCGAAGTGGTCTAAAATCTAAGATCTTCTGATCGGTAGACCTGTATGTATATTATCTTAATTTTTAGGAAAATATGATTAAGAATCGTTTTTACTCATACTTGAGATAAAAATTCTTAAAAATAAAAAATCCATATTATGCAATTCCTTAACAAATAGCCATGGAAAACAAAAGTTAATAATCAAGCAATAATGAAGAATAACAATTATCAGAAGAAAAATAATAAATAGAAACTTAATTCGAAATATAAAATAAAGAAAATAATAATCAAAGAAATAAGTGTAATTAAAACATACAACCTTAAGTTACCTTCTCAAGTAATCAATATTTTTAAATTCCTTGCCCTATTCTGTATGGAAATTACTCTTGTAATAAATTTCAATTTATATAGATCCTTAATTTTAATATTATTAAACACCTATAGCTTTAGTTTACACTCCAATTCAATAAGATGATTTGAATGTGCAGAATAGTTTGAACACTGTTTTTTAATAACAGATAATTTTTGGCTAAAATGTTACAAATTAATTAGTTTTTTAATCAAACTCTTGATAGAAAATAAATTTATTTTTTTATAAGTTTAGTAATATATAGTATATAGAAATATAAAATTCTCAAGTATTTTTATTTGATCTTTTTACTATTCTCTACAAAATATCAGCTAAATTACCTAGCTCTGATACATATCTAAATATAATAAATATTCTTACCCTTTAGAAATTTATCCTATTTCTTATGTAGACAATGATGAAAAATGAGATGTCATTCTTACAATGTCTGTTAAAGGAATCTTTTCCATAAATCGATTTGAAAGTTGAGGTGAATGATTTCTTTAAAAGGAATTTGATTTTTGAATATTAAAAGTATCATTAAAAGAGAATGTTTATTTTTTCTATTGAAATAGATTTGGCTTGGGAATTGAATTAAATTCAAGATTATTAGATCCTTTATCAAAGAGTCCTTTTTAAACTTCATTAACATATTTATAGAATAGAGGTTTATCTCCTTAAGGTGAAACTCTATTTGATATTGATTTGTTTTAGAGTATCAATTAAACATCAAGTCTATTATCCCAATTTTTAAATCTTTCCAATTTTTCTCTAGATTTTTGTGGTGATTCTTTATAACCTGAGCCTAATGTTTTATTTTATAAAAAAGGTTTAGGAAATGAAGTAAAGGAATTATCTTAGAAATCTTTAGCAGGAGATCTTTTAAATAATTAATCTATTTTATTATTTCTGTTTTTAGATTAAGGTCCTCTATTGTCAAAGATTTCATCATAGTTGAGTCCACCAAGAATTCTTGATTTTTTAGGTGATCTCTTATTAACCTTTTATTCTTCTCTAAGAAATATGAAATAATATAATACAGAACAATTCTTTCTGCTTTTGTCCATGAAGCAAATAATTAAGGTGACTTTTCTTAGTAACTAGTAAAAGGTTCTCTAGATGACATATTGGTTCGAACATCTTTTCTAAAATCAACTAATTATTTAGAATTTAATTAAGTAGTTGTTTAAAAGGTTGCAAATCCAGATGAATTGTGAGACTTTTCAAATCTTGCTTGTTTTTATGGTGAAAACAATGATGGTTAACGCATAAAGTATAACAGATAAAAATTATTAATAAATTTATTGAATTAAAATAAATTCATTTACACTGATCATATAAATAGTTTGGTTTTTTTGTTGATATTATCTATCCTTCCTTTCAATATAACTTCTTCATTTAATTCTAGATTACTGTCTTTTACTTAAATATCTTATTCAAATTTTAATATTAGATCATATTTATTTAGATAAACTAGAATTGAAAAATAAAGTAAGAAATATATATACTCAATATTATTTCCTCTTCTATTTATTCAAATATATTATACAAATAAAGTTCAAATCAATTCAAGTATTTTGCTGTTTTATTCAATGTTTTTGATTGTCTATTAAATTTGTCCATTCTCTCCTATGAATTGTCTATTCAAAATCTATACTCAATTAAAAATTTATTAGGTTTAGTATCTTAATAAATTACATTTTGATGTTATGAATTATAATTTCTTCACATTTACATTTCCAACATAAGAACAGTTTTAAGAAAAATTTTACTCTTTTTTTTTAAATTAATCAATTACTTGAAAAATTTTAACATATTATATAAAGAACTCTTCATTCAATTGATTATATTCTATTAATTCTTAATATATGATTTTATCTTAGTTGACGATTTTATTGTTTAGAAGATGCCAATTTAATTGCAACTACGATAATGTTATTTATATTGAGTCTTAAGTAAATAACATTTTATATAAAAGAATGCAATTATTTTTTAAGACTAAAAAATTTATTAAATATTTTTAGCTTTACAGTTTTTAATAAATAAATGAAGTCATTGAATATAGTTATCATAATCAAGATATTAATATTGTCCTGTTTTATTAGACATGTATAATAATTTTGAATCCATCTTATTGCTTTGATATTCAATATCATCACAATCTTATTGTAATGAGAGTATTTATTGGTTAAATTGATTGTTCTAGTCTCTCTAATCTTGGATAAGCTGAAATAAGTTCTTTTGAAAATATTAATAAAGTTTACAGATTTCAATTTATTAACATTGAGAGTCATTTCATATTCAGTATTAAGAATGTCTCGTTATTGTATATGTTCAAGATTGTTGAGAGTTAATTTCATATCTTGAATATTTTGGTGTAGTCTATTTCTGATTTCTTTTGTAGATTGAATAATTTCCTCTATTTAAATAATTGAATTATACTCTGATAATTCTAATATGATCTTTGGCACTTTAGGCCATTAAAATAAAGGCAATTGAATCTTCACATAAGGAATTAGGTAATCTTGCAGTTGTAGAATCTAAGGCTGAGTCCATCAGATGAGATTCATGCATTCTAAATGTAACAGATCCTGAATGTTTCATTTTCTTATTCATTATATTGATATGTAATAAATTTATATAAATTATAAAGATTATTATTTTAATTTGTTTTAAAGAATTGCTGATTTTGTAAATAATAAAATAATTATATTTATGAGATAAGATGATTATTTTAGGGTGATAGAGAAAGAAAAGAAAAAAGAAGATCTTAGACGATAAGAATAGTTGAGATTAGAGGAAGATGCAAAGAAATAATAACAAGAGTAAGAGAAATTGATAAAAGATAAAGAGGAAATAGATAGTGATTCTAAAGATAAAGATAAATCAGCTAGAGATGATAAAAGTATTAAGGTGAAGATTGATGAGGCAAGAAGCACAAAAGATTAATAATAGAACAAAAAATTACGAGATAAGAAAGGAGATAAATATGATAAATAATTAGAAAATTTAAGACCTGAGTAATTGGTTGAAAATGAAATAGGAAAACCTTATTATTTAGTGCCTGATGAAACTAAATTAGAAATCAATGTAGCATTATTTAATGATTTTAGAAAGAACTAATAGAGAGGGAGGATAATAAAGTTAGAAGATGGAAGGTGTTTATAAATGAAATAAGATTAGAGAATTTACAAAAAGAATAATTATCAGTTTTTCTAAATTTTAGAATAGGGTAAATTGGCAAAACGGCTAATAAATATGCAGATGTGTCAAGTGGTGAAGTTTTTTTTAAATCTGAAATTTGTAAAGATTTAAAAAGAAGTGAAGTAAAAATAATTAAAGTAATGTTTGAAACAGAAATGCATCTATCATATTAGATGTTGAAAGAACGTTATTTTGTTATAGAAGTATGGGAATATAGAAGATTTCGATTAAATTTATTTTTGGGTAAAATTTAAGTTTCTCTTTTAAATATTGCATCTGGAAACATTAAAAGATAAGATGATATCAAGAAGGCTTTTGGTGAAAGAAGATAATTTGCTAGAATATATTACAATGTATTATTTTAAGAAGTTTGGGATTATAAATTAACCTTTGAAGCTTGGAAAGGAGCAAATATAATAGCAGATTCAGGTAAGGAACATGATCCTAAAATTCAATTGACTTTAATGACAGAGGAATTAATATAACCATAAGTAGAATCAGAATAAATTAAGAAAACTAAGAATCCCAATTTTAGAAATCTTAAAGGATATATGCATTTTAGAGGAACAATGGAAGATTTAACATAATAAATGATGAAAGTAACCTTATTATTTGATGCTTTTTTTAATAAAGCAGAAAAATTAGTATCATTAAGAGGAATTTAAGATACAAATTATTTAAAAGTTTAATTTCGATTAAAACTTAAAGTACCTCCTCCAAGAGTTAAGATAGCTAAGAAACCAAAGAAGAAGAATAAATAACATAAGAAATGGGATGGGAATGATGAAGATGAAGATGAAGATTTGGAAGATGATGAAGATGCTCTAAGAGATGAAGCATACATAGCAATTATTGAAGGGAGAGTAAATTTAAATAAAGTTCCACGATATTCTTAAAATGGAGAACTTAATACTTATATTCCAGAAGAATATTATTTAGTTGTAACAATAAATAGATTGAACAGTGTTTTAAGTCCAGATGATAGAGGTGTCATTAATACTTATTTGACTGTTGCTTGGAGAGATTAAGCTAAAACTACTAGAATGATTAAGAATGATCCAAATCCATCTTATAATGAGGAATTATACTTTAGAATTCCTATTCTAAGAAGAGAGAAGACTTTTGAAGATATAATTAATTAAAAAACAGATAAAGATTTACTAATTGATGCTTTACGTGAAGAATTGAAATCTCGACCAGATATTACAATTTAATTATGGTTAGATGGATAAGATATATTGAGCGATGAATCATTAGGGTATTGTAGAGTATTTCTATCTGAAATACAAAAAGCTAGTAAATTTAAAAAGACTTTATTAACTGATGATAATAGAAGATATTAATTTGATACAAGAGAAGCTACTTTTACTAAGAAATTTGAAAGTGGTTTATTTAATGTTAGTCATATTTAAATTACTTTTTAAGCATTCTTTGCACCTGATCTACCTGAAGAATTAAATCTTGAAGAATTTTGTGAAGTTCCTGATGATATTTATCCATATTAAATTTCAGATTAATTATAAGTTAAAAAAGATCATGAAGATAATGAAGAATATCAATAATGGGATAAATATGTTAGAGGTAATTTTTCATAGTTTGGATTAGAAAAGACAGCATATAATATATTCTTTAAAAATATTTTTGTTAGAGATTAATTCAATTATTATCATTTAGTATGTAAATATTTGGAGAAATTTTATATAAAATTTTAAAGTGAAGAAGCAACAAATGAATTATTTGCTAATCCAAAAGATATTAGAATGAAAAATTTACATGAAATGTGTCATTTTGTTAGAAATATACCTTTTATTTAAGATTCATTTTCTCGAAATGATGTTTGGAGATCTCCTGATTTTTTATTGAAAATAAGAAAAGGTTTCATTCATGATCATGCAATATTGGGTGCATGTTTATTTATGGGTTTTGAAAGAGAAGATAGAAAAAGAGAACATGAAAAAGATTCTAGTAAATATATTCCATTTGAGCATAGAGTTTTTATATGTTTAGGTACTCTTAAACATAATTCTTAATTTCATGCTTGGCTTATGGTTTTTTCACATGATTTATCAGGAATTACTTTTTGGGATGTTTAAGAAGATTTTCATATGCATTTAGATGGAAGAGTTAGAAAAGATAAAAGAGCAGCATTAAGAAAGTTTTTATATGCTGAAAAACCAGTAACTAAAAAAGATGGTGGATTTGCAATGGGATTAGGATTAGGAGCTTTAGGTAATTTAGGAAATAAATAAAAAAAACCAATGTCAAAGAGAAAATAATTAATAGAATAAAGAAGAAAAGAAATTGAAAAGAAATAATAAGAAGAAGCATAAAAAAAATAAAAATAAAATGAAATTTTAATGTAATAATAAAAAGAAGCAGAAGAAAGGAGAAGAAAGGCTAGAAATAATGCAATATTTTAACCAGAAGATGATGGTAGAGGTGAATAAGATGAATAAGCTATTTAAACTATTTAATTAGATTAATTAAAGGGTAATATAAAATTAAAAAACCCAAGATAAATGGGTGAAGTGAAATAATCAAAAGAAAGATAGAGTGAATAAGAAGATGAAGATGTCAAAAAATCTAGTAATAAAGGAGGAGGATCTGTTGGATAAAAAAAAACATTTACAAATCCTTTATTTATTTATAGAGAAGATCCAAAATAAAGTGCAATAGCTAAAAAGTAGGAAGCAGAAGATGAAATTTTAAGAGCTAATCCAATAGCAAAATTTTCAAAAATAGATCGTTTTTTTGATAAAAATGGAAAAGAGTAAAAAATTTATTTATATTTTATATAGAGTTATAGATCCTGGATAACTACCATATGAAACAATTGAAATTATTTTTAATAATAAAAATATGTAATTATTTATATTTAAATAGATTTGGAAATATGGCTAATTAAAAACCTTAAGAGATTTTCTATCATTTACATGATAAAAAATTATGGTATCCTTTTATTAAAGAGACAGTACCAAATACAGGAGACAAGGAAGAAAGTGAAGAAGAAGAAGAAGATGATGATACAAATATATAAATTGATGATGAAGATATTGAAGATTAAATGAAATAAAAGGATGAAGAATTCATATAAAAAACATGGAATTAAAAAGTTGGAGCATTTTATTCAGCTTAAATTCTTAAAGAACCTATTAAAAAAAATAGAATCAAAAGATTATTAGAAGATATATTCATGGAAGTTAAATAAGGAGTTGAAAAAGCTAGAGGTAAAAGTTCACTTTTTACTAAATGGAAACATGATTTAGATGGAATTAATAAAAAAATGGAATAATATTTAAAAATATTAGAATATAAAACTACATATAGAACTATTAAAGTTGTATAATAGAAACATGATGATGAAGGTGTAGCTAAATGGAATCATATATATAAAAGTAGAAATTATGAAGAAATCATTGATTAATGGAAAAAAGAAGTTAAAGCAATGTTACCTTTAAACACACATTTATGTCTATTACCTATGAGATTTAATTATACTGAAGTAATAATCTTATTATATAAATTATAATAGTCAGAAAAAATAAGATCAGTTATTGTTGAAAATATGGAACCTTTTTTTATGAGAAGAGATAATAAAATTATATTTAATTTGGCTGGAAAGATTTTTAATTATCCTAATAGAGTAATTTATCATATTTAAATAGATTGTTTGTGTTAGATTAATTCTTGGATATTCATATTGTTAAAATTTAGATGAAATTAAAAAAAAAGATGAAAGTGAAGATGAAGAATAAGAAAATTAAGAAGGTGAAATTGATATTTAAAAACCAATGCTTGATGATCTTGATGCAGATGAAGATGAAAATGCAGATTTATTAAAAAAGAAAAATGTTGATAATTAATAATAGTGAATGCTACACTGGTTTATATCCTATTCATTATAATTACTTTAATTAACATATTTCCTTTTTTAAAACCTCTTTTTAAAAACTTGTTAATTAATCTTAATACTTTTGATAAAATTTAATCTTCTCTTCAAGCATTATACAATACTCTGATTTAATATTTCCATTCTTATTTATTTTTTCTTTTTCAACTTATTATTCCTACTATTTTAAATTCCAATTTTCAACTCTGTTTGTATAATTGAAATAATAATCTTGTTTATCTTAAAAAAATATAAATTTTTTCCAATTAAGAAATGATTTCATTATAAGTTTTGAAGAATAAAATGCCTCAGCCATTAATTTTTTTTACAGTTCCTTTTAATTCATAATAAATTTTTATTCTTTTTCATCAATTAATTTTCTTTTTTCTAAGAATTCTTATTTACTTTGCTTTTCATTAATTCTTAGAGATCGAAATGACTTTTATAGTATTCTATTATTATAATAATTTTCAGCTCTTATCAATTTTCTGCGATTGTGTTATCTTTTTAATGTATAATCATTTAATAATTGAACTATTTTCTTTTATAACTTTTTTCTGTATTAATTTTTAACAAAATAACATATTTCTTTCATTCTGTATTTTCTCATAAGGGCTAGGTTCCAATTAAATAAATATCTTTTCATTAAATTATAGTTTTTTCTCATTTCAATCACTTTAAGTTATGTTTTTTATTATGCATTCAAAATTAAGGCTTGTAAAAATACTTTCTTAATTTTATCATGTTTTTTATTTAAACCTTAATCAATTTTCATTTTATTTATTAGGGTTGAAATTTGTGTAAGTCTTTTCCATTATAAAAAAATCTATTTTAAAATCATTAATTTAATAAATTAACTCAATAATCATATTTATTGTAATATTTTTTAAGATAAAAGTCATATGCGATTATATGAAAACAGAAAAACAAAATTTATTCATATTGACTCAATCTAATCTTATACTTAAAGTATATTTTTTTCTATTCACTTCTTTTTGTTTTAATATTTTAGCTGTTAATTCACTTTTAGAGTTTTATGCTTTTTGGAGATTAATAATATTCTAATAATGGGATGCAAAATTCTCATTAATAAAACTTTATAAACTATATCCATTTTATGAGAGTCGAAGACTTAATTCTTCATTTAAATATTTTGTTCCAACCATATTTTAATATAATGATATCTATTAGGATTGAGAATTGTCTTGAAAAAACCCTGATTTATTTAAGGTTACCTACTTTAATAATAAATTATACATTATGATTGTTTATTGTGATATTGCAATTAGATAATTATAATATGTATTAATCTGTTTCAGAATAGCCATTAAATATATAATTAGTAATTGTAAAATTATTTGAAGTCATATTATATCTTACATCAATTTCACATTTCACGCATGTTACAGACCTAATAAAATTAAAAAGGTACGTTTTTTCAATGAATAAAAAGATTTTGGTAATTGGTAACCATAAATTTAGTTTAGATATTCTTCTAAATTTACATTTGCTTCTTAAATGGAAATACAGATAAACTCAGAATTAAAAGTTGCATATATAATACCTTATTAGTAATATTATTGAATAGATTCAATGAATTCTTTATATTCTTTACTAATTTAATAATTAATTCATACCCAAATTGATGATATACTCCAACAATTAACCAATTATCTTCATCTAATCTATAGGCATGATTTGCTTTGCAATTATTACAAATATCATGAATTATTGATTAATTTGATTTGCAGTCTATTCTTTCAGATATTAATTCATAATTAATTTTTTAAGGTCTCAAAGTTTAATGTGTTAATAATTATTGAGATGTAATCCAAATAAGAATAATGAATGCTAACATAAAATTAAATAATTATAATTTAAAATATTAAAACTCTAATTAAAACTTAATTTATTTTTTATAATATTATTGATATAGATGACTAAAATAATATAATTAAGTTATTAGAATACAAAATAGAAGGATTAAAGAGTTTTAATAAAAAAACAAAACTAATATATTTAATTTAATTTCAATCTTATTCGATTGATTATCTTTCTTAATTTAACTAGTTTTACTAAGTACTTAAAAATTGATTCTTAAATTACTATGAAATGATTTGAATGATTACATCTAAATAACCAGGAGGAAATTTAATATTAATATTCAGATCTGTGATAGTTTCACCATTTTGCTGAGCTTCAATAATCATCTTCTATAGAGAATAATATTAAATATATTTTTACAGCAAATTTTTCTCTGTCTGTTTTATTACCTCCATCATGTTTCAATTTAATATGAAGATTTAAAGAAACATCACTACCATATTATTTATTACATTTTTCATAAGGACATACAAAACTCTTTTCAATTTCTTAAGAAGTCCTTCTATTTTTCTTTTTGTGACGATAACTTAAAGCAATATGCAATTCTTATTATAATTTCTTTAAAATATCACTTAGATTTACGTCAATATCGCCTATTAATTCGTGTAATTTTTAATTTTGGGAATGTAATTCATTTACTTTTTTAATTGCCATTTCATTTAGAATGTAATATCTCCAAAACTCCTTATAATAATTAACATCGCTATTATACTCTAAATTTGAATTAGATTTTAAATACCCTAATTCTAATCTTTATTTTACAGTAGTTATTCAGTTGATTAATCATCAAGTTATGATCTTATTTCATCTAACTATTTTAATTTTCTATTTAACTCATCATCAACAATATTCCAATCTCTTGACTTATTCATTAACTGTAATATATATATATTAATAATTAAATCAAATGTTTAAATTATCTTAGATTGATACCTTATACTCAACATAAATACTAAATAGTTCATCAAACAATCTCAATTATTTTCCATAGTTACTATTATTTTCACTTGAATCTAGTATGATGAATTGAATTTGTTATAAAAGTTAAATAATTATATAATTCTTAAGGAAAGACATAGTATTGATGTGTCATTTTTGACAAGAATAATTCAACTTTAAATAAAATTTTTATTCAATATAATTAATTACTTAATAAATAAGGACTAAAGATAATTAATATTGCATGAAATAAACCCTTTTGGATGGCCATATTCAGATGAATGACAATCAATTTTTATTCTAAATTTACTTGAAACATTATATTAAACAGAAATTTTATGAATCTTTGGATAAAATATTGGTAAATGAAGAATTCAATGAGTATAATAAATAATAAAATTCTCACTAAAATGATAAATAATAACTTAGTTAACTTATAGTAACCATTCTACAAGTATCAAGAATTTATTAATAATTATTGATTTCTAGGTTCTTTTCTATTCTTCTTTATTTTTTCATATGCCTTCTAAATTATTTAATAAATAAATACACAAGTTTAAATTATTCAAGTGAATAAAAGTTTAAGTAAATAAAATATCTAAAATATTTACATAAGCTACAACATAAATTACATTTTGAGTGGCTATGATCACTATTTTATATTAGTTTCATTTTCAAATTTTGTAATACAATTACAAAAATAAAAAATAGTTTATATTAATTATGGATAGTTTAATCAATATATCTTGAGGTCAATTTTATAAAAAAATTTTGGAATTTAGATTCAAAATCTATTTTATAAAATATATTAATATTTAATATCAAAAATTACGAAAATTTATAGTTCAAAAAATTTGTAATTTATTTTTAAAGGATCCTTAATTGAAAATTATTATTAATTTTAATTTATACACGTTTATGATTTAATAGTTTTATTAATTGTAGAATTAAGTTAAAGTTAGGATTTCAAGAAGGGAGAGTAAATAAATCAGACTCTCTTAAAAAATTGGATATTTTGGATGAAAACTAATGAAAAGTCTATATGGGCAAAATTATCAATAGAGATGAAAATGCCAATAAAATATTACTCTTTCATAAGACATATGATTTTGATTAGTGAATAATTGATTGATATCAAACAATAAAGTAATTATTATGAAACTAAGTATATTAGAATTATTTGAGATTTAGTTATGATGTTATTCTTTATGTAGGCCAATCAAAATGAATGGGTAGATTTATATGATTATATTGTATTTTAAAATAATATTATTATCAACGAAATTAGGTTTTTTCTCCTTTAAATACTATTGTTTTACTAAGTATTATAATAATTTGTTACATCAAATTAAATTTAAGTAAAAAATGTTAGACGGGATAAAGGATAAAGGAATAGAATAATTTAAATCATTCAAAATTAATATCAATAATAATATATTTTTGACATCATGCTTTTTTTTCAGGAGAAACTGGTTATGATTTTCTTTATGAATAATTCTTCTAAGTCTATTAATGTTAAATATTCTTGAGTTCTATGTCATAATGATATCCCTCAAACAATGCTAATTTATTAATTGATTATAAATATACATTAAACTGTATCTCTTCTTAAAAGAGTTTAATTTTCTAATAGTTATTCATCATTTAATTGAGTTTCTTCAGAAATCTGATTTTAGAAGTCAAAATTATCATCAACTGCCTTAAAATAAGTTTAAATAATACCCCAGGTACATAAAGTGCTTAAACTTTTTTCCTTAATAAATCATCCCAAGGATAACCTTTTAACCATGAATGATGTAATATTTCTTCAATTCCATTGCTACCTAATCTTCTTTCTGGTTTTCTTAGAATTAACTAAAATAATATTATAAATTTGGATACCTAATTAACAAAATCAATTGAGTTTTCACTCCAACCTATTGGTAATTCTTCCTTCTTCACTTAAACTTACTTGGCAAGTATTTATTCTCTAATATCTTATCTAGTTCTTCCATTATAAGGTCTTCTTCCCAACATTAATTCATATGTAATAACTCCTAAAGCATAATAATCAGCCACAACAGAATGATCCATTCTACACATAACTTCTGGAGCCATATAACCAGGCGTTCCTGATGTATCTCCAGCATTATTTCCTTTATTCATTCTCGCAATTCCTAAATCTGTTAATCTCATATATCCATCTTCATCTAATACTAAATTCTCCGGCTTTAAATCTCTATGTATAATTCCATTTTAATGTAAATAAGTTAAAGCTAATAGAATACAAGCAACGAAAAATTCTACATTATACTTATTTTAATATACTTGTTTATGCTTCACTAAATTTTCTCATTTTACCTAAATGAAATCTTAAATCACCTCCAGTTAATAGATCTATAATTAAAAATAGATTTTCTCTATCTTAAAATGCATACCACATATTAACTAAAAATGGGTGATGTAAGTGTTCTAAAAGATACTTTTCATTCAATACTGAATTTACACTTCTTTTTTAGATAACTTTAGCTTTAGACATTTCTTTTAAAGCAAATAATTTTTTATTTTTTTTCATTTCTACTCTCCAAACTCTTCCGAAACCTCCTTTTCCAATAACATAAAGAAATTTAAAATGTAATCTACCAACTTATTCATCTAATTTTAAACCGAGAACTTAAGTTTTTTCAGAGATTTCACCTGTAGATTTTCTTCTGATTTCGCTTGATTTCGAATCATTTTAATTAATTTTGCTTTTCGAGATAGAATCGTTTGGAGTGATTTTGCTCTTTGTAGAATTTTCATGATTATTTGGAGAATTAGGAGCTGATTCAACTATTCCTGAATTAATAATCTAATTGTATAATGAAATAATAAGATACAGCTGAGAATTTAGGTCCTTATTAATTGAGTTTCAATTTAAAAGAAGTTTAAGTATTACTGAGGACATGACTTTTTGATTCAATTCTTTTTGGAATTACTTTAGATTTAGCATTATAACTGTTCTCATACAACTATGAATTACTTAAATTTCCCTTTTGATAATAGTTATTTAAAAAATTTTCCATGTTATGATAAAATTATGGTTTTTTGTTTTGTTCTTTAGGAGCTTATCTAGACTATGGACGAGACTCTTATAATTGTTATAAGTGGCTTTGTAATTACTTTTGTAAGAACATCTATTGCATTTAATATTGTTTCTCACGGTTAGGAGATTAATGAGCAGAAACTGAACTTGTTACTTTTATTTCTCTTCTACTATCTTATTCACAAGCTTGATTTTTAGTTGCTACCTTAACTTTTAAAAGAGGAGAAGCATTAATCACTACTCTTTTCTTTATACAAATAGAACAATTCTTTTAATTACAAGAACATTGAGATATATCAGCTTTTTTATCCCAATTTCCTGATTATTTTCTATTTGGTTGCATTTTGTTAACAGGTTCCCCTTTAAATTTTATTTTACTATTGAGTTATTACTTAATCAACAAATCTCTTAAGTTTTTTGCTGTTGATTGACTCATTTCGTTAATTATTTTTATTAAGTGATAATATATATTATTACAAATAAAAATACACATATAAACATATTCATTTATATTTAAATATTTTAAACTTATATCATACTCTTATGATTTATAAATATTCTGTATATTTTTATATTTTTTCAATTATTCTATAATTATGATAAATAATTAATAATGAAAAAATTTCTTAACTATCTGACAACAATCATTATAGAATAATAAGAACCTATTACACAGAATCAATCCGACTAAGAACATTTTATTGTTTTAGTAAGTGAATTCAATTAATATCAAAATGAACCAATCAATTAGAAAAATTGTACACTATCCTATCAAAGGAGATAATGAATTGTATAAGTAAATATTTGAGTAATTTATGGAAATTGATATACTCAATAGACTTTATGATATTTTACAACAAAAATTGTGTAATCATTCACTAATCAAAGAAGTATTGAAATCTGAGAATTTATATAGATTTTTGAATAGGTTGTTTCATTATTAATAAAAGTAAAGGAAATCACAAATAAGAACTATTTATTATCTCATTTTACTCATAATCATATAAATTACTGATTTTGTGTTATAAATTTTATAATCGTCCTCAATTTAAGGTGAGGATAAAAGTAGATCAATTTTTTTTGTATAATCTTAATAGTAATATTTTCATTTTAGACAAAAATCAAAACATTATGGCCTACTCAAGGAGTTTTCGATTTATCTAATTTATTTCAATCTTAAAAATCAATTGCAACGCACTATCAAATAGATTAATATAATTATTGAAAAAATTGAANTCTTATAATTGTTATAAGTGGCTTTGTAATTACTTTTGTAAGAACATCTATTGCATTTAATATTGTTTCTCACGGTTAGGAGATTAATGAGCAGAAACTGAACTTGTTACTTTTATTTCTCTTCTACTATCTTATTCACAAGCTTGATTTTTAGTTGCTACCTTAACTTTTAAAAGAGGAGAAGCATTAATCACTACTCTTTTCTTTATACAAATAGAACAATTCTTTTAATTACAAGAACATTGAGATATATCAGCTTTTTTATCCCAATTTCCTGATTATTTTCTATTTGGTTGCATTTTGTTAACAGGTTCCCCTTTAAATTTTATTTTACTATTGAGTTATTACTTAATCAACAAATCTCTTAAGTTTTTTGCTGTTGATTGACTCATTTCGTTAATTATTTTTATTAAGTGATAATATATATTATTACAAATAAAAATACACATATAAACATATTCATTTATATTTAAATATTTTAAACTTATATCATACTCTTATGATTTATAAATATTCTGTATATTTTTATATTTTTTCAATTATTCTATAATTATGATAAATAATTAATAATGAAAAAATTTCTTAACTATCTGACAACAATCATTATAGAATAATAAGAACCTATTACACAGAATCAATCCGACTAAGAACATTTTATTGTTTTAGTAAGTGAATTCAATTAATATCAAAATGAACCAATCAATTAGAAAAATTGTACACTATCCTATCAAAGGAGATAATGAATTGTATAAGTAAATATTTGAGTAATTTATGGAAATTGATATACTCAATAGACTTTATGATATTTTACAACAAAAATTGTGTAATCATTCACTAATCAAAGAAGTATTGAAATCTGAGAATTTATATAGATTTTTGAATAGGTTGTTTCATTATTAATAAAAGTAAAGGAAATCACAAATAAGAACTATTTATTATCTCATTTTACTCATAATCATATAAATTACTGATTTTGTGTTATAAATTTTATAATCGTCCTCAATTTAAGGTGAGGATAAAAGTAGATCAATTTTTTTTGTATAATCTTAATAGTAATATTTTCATTTTAGACAAAAATCAAAACATTATGGCCTACTCAAGGAGTTTTCGATTTATCTAATTTATTTCAATCTTAAAAATCAATTGCAACGCACTATCAAATAGATTAATATAATTATTGAAAAAATTGAATGGAGGTTTGAAGGAGCAATCTAGAGATTAAACATTTAACTAAGTTAAGTTATTAAATATGGTTATGTAATTTATAAAAATAACTTGAATTGTAACATTTTTGAATTTCTATCGCTTGTTGATACGTTTATAAATTTATTAAACATTGCAACCTATTCACTTATAAGATTTAAAACATGAAAATTTAGATAGCAAAACGAGCCTTCAATTATTGAGGCCAGTTAACTTCATCATTATTGTTTAAACCATTAAAACAGAAATACAAGTTTAAGAAGGTTAACTACTAAATATTATTTGTTAACACTTCTCAAATAAAGAAGTTCTCATTTATGTGCTACTTTTTATTAAGCATTTGACTAATTCGGAAATCATCCAATTCTACTACCAAATTGGAATTAATAATTTACTTAAACTTGCATTAGACAATTAGTTTTGGTTATTCTATCTCTAGATATTATCTATGCATTTAACTCTTAATTAGATGTTAAAAATTCCATAATATAACTAATAAATGAATGTTCATCTGGAAAAATAATAAATTCTTTTTGATCCTTATAGCTCATTGGCTTAGTATTAAAAACTTGAATATTGTATAATACTGTATTAAAATCAAGTTTTTTATAATTTGCTTAAGTTAAATGAATAATATTCAGAATAAACAAGGCTTTAAGTATTGATATATTAAATAGACGATAAGCCTAATTGTAACAAAATATTTTGTTAATAAAGTGAAACTGGACATTTTTATAATAAGGAAACTTAGTAATATCAAATATTATTGAAGTTATATTTTAGATTATGATAATTTTTTGCATATTGTGTATTTGAATTAAAATAGAGGGATTGTTGATGCAATATGCTCTAAATTATGGTAACTGTTGAAGGTTGATGGGAATTGAAAGAAAATTGATTATAATTTACTTATTTTGATTTTTCAAATGTATTTTAATTTAATATATTTTAATAGTTCTATTTAGACTTTAAAATTTTGATGATGTGATAAATTTAGAATCTCTAGCTTTTTAGTATAAAGAATATTATTGAAAATCACTCTAATAGTTAAAATTCGAAAATTAGTTTCAAGAGCTTCTTATTTAAAAATTAAAGAAATTATAATAGAAAATTGAAGTAAACTTTAATGATTGTTTTAATAAACTAATTTGAAATGGAATGAAATTGTAAAATTTAAATATAGAATGTTTGGTACTATAATAATTTAATTTTATTTTATTTTTGGTAGATGAATCATCATTATTGCTGTTTAAGTTTTTATTTAACTAAGCATTCTTTCAGTACAAATTCGAATTCATTAAATGATACGGATCCATCTTTATTGTGATCAAAAAAGCTAAAAATGTATTTACATTCTTCATCAGTAACAGAAGAATCAATACGTTTTAACAATTTGCCTAATTCTAAAACATCGAGCTCATGATTTGCGGATTTATCATACTTGAATAAAAAACAAGCAATATTACCTTATTAAATAAATCTAAGAGGTTGATATTGTACTTAACAATTGAAGTTTTTAATTTTTCAATAACAATTCTAACTCTATCATCAAGTGATCCTGCTTAGATATCTTATTAAGGTTTAAGGAGAATGCTAACTTTCTTATTTGTTCTACTGATTTCTGATGCAGTCATTCTACACTAATTTATAAATATTGTAAGATAAATTTACATCATTTTCTTCAAGCCATTTTTTAAATTCATTAAACTCAATTAAATTATTACCATCTTCATCAAATTTATTAAATATATATTCAATTTCTTCTCTTGTTAAATTTTTATCAACTTTTTATAAAAACTTTCCTAATTGATTAACATTCAATGCTTTATCTTTAGTCATATCTAATTCAGCAAACAATTCTCCAATATCTAATTATTCTTTGAGAATCATTTATCTAATATCATTAATAAGATAAGTAGCTTTATCTTCTAAAATGCTCACATTTTTAATGAAATCAGTAAAATGTCCTTTAAAGAGTGGATGTCTATATATATCATCCCATGATAATCTATCTTTTTCTTCAGCTTACAAACATCCACTTAAGAATTCTTAAGCTTCTTTTGAAATTTAAGGTCCTTTAAATTAGAGAGGTTAATTTCTAATATTTTTTAGTAATTCTTATGGTGATCGAGCAGTCCAAGGAGCTAGAAGTTATGTATAGTAAATAAAATACTTTTGCCAAATAATGCTTCATAAAAAATAAACGCAATACTCCAAATATCAGTTTTTGAAGTATATTTCTTGTTATCTAATATTTAAGGAGACATATATAATGGTGTTCCAACGAGAGATGCTAGCATATCCTTTTTAAAATTATCAACACATTTAGCAAATCCAAAATCTGCTAATTTGAATGTCTAAATGATGTAAGTAAGAATACTGCTTTATCTATGAGTATATTGGCAGGTTTAAGATCTCTGTGAATAATTCCATTTTTGATTAACTAAATGAATCCATTTAAAATATCAATCATAAATTTAACAGCATCTTTTTCAGGCATAGTTTTTTTTTGTGTTACATAACTAGAATAAGATGTATCGATACTTTTCTATTAATTTATCTAGATCTCCACTATCACAGTATTCTTGAATTATATAATAATTATTATTAGTTTCCATGACATCTAAAAGTTATACAATATTAGGACTCTTTAATTTTTACATCACTTTGATTTCTGAAATCAAACCTTCTCTTAAATAATCATCACTAATAACACATGTCTAAAATATATATACGCATTAATGACTGATTTATTCAATACTTTGATAGCTACTTTGATTCCTGTCTTCTCTTCTCTTCCTCTATACACTTGAGCATAAGAACCTTCTCCAATTAGATCTTTGGGATTAAAGAGATATTTATCGATTCTTTTATCCCCCATTAAATAAATATTAAATTCAATCATCTTCATCATAATCATCATCAGATTATTGTCTACGAACTCTCTTTGATTTTCTTCCACCTGTTTTCTTTTCTGCTTTCTCAAACTCGTCATTCCCTTTACGTTTCTTTCCAACTTCATCACTCTAATCATCCTATTGCAAACCCTTCTTTTTCTTTTTACTTTCTTCCAAATCTGGTAATTTTTAAGCATAATCCTTCATAAAATCGTATTAAGACTCCTATAATACTATCTTCCTTTTATTTAATAACTATTTTTTACAATAATCCAGGTGTTGCTTTGTTTAATTTTTTATCCTTTAAAGTTTCCTTGCATTTTGTAAGAATATCTGATAAAAACAATTCAAGTGATTTTGCTTTTTGGATAATATTCAAATAATACTTAATACATAAGGAACTACATTATTGATTTTACCAACATCTTAATTTTCCTATACTATTTTTTTCACTTTTGAAACTGGGAATTTCAATTGATTCTTTTTTAATTGTTAATCTTATTGTGTTTCCATTTTATTTTTATTATATATAAAATTATTCATTAATCATAATTAAATAATATTTTAAATGACCGATTTTTTTTACATCTAAGTACCTGCTGAAGTTAAAGTCTTATTATTAACTGGAACTTCACTCAATAAAAATCAATTAGATTAAGTATATAAATGTACTAACCTATTAAAATTGGATTTATCTAATTGCAATTTGACCTACATACCAAATCTCAAAAAATTAACTAATTTGAGAATACTATACTTACATTAGAATCACATTACAACTCTTTAAGTAGAACCACTCATTGAATGCAATCATTTAAATTATCTTACACTTTTCTTAAATCCAGTTTCAGCATAATGTTCTCTTAGAAGATAAGTGATATCGTATTTGAAATCATTATGGGCATTTGATTTTAATGCTATCTCTGATGAAGAAAGATACAAAGAGTTAAGATTAAAATAATCAATAGAAAAGAGTCGACTTCCATGGCCTATCATAAGCACTCCAAAAGAATTCAAAGATCAATCATAAATTATTTTATTAGTTTGGTAAGAATTAGATGTTGTCAGAAAAATTTGGTAAAAGTGTTCTGTAATTATGACCATCCAAAGATTTATCAAAAGCTTTTTAACTAGAAGAAAATTTAAGAATATTGTTTTAAAATAAATGAAAATACAGTATATTAATCTCAATATTTAGAGCTTTAGTAAAATAAGCAGTTAAACATTGGATAACATTTACTTAAAATAAAAGAGATCTTAATCAACTATTAGCTCATTAATATAGTACACAATTTGAAAAAGTTAAAGTCATGGTTCAAAACTATAGATAAAGAAAAGGAAAAGCTATAAAAGAATAAAAAAGTGCCAGAATTATTTACAGATCCTTGAAATCTTTCTATCAGAATTAAAAACTTTAACTTGAATCTATTGGAAATGTTTAAAGACTCTATTTCTATAAGGAATAATTAAATCTATTCAAATCAATCTTAAATAGACTTAACAATAAACCAGAAATTAGACTCATTATTGAATAAGTTCCACTTTTACATGAAGATTTCTAAAAACCTAATAAAATTTATGAATCAGAAGTTTTTACATATAGATTACCTAACTAATTTAATTTATTAAATAATCCTACTTATTTTAAGAATATGCTCACTTATCCAGCTTCCTTGTCTAAAATAAGTTGCTGTCTATAATAACTTAAATTAAGCATCATTAGAAAATGGACATCCGTTACTAAATTTTCACAGGATGTTCATGCTTATTCATATTTATAAAAATATGATGAATTAATGCCTGCTAGAAAACCATACTTTATTATGTATAAATTATCAAAATAAGATAAAATTAAATTTGAAAATAGTCTAAAACTAATCAACAAATTTTAACAAAGAGAATATAGATAATTATATGTCATTAATCTAAGCAAAGAATTACTCTCTATGATTAATAAGTGCATTATTTTACATAACAAGAATCACCCAACCTAAGTTTTTATAACTATATTCGAAAAATAATTGAAAGAAGCAGTAGCCGCGTTGAAAATATAAAGATAATTTAGAGCTTATCAAGATGTAAAAAAGAATGGAAAAACACTACAAGCTATAATTAGTATCTTAGTAAAAGAAAGATCCCTTTTGATTTTACAAAAATGGTTTAAGGATTTGAAAATGAATCATAGAAATAATTTTTTTAAGATTATTGCATATCGTCTTAAGTAAATCACACAAAATGTATTATATCTTAATTACTCAATTTATGTACAATTAAGTAATTGTAATTCAAGGTTGTAGTTTATTGAATAAAAGGCTAAATTAAATTTGATTAATAAAAAGTTTAGTGCAACCCTTGAATGGCTTCCAAATAAATACATAATCCCTATTTGGCTTAGAAAATAAATTTTTTAATAGGATGCAAAGGTAAAAGAAGAATTGGCTTTATTTAACAATTGTGATATATATCATTTATTACATTTTGAAACTCAATGTGAGATAAAGAATTTGTTTAACGAAAAATGGATAAAAATTTCATTTCCTTAAGATGAATAATTAAAATTAAGACTATTTTTTTTAGCTTTATATACATATTCTTTTAAAAACTAATGCTTTGTATAATTGTATTAAGATAATGAATTGTTAGAGTAGACTTAAAATGTAAAGTAAAGCGATGCATTGTTGATCAAAACATATCAATTATAATTATACACATGTAGTGTAGAGAATTGTGAAATTCCATGTAAACCTTCTATATGGCTCTCTACTGAATTATCAGATAAAACCACTAATGAAGTTGAAGTGAGATTTTATAAAAATGGAATAGATTAAAAAATAAAAAATAAAAAGAATATTTCAAAATTGCCAGGTTGTGAATAAATATCAAGATATCTTTATTTCAGTTAAATAAAAAGACAATAAAAAGAAATTTCTTTTTCTTAAATAAAATAATGCTGTCCAACTGCTTCAACAAATATTAGAACAATTACGCAAACTGATAAACCTAAAACTGCTCTCTAAACTTATGTTTTTTAATAAGATAGTTTTGAGGAATCAAATGCTATAGAGAGACAGCAATAAAGATTAAGATTAGTAACAAATCCAACTCGTTAGCATCTTCGAACTAAATCAGTTATGAATAAAAAATAAACAATGTAAGTTGAACTACCAAACTTCTTATAATCATAAAGTTTTAATTTTAGTAATAGTGTTGTAAGATAACATAATTAACCAGACATATCTAAGTAAATGTAATATTGGGAGGATAGAGAAAATTAATAAAGATAATAAATAAAAAAGTAAAATCTTGAAACAAGATAGGCTAAAATGTAGATTCATAATGAAAGATCTTTTTATCAAGATTTCAACATTGGCTAGAATCTTATTAGTAGATAAGGGGATAGACATCTACATCGATTGTATTAGAAAAAGTAACAATAAGTATTTTAATAACATGTGTAATAAATTAAAGAACAATCAACTCACATTAAAGAGATATAAGCAATAAATAGTAAAATGAAACTTTAAGCAATAAAAGAAGCCAATTCTTTATATAAGGCTTCTCTAGAATAGCCAGAATAATAATAGAGATGTATTTAAAAGCACTAAACAAAACGAGTAGGAATGGCAAATAAATACATACATTCTGTATTACCTGAAGAGATATATCCAATTAAAATTGAGTTTGAAAATATATGATATAATTTTATTCATTAATAGATTGGTTATTAAAGTTGCAAGATTGGAGAGAATTTTACAAATGAATTCCAGATTATTAAGATCCAAATAGAGTTGATATATAAGCAATAGAAAAATTAGAGTCAAAGTTGCAAATTTCTAAGCTGATACCGTTTTTAAGAATCCTCGTTCAATATTATTATAGAAGAGTATGCAATCAAATTACTTATTCATTTGCTCTTTAAATTTTAGTTTACTTAAATACATAGTTGTATGTAAGTAAAATAAGCATATAAGATCAATTATTATAATTATTAATTTAATTTGTATGTTATATCTAAACATATTATTGTAGATTAAATTATTATTAAAAATATAGAATTGACCTGATAAATGAGAAAATTAGATCTAAGCTTAGTAATTGTTTTATGATTTTTTAGTAGTAATAAATAAATATGTTAATAGTCTAGTATAATAGAGAGAAGATCATCTTAAATAACTCCTGAGAATAATAAAAAATAGTATTGTATTAGATAGTTATATTCTTGATATGGGTAGATAATCTTAACAAGGCAAAAATGATTATAAAATTATCTGCTGAATGAATATAAATTTTTGAGGCAATTGAATTATGAATATATAGAGATGTAATAAGAAAAAATCATTGAAAATGTCTATTAGAAATAATGATGAAAAGGTTTTAAAGTAAAGAAAAAGATTAAGTAGAGAAGGAGAAATAGGTTTGTATTTAGAAAATTAGTGATGGATTTATTAAGGGAAATATAAGATGTTATTGAAATATAGAGAAGTTAAAAGTAGAAATTAGAGAATAAGATTGTATAATTGATTAAGATAATTATAGTTTGATAGAGAGTGAAAAAGAAGTAATTGAATTGATTTAAGTGGATTAGAGTTTTTGATTAAAAATAAGAATATAAAGAGGAGATGAAAAGTGAGAATAGTTTAGATAGATTTAAGAGAATGCTTAAATGAATGATTTGATAGATGATGTGTAGACAAGAGCGTTGAAAATAATAACAAAATTTTTGAACAATTTCAATAAAGTTCATTAATAATTATAATAATGAGAGTCTGTGTATGGTTTTTATGGTGTTGAAAATATGAAGTTGAGTTGAGGAAGAGTTCTGAGATGAAGATTTAAGAAGAAAGAATAGATTAAGAGGAGTATGAGATACTAATAAGGAATTTACTAATGATTGGAATAGAGGAGGGGAAATATGTTTTTGAAGGTGTTTGGATTGTTTTTAGTTTGATTTGTAAATGTTTTTGGTTTTCCTTGGGATAGTATCTTCCTATATATTCAAGTTTCTTTAATTATTAATCGATTGGGTACCCAAGAAAATGAAATAAAGACCAAGACAGATTGATCCAACAAAACCAGTGCTTATCTCTAATAGTCTAGAAGCATTCACTAATGCAGAAGGATAAGAAGCAGATATAAAAAATACAGAGTAAATCATTACACCTGATCAACTATTAAAAGAAAAGTAAATTACAAATATTTCATTTAATTACTTCTAAGGATCAAGTAGAACATTTTCATGTCACTTGATTGTGGTTTGAAACAACTTGATCCTTATCACCCCGCCATATTTATTTTTATATTATACTCATTATTATTTAGGCCTAAATAATTTGAAGAGCCAACATTGAAATCACAACTTCCTGCTAAATGTCGTGAAGATTATATCTCTTATAAAGCACCTGTCTATCCAGATAGTTCAGCATATGAATTAACCGAAGAAGATATTCATTTCCTTTCTACTATTAATGAAAAATTAACAATACCTGTTCATATTGAAGATTTTGAGTAATATTTATCACTGCTTGATTAAAAGAGTGGAAAAGACGTAGAAATCGACTTTACAGAATTTATTAAACTCAAACTACCCTTACCTAAAACTATTAATATATAAATATAATCTATCTAGGAATAATTATATGCATACTTTAAAAAATAGAGATAACATTTTTCTCGTCCTTTAACTAGATATCTTATGCATCCCTATTATGAAGATAGTAATCCTCATTTAGCATTTCGTCCTAGAACTTAACCTATGGATAGAACTATGAAATTAAGGAGAGGGAATCCTTAAAATACTAGAGGTGTTATTGAAATGGAAAATTTGGGATAAAAAATTGTTACATTAAAAAAAGATCTACTCATGGTTTCTAATCTTATTGATCAAAGTTTATAAAGAGAAAAAGCTATGGAAATTGATAGGAGATTTACTTTTTGTAAATTCATTAAAGAATTCTTTGATCAATCTAAAAGAGAAAAAGATAGTAATTCAGAAATTAAATTATGGCCTAAAGATTGTTTTGTTAGAGATTGTTAAGATAAATGTCCTATTAATATAGTTGAAAAAGCTGAAGAAATGTTTGATCATATTACTAAAGAAATCTAATCATGGAAAGAATTAAATGAAATCTAAAAAAGAGATAAACTAAAAAAAGAAGATCAAATTAATAGATATGAAAAATAAATTGAAGATTTAATTATAGAAAAATAAAAATATGAAGAAAAACCTATTATTATTTAACCTCCTCCTATTCCTTAACCTACTTTTGTACCACCACCTATACCGATATCTCATCCAGAACCTCCTGATGAAAAAATGGAAAGTGTTGCTAGGTTCTTAGCAACTTTATATTTGGAGGCTAGAAAATATTAGTTAACATTTGATTAAGTCTTATCTGATTCATTTCCTATCTACAAAATCTAAAATCAATAATAACCAGTCAACTCTAAAAGTGTATTCCCTTTTTCATTAATGCAAATTGAAGGAAATGATTTAATTTATAAAGTAAGAAAAGATAGTTGTTTAGAAAAAAAAGATAAGGCTTATTGGGAATGTTATAATGATTCATCTCTATCTAATACATTATATTATTAGAATAATTACTTTAAAGATAAAGTTAATGATATTATGGAAATGGCAGACATGGATTAAATGGTTTATGCTTAAGGTTTAGATGATGATAAACAAGATGAAGATGATAAAATGTTCAAAAAGAAAGTCAAAGGAAGTACCACCAGATTAACTGGGGCCAATGGAGCATAAATAAAATGATTAATAACTTATTTAGTATGTAAAATATTAAATATTATATATATTCAAATGAAAGGATTCTTTGACATATTTTAATTTGTCTACTTCTACTACTCAGCAAAGGGGTTGCTTGGTTAATAAGTCTAAAACATTCTTGCCGCAGGCTATTGATTATTTTCATTCATAAATGGATTGTTTGATCTTTATGATAAAATTTATGATGGAGTTTATAATTAAGTATTTTGCTATTATTAAACATACGTATTATCAATTTCATCATCAAATGGATTTCGAATACCTTTTCTAAATGATTATTAATTTTTTTAATTGTTTTCAAAAGGATTCCAAGAAGTATTAGATTAAACAATCACAGATTAATAAAGTTTAAAATCTTATTGATGTTATGGTTATTATTATTGTTGTTATTTTTATTATTATTAATATTATTGCTATTATTATTATTATTATAAGTATTATTGTGATTATTGTTATTATGGTGATTATTATTATTATTATTGCTATTATTATTGTTATTAGTGTTATTATTATTATTATTATTATTATTATTATTATTATTATTATTATTATTATTATTATTATTATTATTATTATTATTGTTATTATTATTATTATTCTTATTATTCTGGTTATTGTTATTATGAATTTGCAAAAGGATTTGAAAATGCTTAATTAAAATCATATTAATTTTATTATTAAAAACCTGATTATTCTAACTACTTTCTTTAATTTTTAACACTCTAATAATGTTATTCTTATTATTATTAAATTGAAGTCATCGATTATTATTCTTGATTTTATTTAGAAAGTCTAGAATCTTTGCACAATGCTGGAGATTCAGAATCATTGTTAAATTCTCTAGCGAATTTAAGGGATACTCTATTAAATTCTTCAAATGGATCAGAGTCTGGATTAGGTGTAGGAGTTTCTCCAAATTATGGTTATTTAATTTGATTCTATTGTTAATTTAATTTATTTTATACAGCAGGTTGTTAATTCAATAGTTTTCTAGTTTTGTTAATAAAATTATTTTATTATTCTTAAGGTTCTACTTAAACTTATTTAGTAACATTTCCATCTGAAAATTCTTTATCATAATCCAAACATTCACTGAATCGTTTACTTTCTTATGTAGAAACATCATGTTCTATATTTATAATTGAGGATAATACAACATTCATCACCCTAATTTTATTTGATATAATATTTTCCATTTTACCTATCATGTCTATACAAATATTTTAATAAGCAGTTGTAGCCTTTTCTAATTTTCTTTCGTTCTATTTTAATTAATAATGTATACTCTATTTATCTTTTCAGAATCCTTGCTATTTTACAAATCTTTCATTTTCAATTTATAATGATCATAAATTAATCTATCCTCCTAATATCTTTCCAACAATATTTTAATCTATTCTATTGTATCAAACCATGGTTTTAATTCAAGTTTTAATTAATAAATGGGTGTAACCTTTTCTCCATGTAATTCAGATATTTTTTAGAACATTTTGACTAGATTGTTAGCAATTAATTTATTGGATCCTATTTCATGTTCAAATATTTTAGTAACAATCATTGCACATTGATTATATTGTATTTGTAACTCTGCATAATATTTATTCATAAATACATGAATGACATTAGCTGATTGTAATCAATGTTCTTTCAGCCATTTAAAAATAATTGTTTAATTCATAAGCTTCACTCTTTTTATCTTCTAATTGTGTATTCTTAGTTATTTATTAACCCCAAAATTCTTTCCACTAACTTTAAAGTTTAATCTAATACCTTTTAACCTGCTCTAGTAACAGCACTACTCATTTAATTATTTATATTGTATGTTTATGAATGTACATTTTAATAAAATCAATAGAAGAAACCAAGGATTTTACCTCCTATATGTCTTTATCTAGCTTCTTCATGAGTAAGAATTCCAACATTTGTAGTTAATACAACACATCCAAATTATCTAGCTGGTAAGATGTTATTTGCCCATCTCTCAAATTCACCTAAAGTAACATCATAACGAGGTGAAATCACTCCACATTTATTGATGCGTCCTCAAATACATTATACTTTATACCCAATAATTCAACAACAATCTTTCCACTTCTGTGATCATCCACTATTTCAAATTCTCCAATATATCCATGTCTCTACATCACTTGTAAAAATTTCACAACTAATTTCGATGTTGGTCTAATTAACACTTATTTTCTTCCTTGTCTTTTCAAATTTAATTATTTAAAATACCTTTCAGCATTCACAATTGAACGAAGGCAATCATTGAGAACATTCATCTTAACCATTTTAAAATAAAGATTTAAAATATATTAATATTTTATATATTAATTCCTTCTTCTTCCATTTACTTTTATTAGATTCTTTATCTCTCAATAAAAACCTACATTTTCTTATGTTATAATCCAACTTATTACAATTTTTATTTTATTTATAGAATCACATTATTTTTAGTATCAATGCTTATTTATACTCATCTTCTCATTTCTAATCTGTAGATCAACTTTTTAAATGTAAAATATTATTATCTATTTTTATTAGAATATGTAAAAACTTCTTCATTATCTTTTCTTACTTACTTATTATAACTATTTATTTAAAAAATAAAAATTGTTTTACCTAATTTTAGAGGATTAAAAATATTAAAAATTTTTTACCTTCATTAATAATATCAAATGTTACATATATACTTTAAAAATAAAACTTTTATTATTTTAATTCTCAAAAAAGAGTTACAAATTTAAAATATGAAAATATTGTCAACATGATTACCTATGTAATAACACTAATAAATGTGGTAAATTTTAGAAAAAGTAAGAGAATTTTGGTATTGTTGATAGAAGGTTTTAAATCCTTTTGAAATTTTTTTAATTTCTTTTAGGGTTTGGTGTTTTAAGAAAAAAGATTTTTCTAAAAAAATATCCAGTCCAGTAGGAATTTCTGATTTAATAATAAATTTATTCAGAACATTATTTCTTAATAAAATGTAGGCAGATATAATTGAAATATTAAAAGAAACAAAGAAAATTGGGATAAGCATATCTATTAACATCTTATTGGAGTATGAACCAAAAACGATATATTTTAACTAATATTTGAGGTTAGATTTCTTTATAATAATCTAATTCAATTTGAATGTCACAATTCAGCTTTTATTAGAATTTTTGGATAACATTGTTTAGGATATAATTCTTCTTCTCTTTGGAGAATGCATAGGTTTTCTTAAACAAAATTACATTGGAGTTCTAAGATTCTAAAAAATTAAATTAACTAATATACAATGAGATGTTAGGTGGTAAAATGTTATCCCTTTGGGATTTCAGTTTCAGAAGAATTATTTTTATTTTTATATTTATTGACTTTATGATTATATTTGTAAGGATTGTCGCTTTCACAAATTCTCTCTGACATCAACATTGGAGTTTGTATTTATTACTAAAAATCTTTTTATATAATGGGAAGTTCCCTTTAATTTTCAGAAATTAATTAACCTATTAATTTGCATTCTTGTGAAACAATTTATTTCTAATCTGTACTATTTTATTTGCTCTATTTTCTCATTGAACGATTAGTTTGTTCAGTTTCAGATTTATAATATTAAGATGTACTTAATTTTCGAATTCGATTCTAATAAATAATAGTTTAAATTTACTTGACGTAATTCAATTTATTCTTTTTCTTATAATCTTTTTAAAATAGTAATTTATTGATGATCATTATATTTTTTAGCTGAATTAATATTGAAAGCAGATTCTTGTTCTTCATCATTTTCATCTTTTAATTCAATCACTTTATTGTAACAGATGTCTTCTAAAGATAGGAGATTTTTGCATTATTTAACCTTTTATTAAGTATTCAATTAGTTAGAGTTTATTTTTTATATAAGTTCTTCTCTCAATACACAATAATTCATATATTGTATCATGTTTGGAAAACTCAAAGGGATGAAACTTAGTTCATTTAGTTTTCCTTTTTTTTCTGAAGATTCCTTTATCTTTCTCATCAGTTCAGCAAACACTTTTTAATAAATAATAATTAATTTTTACTTTGTAATGCTTCCTAGTTTTGTAAGGCTTATTTGAAATCATTCCAATTAAGTTTGTCTGAGATAAATCATGTGTTTATTACCATCTTCATCTTAATCAATTCTTTTAAAAAACTCCTTTAGTTTAGTCTTGGTTATATTAATACCATATCGTTTGAACATATCATAGAGTTCTTACCTATCTAAAAATTCTAAAAATATGATCAAAACAATAAATGAAACTTGATTTATCTCTATCAATTGATTTAAATACAGCTTTCATCATGATTTACTCTTTAAGCTCTTTATCATTTAATATATATTTATCTCTAACCTAATTCTTAAATCGATTTTTCAACCAATTCACTGTTTCAAAGCTCTTTAGTTTTTTGGAGACTTTCTTATCCATTAGAAAATTAATATAAATTTGAGTTAAAAATTAAACAAAAATTCAATTAATCAAATCTGAAATCCTTAAATATATGAGTTTTCTCATTCATTTAGAATTTTATAAGTTTCTATAATATAAAATATCTTCTTAATAGATTTACAATATATTAATCTTCATAAAGAACATCAAAACAATTTGATGACTTTAGAATACATAAGATGAGCATTATCATTCTTATAGATAAAAGGATAGGGAGTACTTCAATTTGTACTTGAGATTGTTCTACTTTGAATTAATGAAATAAATTACGAGATTTTATTTTAAGTTTTTTACAATTTTATGATTGAATTTCATATGTTTGAGCTTTGAGTTTCATGTTATCAATGAAAAATAAGAAAAAAGTTATTTTAGTTTTCTGTTTAGTATATGTATTTTGAAGATGAGTAGTGAAAAAGAATTCAAATAAAAGTGTAATTAATTTGAGAAGTATCTGGGGTAGAAAATTTTGATTATTCTTCTTAAGCTGTTAAATTTTAATTGTCCTAATTAAATATCATGCGGGTTGTTAACAATATTTCTTGATTTTATGGAATAATTTATAAAAAAATAATTGATTATTGATAAAATATTTAGAATAGAATTATTATTGTATATTTTTTTAGTTTAATTAAGGAAATTTTTTGTATTGTAAAATGATTCTAGAGCAAAGTAGAAATTCTATTTTGGTATATGTTTAGTGATATTAAGATATTTAAAAAAAATAAGAGATTGATTTAGATAAAATAAATTAGTTTGTTTTTGATTTGATCATAAAATAATAAATATTAAAATTAAGTAGTTGTTTATGAAAAGAAATATATAAAAGTAAGAATTAGAATTTGAAATATATTGATAAAATATATTATAAAGAATAGAATAAAATGAATAATAAATAAATGGACCCCGGTAATAGGATATTTTGTATATTCAAATGTGAATGATAACTGGAGAAATTCAAATAATTTTTTTAGAGAGTTTTCATCACACAACACTTTAAAAATGAGAGAAGTCATATCTATTCACGTAGGATAAGGAGGTATTTAAGTTGGTAATGCCTGTTGGGAATTATTCTGTCTTGAACATGGAATTCAACCAGATGGTTAAATGCCATCAGATAAGACAATCGGAGGAGGAGATGATGCCTTCAACACCTTTTTCTCAGAAACAGGTGCAGGAAAGCACGTTCCAAGAGCTGTCTTTTTGGATTTGGAACCAACAGTTATTGATGAAGTCAGAACAGGAACATATAGATAATTATTCCATCCAGAATAATTGATCTCAGGAAAAGAAGATGCTGCAAATAATTTTGCTAGAGGTCACTATACTATTGGTAAAGAAATTGTTGATTTGTGTTTGGACAGAATTAGAAAATTAGCTGATAATTGTACAGGTCTTTAAGGATTTTTGGTATTCCATTCAGTAGGAGGAGGAACAGGATCAGGATTAGGGTCACTTTTATTAGAAAGATTATCTGTTGATTATGGTAAGAAATCTAAATTAGGTTTCACAATTTATCCATCACCATAAGTATCAACAGCAGTTGTTGAACCATATAACTCTATCTTATCAACACATTCATTATTGGAACACACTGATGTTTGTGTTATGTTAGATAATGAAGCTATTTATGATATCTGCAGAAGAAATTTAGATATTGAAAGACCAACATATACCAATTTAAATAGATTGATTGCTTAAGTCATTTCATCATTGACAGCCTCATTAAGATTTGATGGTGCCTTAAATGTTGATATTACTGAATTCTAAACTAATTTAGTGCCATATCCAAGAATCCACTTTATGCTTTGTTCATATGCTCCAATTATATCAGCTGAAAAAGCATATCATGAATAATTATCAGTTGCTGAAATCACAAACTCAGCATTTGAACCAGCTAATATGATGGCTAAATGTGATCCAAGACATGGTAAATATATGGCTTGCTCTATGCTTTACAGAGGTGATGTTGTACCAAAAGATGTCAATGCTGCTATTGCCACAATCAAAACAAAGAGAACTATTTAATTTGTTGATTGGTGCCCAACTGGATTCAAAGTAGGAATCAATTATCAACCACCAACAGTTGTTCCAGGAGGTGATTTAGCTAAAGTTATGAGAGCTGTTTGTATGATCTCTAATTCAACTGCCATTGCTGAAGTTTTCTCCAGACTTGATCACAAATTCGATCTTATGTATGCCAAGAGAGCATTTGTCCACTGGTATGTCGGTGAAGGTATGGAAGAAGGAGAATTCTCTGAAGCTAGAGAAGATCTTGCTGCCTTAGAAAAGGATTACGAAGAAGTTGGTATTGAAACCGCTGAAGGAGAAGGTGAAGAAGGAGAAGCATGATATTACAATATATATACAAATCAAAATATTAAAATATTTCATCATATTATTAAACATTATTAAAAATGAGAGAAATAATTTAATTACATGTTGGATAGTCTGGTATCTAAATTGGAAATACTGCTTGGGAATTACTTTGTCTTGAACATGGAATTTAACCTGATGGTTCTAGTACAAGCAGTTAAAATTTGTAAGTTTTATTTTCTGAATCAATTAATAAAACCAATGTACCAAGAGCAGCATTTTTTGATAATGACTAAGTCTCTATCAACTCTATTCAGAAAGGACCTCTAAAAAAGGTCTTTAATAAAAATCTTATTAATTTTACTTCAAATGAAGCATCAATAGCAATATGGGGATCTAAAAAAGTGGATTCTAAAGCTGAAGATATTATTCGTAAATTATTAGAATCAGCTGATGCTGCTTCAGCAATAATAATTTATCATTCAATAGCAGGGGAATATGGAAGCGCTTTCACTTGTAAATTATTACAAATGTTGAATGATGAAACTGCTAAAACAACAAAGTTGACTATGTCAATATTTCCTAACTCAAAAAAACTCTCATAATTTGGTTAACCTATAATTGAGCCATATAATAGTATATTAGCATTACCAACATTAGCAGAAATGTCTGATTTTAATATTCTTTATGATAATGCAGCCTTATATAGAGTTTGTGAGAAATAATTCTAATAAGATAGTCCAAGTTTTAATCATATCAATTACATGATTGCTTAAACTATTTCATCAATAACATAATCAATTAGATTTAGAGGAACCAAATTTGTTGATTTTAATGATATGAGAAATAACTTAATTCCAAAACCTAGATAATAATTTTTATGGACTTCCTACTCTCCATTCTTATCAGTGGATTAATAAAATGTAAAAAAACTTAATCTCTAAGAGATTACAGAATCATTATTTGATGAAAGAGGACCACTTTTAAGTTTTAATAGACTTACACATAAATATCTTGCAGCATCTTTATTTTTTAAAGGTGATTGTCCATTGCCTGAATTAAATTATGTAATGAAATAAATTAAACAATCTGAAGAAATACGTTTTACAGAAGGAACTTAAGTTTCATATTAAACTAGTGTTTCTAGTGCTTAACCATAAACTTTACCAAATTATCAATTTAGCAAATATAATAAAGTAGCTTGTATGTTAGCAAATTCAACTGGTGTATTAGATGGATTTAAAGCTCTATAAAAACGATTTAAAAGTCTTTATGAATCAAAAGCATTTTTGCATTGGTTTACTGGTTACGGACTTGAAGCAGGATAATTTGATCAAGAGAAAGAAGCTTTGTAATCTATTATTGATATGTATTAAGAAAATCATGGAGATGGATAACCTATTCAAGTTTAACCAAAAACAGATAGAAAATAAGATTATGGGTATAAATAATAATAATAATAATAATAACCAAAAAAATAAGTTTAAGTTAAATAAAAATAAGAATCAGCTCCAAGAAAACCTAATTAAATTACAACAGCCAAAGTTTCAAATAGAAATTAAAATGATGATGATTTAGCTTTTTAAGAAAGAGCACCTGCTAAAAGAGATGTTTAATAATAACCATAAACAATTTCAACTGATAATTAAAAATAATCTATTACTACTAAACCTAATAGAATTTAATAATAAGAAAATATTGAATAACAACCTGAATAATAAAACAATAGTGAACTATAATCAACTAGAAAGTAGTAATAATAATAATAAAGTAATAATGGTCTTTAATCCTAAGAAGAACCTTAATAATAAAATGATGGATTCCTTTAAACTAGTAAATAATAAAATTAATAAAATAACTAAAATGAATTGGAATTAGATGAATTAAGTGTTCATGATAATGAAGATGAATAATGAAGTAGTCTATAATTCATAATCATTATCTATATAAATAATAACCTATCTTTTGTAATCAAAGTTAACTTTTTTGGTTTTCATTCTCTAAATGAAATTCTTAAGGTAATTTCAATAACACCTTCGAAAAATGATTTTTTTTTAATGGTTAATTTGGTTGTGAATATAATTTCTCTCTTGGATTACTTTATCTATTTTAAATATGTATTAATTCTAACTATTATTCTTTTTTTCCCTCATTTAAATTTATTTATTTCCCAAAACTCATGTTATATTAATTTTGTAAATCACTTCTTTGATTCTCATTCTAAACCATCTATTTCTCTATTTTCTATTCATAAATTGGTTCTTATGCTTTTATTAAAGGTAATCTAATCTCATTTTCCATTTTATTACGAGCATCAGCAGATTTTGGAATATATTAAAATGTTGTCTATTATTATTTAGATAATCTAGGTGATTAAATTTTCTTCATCTTTTATGATCCATTATATGCTCCTAATAATCTATTTATTATTTATTGCTTTTATTTATTTTCTTAAACTAATTCTTCATTTTTTCTTTATAAATATTCAATCATTTCATTTTATTCTTTTGGAGAAAGCATTCTTGAATTTCCATTCTTTCCTTTATTCAAATGATTCAAATCATTTTGTTAATTTGTTTCACAGTTCTTAGGACTTCTATATGATTGAATACCTTCTTAGACCTTATGAAACAGTTTCTTTACAATATTGAATTAATTTACTTAATCATCTGTTATAACAAGCAAGTTTTTAACCTTTATTGATTTTCTTTACAATCCATCGATATGATTAGAAAATTATCGACTTTCCTTTTAAGGCATTTAAGATTTAATCCCTAATGAACTTTTCCTAGCACTTAAAATTGCTTTTATGTTATGCAATTATGCTATATCCTAATTTGTCTCAGAACTTTTCATCAACTTAATAAATCTTTGATAAATTAATTATATTAATCAAATCCAAACAGACTCTTTATAATCCCTTAATTAAATCACTCTTACTTATAAGTATAAAACAATAATTTATTGATTAAGTGAAATTTTCATTTTCTAACTATAATTATTAAATTAATTCATTCACATCTAAATTTCAGAACAATATTAATGAGTAATGATCTTGTTTATCTTATGTTTTGAGAAAAAATTTAATTAATTTCATGTAAAAAATAAAACATTTGTCATTATAATAGATATACATACTTTTAATTTGATCTGAATTATTCGGATTTATTTTAAATCTTATTTGTTCTGTGTAAAATTATAACATACAACAAGACATAACGATATGAGTTTTTATTACAAATTAATTATTAGGCAACTTTTTTGTAATGAAAATTCAAAGAATTCTAAGGTTACTCTTAATTATTGCATTTATAAACAATATAGCAATCATAATAAAAATATTATTTGAAGATTCTTAATCATAAAAATATATTTATGATTATTTTTACTTTTTACACATTACAAAATAAAGTCAAGTAATTAAATTGCAGACTATTTTATTTTTAGATTTTCTTTAATTAATTAAAAAAGCTATTTAATATAAAATTATAATCTGAATTGTATTTTTTTGCTTATAACAATAAACATTTTTATGATTTATACATTTAGAATGAAAACTATAAATGAAAGTCTCCTAAAAAAAGATTTAATTTAAGAGAAAAACTTAGTATTTTTTTATTTTAATTGATTATTGAAACAATTTATAGATTTGACAGATGTTGATATAATAAATAAATAGAATTTAAGGAAGTATTTCAATGAAAATAAAAAATAGAAGAAAAATTTCATATTAAATTTATGTTATAGTTAATTAATTTGATAAAATTAAGACAATAACAGCTATTTGAACATTAACCATATGATCCAAAAACTGATAAGGAACGTATAAATTAGGAAAATTAATTACTCTAAACCTTATATCGTTTCTAAAGAGTACATATTGATGAAAAGTAAGAGAAATTATGATTTAATTTAATCAGATTGAATTTCTATGAACAATCAGCGCAACTAATGAATAAACCTATTCAACCTTTACTTCCAATGCAAGTATATGATTTGATTGCTAAACTATACATGGAATTTTTTTAAGAAAATTAATTTTAAGATAAAGCCTAGAAAATCTAATTAATCTTGGAGAATGAGATGCACAAAAATTAGTCTTTCATTATTCTTATGCTTAAGTGGCTTTTAGAGTATTATAGAAATAAATTGAAAGTTAAGGAGCCTCCATTAAAACCTGTTTAAATAATGAGAAGAAAGCTATTAATGACTATAGATTAAAATAGATTAGAGGTGAAAAAATCATCAGAGTCATAAGCCAAAAGAATAAGAATGTTAAATTTATCTAAAACTCCAGAAAACGATTGTAATACTCTATCCACTTCAAATTAATAATCAACTCTTAGAAGATATAAAATAAATTAAAGACAGTTATATAATGTTATACCAGATTTAGATTGGGATATACCATGGGATCGATCTTATAAAATTTTATATAATAGAAACCATAGAATTTCAAGATCTATATAAAAGCATTTCAATTGATAATATTTTACTCATAAAATTATTTATTTAAATGAAAATTGATAAATATATTTGGAAATTCAGATATGCATATATATTTCTCTGAAGAACTTCTTTAATTGGAAACCATAGGTATCCCAAAATACATCTCTTCTTCTTCTTTACTTAGATCATGAGTTATTATTTAAATACTTATGATTTTCTATCTATATGTTATTAATCTACAATTTTACACTATTTTATAACCTATTTATTGACATTCATTAAAATCATCTGCTTACTCATTTACTATAAATTTAATCAATTAATCAAAAACAAATTTTACTTTTGAAGTTATACATCTTGGATATTGATTTTCTTTTATTAAATTTTATAAATTAATTACTATTGCCTTTTACTTATTATTATCTAAAAATTATAATATTAAACTTTAAGATCTTCAAATTCAAAATATCAAGTTAATTAAAATTTTAATATATATAATCATAAAAATAATCAGTATTGCTGTTATAATGTTAATATCAAGAGCTCAAAAATTAATCATCTTCTTATTCAAAATGATCTTATTCTAATTTATGTACCAGAAATCCTTCAATTTATCTTTTAATTGTTTTTAGATCAATTTTTGTATGCAACTCAAAATTGAAAAGATCATCATAATCTTATTCTAAAAATGTTTTTGTTTCTTAACTAACATGTACAAATCCCTTCAGTCCATTTGATTCCATTTTATTAGCAATTAATACATCTGGTCCATAAATATCATATCTAACAATATCTGTACCCATAACTCCTCCAAATACTGATCCAGTATGTATTCCTATTCTCATATTAAGACCATCAAAATTAATTTGTTTTCTCACTTATGCAATTATTTTAATCATTTCAAAAGCTAAATCTACTATATTTTTAGCTTCTTAATGAGGATTTCTATTATTATAATCAATCATTCCAATTGCAACATAACAATCACCTATTGTGTACAATTTATAAACATTTAATTCACAACATTTTCTATCAAATTCTACAAATAGATTTTTTAACATTACTAATACTTCTTCTGGCTTTACTTTACTAGAATATTCTGTAAAACCAGCTATATCTGCAAATAAAATTGTTAATTTATCAAGTTTATCACAAATTCCAATATTACTAATTTTATCATCTAAAAATTTATTTAAAATGTGTTTTGGTAATAAATATTAAAGAAGTTATGATTCTTTTTATTATTAAGTTTTAAAAATGTTTTTTTAATTAAAACAACCTACTTATTATTATTCTATAAATAATATTAAAGTCAAATTATACATTGAGCTTACAAACAGGAAAAATATGCTTATTAATTATGTTCCATCTATAATTATAATTATCATTGAATAAAAAAAGGTAGAAAAACAAAATAAAACTTTGAGCCAAAAACTAAGAATTTAAATACTACAAATAATGCATTAAATAAAAATAATTTCGTAGACATGAGCATTCTTTAATTCATTATTATCTTCTAAAACTATAACTATACCAGCCAATAGAACTTAAAAAAACAATAATACTTGAATTAAAATTTTCCATTTATCAAAATAAGGTTTTCTATTCACTAAAAATTGTATTAGGTTAAAAATACAACAAAACCATTACAATACAATGATTCCAATATTATAATCATTGTAGAATTATATCTAACAAAATTGTTTTATAATATAATATAAGGTATACAACCTTAAATTATAAATAGTTTAATTCTTAGATTGAACTTTAACAAATTCCATATATTAATCGTAACTAATAAACTAATTCATTTATTTCTTGTAGTATGAAATCTCTAATAATTAAAGAAATGATGTCTCTTTAATTAAATTATGTTCTAAAGTAAATTCATTCTTTAATAAAATTACATTCTCTATTAATTATATAAATATACCAATAATTATTCGTAATCTATCATTTCATCTATTTCTGGTTCATAGTTTTCTAATTGAAATCTATTTTAGAGCATTGTTACTATTCTTTTGAGTGTACTAGGTTATTATAATGATTATTATTATTTTTATTATTCTTCAGAAGTTTACTTAGATAATAATTAAAGTGACTATTATGATTTTTCATCATAAGATTAATATAATGCAGGATCAGTAGGTTTGATTCCAAATACATTATGAATAACTTAATCTTAAATAGATTCTCTTCTTTAATTCATCGTATCAATATAAGTTAAAATAGTTTTTCTTTTTTTTAAGTTTTTTTTTAATATTTCTGGATTCTTTCTAACAACATAATTGCTTCTAGCATCTTTACTTTATAATTCTTGTTCTTATTATATAGAATAAGTATGATCTTTATTTTAAATTTTACATTTGAATATATAAGTAGGTCTTATTCCTAATCCTTTCATTTCAACATTTCTAATTTCGAATTCAATATTTTCATTTTTAATTTAATCAAAGGCTTATTCTGATAATGTAATAGTATCTTCTAATCCAGTAGAACATACTCTACTTGTAGTATTTACAGTATCTCCAATTAAAGAGAATTAAGGTTTATGATAACCTATAACTCCACTAATAGCTCCTCCATAATGAATTCCTATTTTACCTACTAACTATTATCCTTAATTACCCCATCTATAAATAATATATTTTTATTCTTACTATTTCGATCTAATATAATTCATCATTTATTCTGCTAAATTTAAAGCTCTCTAAACTGGATCAACTTATGATAAATATGTTAATTCTTATTCACATGCCTTTAATCCAGCGGAAGCTAAATAAGTTTTACCAACTGTTTCTATCTTTTAAACTCCATATATCTAACAATATTTATCGAATGTTCTAAAAATATCATCTAAAAAAGGTATTATTTTATCCTTCTCTTCTATTACCATTTAATCAAAATTACAAATATCACAAAATACTATTGCTACTAAACCTTAATTTTAATGAATATTATACTAATCAGCTAAATTATTATTATATTATAATACTTTCATTTAATCTATCTCTTATAAATTTTGGCAATAATATCCCCAAAATATCATTTATTTTATTATTTTATTCTATAAAATTTAATTTATTTTAAGCCTAATCTTCTTCTAATTATAAATACTAAAATTTATTAACTTAATATTTTACATAACTCTTAATGAAATATTATGATGCAGAAAATATTACTATAAATTACATAATTTATATAATAAACGATACTTTTTATTCATTTTCAATAGCATACCATACTATATAACCTATTATTGTTATTAAAGTAGATCCCAAATAAATTCTATAGTCATAAATAGCATGAAATTTTATGGATAATTAATATGCAATAAAATATTACATTACTAAAGTTGAACCTATATTTTCTTAAATATTTTATGCAAATAAAATTGATACTGTTGCTGCTGTTGCAATCATAAACTTTGCATACTCTAAATATTACTACCTATTTGTAGGTAATTGAATAAATGTAAAAACTATAAATAAAATTATTTGAAGTCCAAAAATTAACAAATAATCTATTAGGTAATAATTATTTTAATCTTGATAAAAATACATAATTAATAAAAAGGTACTATGATAAAATAGCAATTAAAGAAATTAAACATTTTATTTCTATTTCCATTTTAAAATTGTTTATGCCTTTTAAAATATTTCTTATGTCCATTACCCAAATCTACTTTAATAATTTGGTTCATTAAGTAATACTAAATCTTAATAAAATCTATTTACATTTTTATATGCTCAAATCAACTTATTCTATATTATCAAAGAAATCATTAACTTTATTTTGCAAAATAGTTACCCTCTTTTTTTTTTTTTAAGGAGCACTAATTTAATTGATATAATTTATATAAGTTAAAAATTGTTCTTCTCTTTTAGGTATATTATTCAAATTGAAATCTTATAAATAATCAGATAAAATATTTGTTATTAGCAAAAATGATACAGCTAAAATTATTGAAAATATCTCATATGTACTTATTTAAATTTACTATTCATCATTGTCTGATGCGTCTGCAAGTGTATATATATAAAAAAGAAGTGGAAATACAAAACATGCTAATATTTTTTATTTTAGTTCAAAATTTATGATCATATAAAGCCAATCACTAATACTAATTGACATAAATATATAGAAATAATATTCTCTTTAATAAATGTCATATATGAATAGACATGAAATAATTATTCCTTACATAATATTCTTAAGAATCATTATAATCTATATTTCAGTTTCAGATTTATATTGAGAGTATTTTTAAAGTAAAATAGATTAATCTTTATTATATTACAGCTTCTTTGAATCATTGAGAAATGCATAATGTTATATACCAAACAAAAAGAGTTAGTAGATATAAAAATAGAATATTATTTCAGTCAAATAATCCTATTAATCTAAGGTATTCCATGTATAAAGGATTGAAGCAAAAGTAAAATAGGATAGAAATGTAGTTGTTTTATAAATAGTTTATTATTATAATGATCTAAACAATATTTTTAATAAAGGACTGTGAAAAAATAATAATCTATCCAACTCTTTGAAACCTTAAATAATTACATCTGTATTTGAATTTATTTATAATTCATTAAAATAACATTTTTCATAAATTAATCTTTACCTTAGAGATAAACTCAATTTTCTAAAGAAATTATTCTTATCTACTTTTGTGAATTTTTGATCTGTAAATTAGCTAAATGATTATAATTATAACATTTAAAGTTAACATCCATTAATACATCTTAGTAAACTTTGATTTTCATAAAGTAAATTAATAGTTTTATTTGATATACACCAAACATCTTAAACAATATTTAATGAATCTTAAGTTGCTTAATATAAGAATAAAACTTTAGTAAAATTTAGTAATAATTTTAAATGATTTTAAAAATAAACATTTTCCATAATTTATTAACAGGTTTGATTATTCAAAATTACAACAACTTTTTTAGTTCTTTTCTTTTTTAAAATATGATCTGTTTCATTAGGCTTTGAAAAACTAAGATTTGATATTTTGATGAATTAAGAACTGTTAATACTAGCTTATTAAAATTAATTAGAAAATTCTTCCAAACATTATTTAAAATAAGCTCTTAAATCTTCTTCATTTTATTAATTAAAATGAAAAATTAAATCATTTTACTATAACAATTCAGATTAATATAAAATAGAGGTAGCTGATATTTCTTAATTTTATGTATAAATGAATAATTAATAATCTGATTTTCTAATATTTTTCATAAATTCTTGACAATCTTATTTTAATTCATAACTTAAACCAAATATAATGTTTAATTTAAGTAACTGTTCCATAAGAGTATATAATTGATTTTCTGATGTATTACTTTCTGCAGAAGACAAATATAAATTTGCTTCATTCTAACTTAAAAAACAATAATAATAGTATATATAATGTAGAGAGTCAGATTAATGTTTTAATACTTTATCTTCAATACTTTCATTTTTTCTAACATTAGCTTCTCTTAAAAATAAAATGAATTGCTAATCAGCTTCTTAAGATAAATCATTTATCTCAAATAACATATATAATCTTTGATTTTGAATATGCAATTTAGTATTAACTAATTTGAAAGAATAAAGTTCCTTGTTGATTTATAAAATATAATTTTATTATTATCTATTTTATATAATCAATAATTTACTAAACATTATTTACGCAAATAAATTCATATCCCATAATTTTAGCCATATTAACTTATTTTTAATCAAGTAAACCAAGAAATTTATTTTTAACCTTTTACTCCTTTTTTTCAGTGATCAATAATTTTGAAAATGCTAGATGATTTAATGCTAATTATAATAATAAAGGATTTAGTTCATTTTTTGAATTATTCTTCATCAGAGAAATGTATAAACTATTTTCATCAATTAAATATTTATCTTATTTTAATGGTTCTTTTGATGATTAATAAATTTTTGAACTTTTTTATTGATTTGATTAACGTTAAGCTGTAAGATGATCTCCAATCTCTTAATTCTCAAATAAATTTTTATCATGTTATATTTATTCTTAATTTATTTATTGAGCTTAATTTAAATTCAAATCATCTTTATAATCTTATTAATAATAATGTATAAACCTTCCTTCAACTGATTTTGGCATTTAATTAATAAAACATTCTCTTTAACTAAATAAAATCTCTGAACTCGAACTCTACATATCATAATTTAAGACTTAAGAATTTAATTAATTATTTACTTATTCTATAAATTATAAATAGTAATCTTACCTTAATCTTTAATAATTACACTCTTTTCTGCTGTTACTAAAAATTGTAAAAATTATTGTTCTTCAAAATCACAGTATTAATTATTATAAATAATTCGTTTCAATTTAAAAGATTATTCTATAAATGCTTCTACACTAATTGTAAGATATTGTTTATCCAAATATTTATCAATATGACATGACATAATTTATTTTTAATCAATATTACCAATTATTTTGAGTTAAAATAAACTGCATATATTATAATAAATTTTATAGAAATGTGGCACCATCAAAATTAAATATATACAATTATCTATTATAATTTATGTTATTGATCTTAGATCATATAAGTATTCATTTAAATTAAATGCAATTATTTATATCTAATATAGATATAAACAAATACAATCATAATTAAGCAAATTATAAAGTAAAATCCAAAGTATTAATTATTATCAAATCTTAATGTTCCTTATAATTTTGAATAACAAAAACAACTATTTCCAACTTTTACAACGATTCCCAAAATCCAAGGAGTAGCCAATAATTTTTCTTAGCAGAAAATAAAATTTTCAAAACCTAGCATTTTAGATTATGGATCTTTTTTTAATTAAAAAAAACCTTTAATTTAGGAATTCTATTCATAAAATACAATATTTCCTGTTAAAGATTTTTTAAATTAAGCTAAGGTTTATGAATCAGCTAAAAATTAATTATTAATTTTACATCTATTTTAAACTACTGGTTTTCTCACAGTAGATTACGAATAATCACATAATTGCTATTAAACACAAAAATTTTCATCATTACAATGTACAACAATAATATCACATGGTGCTATTTAATTTCTTTATAATAAAATGACATCTCCAATTTTAATTTCTTAAGCATTTAAAGATTTAATTAAATTCATTTTATCTTTTTCCATTTTTTTCAATTTTTCATTTAATGGTATTTTAGTAGTAGTTAAAACCAAATCTTTAGGAAATATACTTGGAACCTTTAATTTAAATTAAATAATCAATGGGTCATTTTCCATTATTTATATTTATTATAATTTTAAAGCCATATCTTTATATATTAAGGGACTCATTTAATTGTATTTTTTAAGATTTTCTGATACTTTTAAATTTCTATTGCTTTATTGTTATTTGTATTGAATTTATTAAAATGGTATAGAATCATTTGCTATTAATGAATAAGAAATATGAATTACAAACAATTGATCTAGATATTCCTTTCTTTTGACTTTGAGAATACTCGTTTTTCTTATTTTATGAATTTTTTTCAATTTAAGATTTGCTTTTTAATCTTTGATTACTTTCACTTTAATCTTATTAATCTAAATTTTCTTTAATTTTAGAAATTATTTCTTTATTGTTAATACATTCATCCCATTACTTAATAATTTTCGCCTCTTATTATTTTAACATTAAATCCATTTTTCGTATTTTTTAAAAATTATGGAAATCAACAAACCATTATTGTAAAATTAAAGGAATTGCAACAAAATACAATGGTTCAGAGGAAAATGCTTATAATATCAGAAGTAAAAAGTAGAAGATGTTTTCTTTAATAACTCTGAAAGGAAGAAAAGAGATGTAATTGGTTCTTTAAATTTTATTTTCATTTTCTATAAATCCTTCAGTTGAAACTATTTCTCCATTTCTAAATTGAATCTTATTAACTATTTAGATATTACTTGATAAGTGTTTTTTCTCTTTTTATTATTATGCTTGTAATTTAGGAATAATTATTTCATTTTTAATTTATAACAGAATGTCAATCAATTAAGAACTTAGTTTTGATTTTAAATCTCAAGTCAATTTTGATACTGATCCTTAATCATCTAATTATTCCAATTTTGCTGAAAAATGGTAAGAGAAAATATCAAGTCTTTAATAAAATATACAAGAAATGCAATAATAGAAAGAAGATGTTAAAAATGCTTTAATATAAGCATAATCAAGAATCAAATATAAAAAGTCTTATATAGATGAACCTCAAATGTAATAAGTTGAAACTAGAACACTAGAAACAAATTAACCAATTTAAAACACATCAATAAATCATCTACTAAATGAATCAAGTTATAATTAGGAAATTCAAATTCCTATTATTAACATCAAATAATAACCTATAGCAACATTTCTAATGGATATTAAATTAAATGATATCTATTTATAAAATTTTATAGACTTAGGAATTTATGATAATGTAAGTCTTTTGAAATCATTACCTAATTAAAATAAATGCAAATTTTTATTAAATAAATATGGCATTGATAGATTAGGTTATCAACGAAGAATTTTAGCTAAATTAGATGAAGGTATTTTTGAATATTATTATTATTCTTAGAAATGGGATTATTTTTAAAAAAAGGATTACTGTTAAATATTGAATACTGTTAAGAATAAATTCCAAATATGGAAGAATGGCTTAAATCTATAAATCAATCAAAATATTATCCTAATTTTCAATTAGCAGGTTATGACAACTTTGCTTATTTAATTTATTAGGAACAAAGTTAATATAAATTAACTATTCAAGATTTTAAAGATTCATTTTATATTGAAAATGAATAAGATAGATAATTATTGATTGCACACATCATTATTAGTAAAAATATATTATTTATGTATTAGTTTGTGACAAAATGATGAATTGTGATTTATGGAGTGTATAAGGAATAAAAAAGAAGTAATAATAATCAGATTTTAATTTAATATAATGCACTCTACCTTCTAATTAATGTTAAATCTTTTGAAATTGAACATTTAATTAAATTTATAATTATTTTAAATAATCATATCTTTCTAATAGTTATAAAATTTCTCAATATTCTTTAATTTAATTCAATTCTTTTATAGTTTTTCCATATCTAGTGGTTACATTTAAATTTGTTCCAAACTTAAGAAATAATTTAAATCAATTCTACATTTTACTTTTTGATATCTATGTGAATAAGACTTAATCCTTTTTCTTATAATTATATTGTATCAATTTTATCTGATTTATTAATCATATTTCAATGTTCTTTTAATTTGATTAATTTAGATGAAATGTATTCAATTGTAACTTCTAATTTATCTAGATTGTCATTTTGAATATTTGGTTTTTTTAAGATTCTCTTCTATGACTTCATTATTTAAGCATCTATAGGTTTATGGAAGAATTAATTAAACAAGTTTGAAGATTTTATTTTAGCTCTTTATTATTTTAAATTAAGTAATTAATTATTTTTCAATCTGGCCAATGTTCATTTCATTTAAAATTTAATTTATTTGATAATATAAATTCTGCTAATTCCAATTTAATCTTATTAGATGAAACTTAATGATATAAATCAGAAAAAATAAGAGATTCAGATACTCAATTTAATGAAATTCTATTATACTATTTTTTAATCTATGATTCACTAGTTTAAATAGCATTATAATATATACTCACCTATTTTTTAGATGATATATTAACTAAAATAATATTTATTCTTATTTTAAGTAGTTAGAGTTGAGTTAAATGAGATTTAAAAATATTATTTGTTAATCTTGATAATATAGATTTGTGAGATATTAAATAATTATTTATTATTAGAATATTTAACGAAAAATAGTTTGTGCATTTATGATTATTTTGAATAATGAATTTAAATAAAGAGAAATGAATGTTATTACTTATTTAGTAATAAAAATAATATAGCAATAATTGATAATAATATAATAAATCTCGGTAATATAATAAAATAATAAGAATGGGTGTAAGTTGTTCAAATATGAAAAATCAAAATGTATTTAATATAATGGAACTGCCTTATAAGTATATAGTTAAAAATACTTAGTATTCATGTAATGGCATATATCTGGTCTGATAATGGACATAATTTATTTGATTATGAGAGTGATTCACTAGTAAAAAAATCAATAGACTTTGATTTTTAAGGTATTTTGGATAAATATATAAGGAAGAGTAGTTTAATTAGATCGAGATATTTTGGCTTTAACAAAAAATGTAAGAATATTTATAGAATATAAAGGAAGTAGTAAGGAATGAAAGAGAAATCTTTGAGTTTCGTAGTAATCAGAAATAAATAGAGTTATATAATTCTAAGATAGAAAATGCATTTTGGAAAGTGATTCGACCAATATAAGCATCAGACTTACCTACATTAGACCGTCAAAAATTAATGACAAATACTACAATAAAATTAGGAAGAGTTAAGTTAACAGTTCTTGATTATAGTTTTGCATATGAATATGATGATGGAGGTGTACCTGATGAATTTGAAGAAAAGAATAAATTAAATGACAGTGGATGTGTAGATGGATAAGTTTAATGTAGATTTTGTTTAAGTAAATTGGCAACACTTGAAAATCCCTTTATAAGTCCATGTAAATGTATTGGTTCCATTAAATTTATACATTTAAAATGTTTATAAAGTTGGATAAATAGTCAATTAAAAACTAAAACATAAAATGGAGTAACTTTATATTATTGGAAAAGTATGAAATGTGAACTATGTAAAACTATGTATAAAAGTAATTCTAAATATCTTAATATTAGCATCATTTAAATTTAAGTCTATTCAATATAATATATGTGATATCAATAAACCAAAAGAACCTTATTTATTATTACAAATTAATCATAGTGATAAAAATAAAGAGTAAGGTTTATATGTAATTGATATTAAAACAAGAGATACTATTAAAATTGGTAGAACATAAGATTGTGATATTAAATTACATGATATATCTGTTTCTAGACATCATGCTAGTATACTAGTAAACCATTAAGAATAATCATTTCATATAGAAGATAATTGTTCAAAGTTCGGAACACTAGTATTAGCATAAGAAGAAGATTTGTAGATCTAATTAAACTCTCCAAAAAGAGTAGCTTTGTAAGTTGGTAGGATTGTAATTGTTGTTACGATAGAAAAAAAAATCAATAAAAAAAGGTATCTAAAAAATTTCTATTATTTTAGAATTAATAAATATAGAGTACCTCCATAATTTGAAGTTTTTAGATAAATTAAATAACATGAAGATGAAGAAGAATTTTAATCAGCTGAATAATAATAATAATCAGATGTTGAAGATATTGTAATAAATGATCCTACTTTTGATAAAGATTAAGATATGAGTAAATTTAAAAACATGAACTTTTTAACTGGAAGTATTATTTAAAGAGACTATTAATGATTTTATATCTTATATTAGTAATGTTTCAAACCTTTTTTTATTGTTTTTATTAAACTTTTTGTGATAAATCAAAAATAAAACATCCATCTATATATTTTAATTGACTAAAGCAAACTTAATTTTAATTTCAGTGATATCCACATATTGAATGTATTTATTTTATATTTGGCAAAATCATTTAATCAATTACCTAAGATATCTCTTTTTATGTGATGTTTTATTAATTTTAGGGAACTACTACTTTATGATTTTATAAAAAGCATTCTGGTTATAGATTTTATTATTGGTTAATCCTCTTACAATTTTATTTAAATAATAATTAATGAATAATTTCATCTATTTCTTCATTTGATAACTAAAAATGTTCCCAATTAAGTAATATATGAAATAATAATAGAAAATGAGATAAATAGAATATATAGACTTAAATTTTGATTTTATGAATATGGTTCATTGTTGGGCAGCATTAGATCTTGGAGCCTATTATTATGGTTTTGGTGGAAGTTATTATGGTTAGAATTGTTAAACATAAGATGGTGCATAAGTAGGATAAGTAGATCCAATATTTTAAGGAACTACTCTCGAAGCAACTAAGGGTTATGCATAAGTAACAGGCTATTAAATATACTAAACTGGTTATTATTGATAAACTGATTATTAGACAACTTGAACTGGTTGTTGAACAACTTATACTTATTACACTTATTAAACTGGTTAAACTTATTGATGAACCACTTATCTTTCAACTGGATAATATTCTACTCTTTCTTAATATCTATCTACAGGAACATATTCTATTCATTATTCACAATTTTATTTTACCTGTGTACTTCTCCTAGAACACTTGAGGGACATATTCAGTTTAGTATTCAACTGCATAATAATCTGTCACCTTTCTTTCTCTTGGAACATATTAAACCACTTCTTATTCTTCATATTCAACTACTGCCTTCTAATAGGGAACATATTCAATTCTTGACTCTCCTTTTATTGATTGATGCTAAAATAACAAAATTTATAGTACTTGTACTTGTTATACCTAAACTTGTTAAACTGGTTATTGAACATACTATACTGGTTGTTGAACATATTGGACTGGTTGTTAAACATATTGGACTGGTTGTTAAACTGGTGAATATTGAACAGGTTAGATATATGATTATCGAATTGGAGATTATTACAATGGAATACCATACTAATAATTTTAATAGAATCTTACCTATGGAACTGTTTATTACAATGTTGGTTAACCAAATTTAGGTGCTTAAGTAGCAGCTAAAGGTTGATTAGGGGGTGCATTACTATATGGATGATTAGACATCTAATTATTTAAATAATCAAGATATATATATTTGTTATGAACCAAATAAAATATATTTATTAACAATCAAATAAATATATATATTTATTATTAACAATTATAAAATAATAAATATAATGAAATTAATATATTATTCACATTTATTAATAACAGAATGTATTTGCACTATGATATTTCAGATCCTTTCTTATTCTTTCAGATGGTTTTATCATCAAATGACATCCATGTAAACGGTATCTCTTATTATTAATAGGCAGCAAGAATATTGTATTTTCTTTTTCAATCACTTTTTTATTATTCTCATTTAATTACCACTTAATTAATCATTTTCTTTTATTATAATGAAAGATTTCTTCTTTTCTCGTACCACTATCCCTTCCTAACCTTCATAAGTCTTGCATTTTGAATATACAATCTATATCAATGCTCCATGTAAATCAGCCTTTAATAATCGTTAGAACTTTGAATCAACTTAAGTTTCTTTGCTCAACAAGTCCTCTATATATAATTTCCATAAATTATTCAATTTTTTCACTGCCTCATATGTAAGACTCCCTAAAGATCTTTTAAATATCTTCAACTATCTATTTAATCCATTTTTTAAAGGCTCTAATTGTTTTCATTATTTAATCATACATTCTTACTCTCCATCTGCATTATTTTTTAACTAAAATGCCTTTTCAAATTTTCCTATCAAAAAATTTTTATTTTAAATCTTATTCCCATACAAATCACTATCACCTACTAGTTCTATTATTTATGCATCAATCTTTTCATTTTACTAAAATTATTCTATTTTTATTACAAAATAATCTCCTGTGCTATTATTCATGGACTATTAGTAAATATTTTCAGCTGTCAATTTTACCAATTCTAATCTATTTATTTCATGATTCAATTTCATCTTCAACTAATGTTATTCCTTATTCTTCATCGATTTTTATTGTTTATCAATTTATTAAACTTATTTAACTTTTTATGATTTTTTTTCTCGATTCTCTATTTACCCAAATAATTCATCTAAATCCATTTTTATAAATAATTTATTTATTTTCTCAACAATTTAACTTTATAAACTTAAATAGCTTGAGTTTCAAAATATATTAAATTAAGACAAATGAACACTTGTTCTCAAAAAATATTAACGACATACATTAAAAATTCTATGTTCAAAATTTCAAATAATTTTTAAAATAANTATTTATTAACAATCAAATAAATATATATATTTATTATTAACAATTATAAAATAATAAATATAATGAAATTAATATATTATTCACATTTATTAATAACAGAATGTATTTGCACTATGATATTTCAGATCCTTTCTTATTCTTTCAGATGGTTTTATCATCAAATGACATCCATGTAAACGGTATCTCTTATTATTAATAGGCAGCAAGAATATTGTATTTTCTTTTTCAATCACTTTTTTATTATTCTCATTTAATTACCACTTAATTAATCATTTTCTTTTATTATAATGAAAGATTTCTTCTTTTCTCGTACCACTATCCCTTCCTAACCTTCATAAGTCTTGCATTTTGAATATACAATCTATATCAATGCTCCATGTAAATCAGCCTTTAATAATCGTTAGAACTTTGAATCAACTTAAGTTTCTTTGCTCAACAAGTCCTCTATATATAATTTCCATAAATTATTCAATTTTTTCACTGCCTCATATGTAAGACTCCCTAAAGATCTTTTAAATATCTTCAACTATCTATTTAATCCATTTTTTAAAGGCTCTAATTGTTTTCATTATTTAATCATACATTCTTACTCTCCATCTGCATTATTTTTTAACTAAAATGCCTTTTCAAATTTTCCTATCAAAAAATTTTTATTTTAAATCTTATTCCCATACAAATCACTATCACCTACTAGTTCTATTATTTATGCATCAATCTTTTCATTTTACTAAAATTATTCTATTTTTATTACAAAATAATCTCCTGTGCTATTATTCATGGACTATTAGTAAATATTTTCAGCTGTCAATTTTACCAATTCTAATCTATTTATTTCATGATTCAATTTCATCTTCAACTAATGTTATTCCTTATTCTTCATCGATTTTTATTGTTTATCAATTTATTAAACTTATTTAACTTTTTATGATTTTTTTTCTCGATTCTCTATTTACCCAAATAATTCATCTAAATCCATTTTTATAAATAATTTATTTATTTTCTCAACAATTTAACTTTATAAACTTAAATAGCTTGAGTTTCAAAATATATTAAATTAAGACAAATGAACACTTGTTCTCAAAAAATATTAACGACATACATTAAAAATTCTATGTTCAAAATTTCAAATAATTTTTAAAATAATGATGACTCAATTTTCTCCTTTAATTCAGCTACTTAAGATATTTTATCAATAATTCTCAGATTTTCAATTTTTTAGCCTTTGTACCTTACTTTGTTATAAACTGATTAATCATTAATTATAACTAATTAAAATTTAAGCAAATCGTACTCAAGAATCTCAAAATATTTAGTTAATAAGAGGGATGGGAAATAACTTAAACTAAAGCAAAATAGAAAAAAATATTTGATATTGGATAAAAAAAAGTGTGTATGCTTGAGAGTTTGAAAACAATAAATAAAAATAAAGTTATTTTATCCGAATATTGAAAATATTAAAAAAGAGTGATTGCATCTTTGAATGAAACTACTAATAGATTGTTATCTGAAAGGTTAATCTTTTCATTTTCATTAAGAAAGGATTGGAGATATATATAAAAATTCAATCAATAGTGTATATGTTGAAATCAAAAAATTATAATATATGCATTAGATTATCTATTAAATAAGTTTGAAGAAATAGAAAATATATGAATAATACAAGAATAATAATTTATTTATATATATAAAAATGACAGCAAAAGATGTGATTATGAAAATGAATAAGGAAGCAGAATATAATGCTTTAACTGCGGACTTCTAAGGAAATGATACAAAATTTGTTGGAGAATATGAAAATGTTAGAATTCCACATGAAAAGAAAGATGCAATAAAAGATGCATTTAGAAAGGTAGCGAAAGCATCATAGCCAACATTAAAGAAGTAAAATACAATTTCTAAAATAGTCTTTCATTGAGACAAAATTGGTTAGACTTATAGGATAGAATATATAATAGAGCATAATACTACACAAGTATTAATTGTGATCTATGATTACTATAGCTGATGCAAATTCTTGTATTAGTGATGCAAGGAACGTTGCTGAAGTTAATGTTTGTTGTGACAATTACATTTAAAGATTAAATTATGACTTTTATAATGATGTCTTACAAATATTAAAGGATTATTGAGATATTTCATTTATTAAAATATACAAAACAAAAATCCAAAATATTAATATATAATATTTTCTGTTAATTAATCTGAATGTTCTTCGACAAAGAAAGAATTGTAAAATTGATGCAATAGAACTAAATAGCATCTCCTTCATCCTTTAAAATAGATTCTCCTAGAATATATTCAAAAACTCCTAATTCCTCATCAAAATTAAATTTTGATCTTACTTCAAAAGGCAAGCTTAAATTGAATTTTTTAGCAGACAATCCCTCTTTAACCAATCGTTACATGTTGAATACTAAGAATAAAACAAAATAGCAAAAATATTTGTTTAGTAAAGAAAATAAGTTTATCGAGTCATCACTCAAAAAAAGCTAATTATACCCATCTACAGATTCAATACTCTAAAATCTTAACATATAATCTCCTAGCTCTACATTTAGTGAAGAGTTCATGAAAATTAATTAAAAATTCAATTCAGTTAAAAATGCGGATAATGAACAATGCTTTTAGCGAAAACAGAGTAATTCAGTAATATAATTGATAAATAAGAATGCAACTTAACTTGAAGGATACGAAAATAAGTATAAATTAATATTCAAAGCTATTATAGTTCTGTAATGAGATCAACAGATAAAGTAAAATAATAATTTAATGAAATTACACTTTTGGATTTGAAAAGTTAGAATATATATTTATAAGTAAGAAATTTCTATTTACATTTTTAAGTAAGAAAATACCACTATGAAATCTTAATTGTAATCTTTATAAGATAATATTAAACATTAAAATAAAGTTATTGAGAAGTTAAAATATAATATTTAATAACTTGAATAGTAATATATATTTAAAAACTAAAGATAGATTTAACATCTAATTGAAGGAGAAGGATGAAAAATCAACATCTATTATAGATAAACTCAACTCTTAATTAAATGTTGAAGGGTTAATTCAAGAGGAACTCAGAAAAAATATGGTAGAAAAATAATAAGAACTTAGTAAATATAATTTAGTAATTTAAAAAAATTAATATTTTTTAGATCGAACAAGAGATCAAGAAAATTGAAGATTTTCATTTTGAAACTTTAAGTAAGATAAATAAGGAACTCAAGGAATAGTAAGTTTAACTTAAAATTCTGAATCATCATATTAGTTGTTTATCATAAATATCAATTCTATTATCAGAAAAGGAGGAAATTCCGATTGAAATTTTGTTTAAATATAAGTAAAACCCTCAGATTTCATAAAAATTATAGGATTCAGAGAAAATTGAAAACATTCTTCAGTCAAACTCGAAACTGATAAAAGAGTTATACGATTTAATTGGAAAATCGTTTGAAAAAATATCATACAACTTTGTTTAAGAATATTCATAAATCTTGTATAAGTAATGACAATTTGAATATTCAACTATTTAATATGAATTTAAACTTATTAGAATCTATAAAGTAAAATAAATGATCAATTTAAATTTAATGCACAATAACATTGTCTTTTTAGTTTTTACAAAATATCTGGATTTCTGGTTTAATTTTATGCCTATGTTTATTAAGGAGGGTTACCTCAAAAATTTTTAGAAAGATTCTTAAAAAATTCAGTTAAACTATTCCCACTCCAAATCCCATTCCCATTCCCATTCCCCTAAAACTTCAAAATATGAGGCAAATAAATTGGGAATACTAAGTCTTCTTTTCCATTTTTCTGACCCTACCATAACCTTTTTTGGAAGATTTTGAAAAGATTTTTCTTCTTCATGAATAAGAAACTCAATAATGTATATCAGTGATTGAAATATTTCTTAACCATTTTTATCCCATTAGAGTATATTAAAATTAGATTATTTATGGATATATCTAGAACTTACAACTATGGTTGTCAAAAATAAATCTATAATTATAAAAGTATTTATAAACAATTATTAACAAGCAAAAACTTTTTGGTATATTTGTAAAAGTCTATAAATTGTGTTTTAGTCATAAGAAATAAATAATTATAAAAATAAATTTGTGTTTATAATGGATTATAAGTGGAGGTAATTTAAATTAAAAGTTTGGTGTGTATGATTTGAGAGTATGAGTCTAATGAATTAATAATGAATAATAAAAGTAATGAAAATTAGGATAATTTTATAGAAGGTTTTTAACAATAAATTAAATAAATCTGTTAAAAATGTTTCATAGTTATTAAACGCCAAAACAATGTTATAAACATTAGCCTTAGAAAATATACTAGCAAATCAATTAAAAAAGTGTTACGTGTAAATCTTTATCGCCTACTTAATTTGGTTGTCAATAGAAAGGAACATTAGATCAGAATGAGTAAAATCTTAGTACTCCTTAGAATTTGAATTTATAGAAAGGAGTGAGATTAGTGAATATTACATAATAAGGAAATGAGAATAGTTTTAGAGGTAGCAGTTAAGCCAATAAGTTTGTTTAAGATAGTCCATTGATAGGAAATAATAAAGAGAATGGAACATTAAGTAAAAGATTATATACAGATTCAACATTAATTGATTAAAATTCTAAAATAGTTTTATAGGAGAATAGGAAATTGAATGAAATGATTCAAAGATTATTTAAAGAGAAATAAGAATTAGTTACAATAATAGATAGACAGAAAAATTAATCATGTAATTTGAGTAATAAAGGAATAGTTAATTTTAATTTCAATAATTTAAAAGATAGAATTGAAAGATTGGAAGAAGTTATTGATTTATAGAGTGAAGAGATTCTATAATGGAAATTAAAATACAAGTAGGCTTGTGAATAAGATGAAAGAGCTAATGCAATAGAACAAATGGTAGAAATGAAATCTGATTAGTTAGGAATCCTAAATTATGAAAGTAGTAGAAGAGAATGAGCGTTTGAACAATCTTGGAGTTGACAAAGAAAAGTAAATATAAGAAATGGGAAACGATATTATAGTTCTTTAAAAAAAATTGATTGAATTTGAATAAAAAATGAAGAATTAATCCAATTTAATTATTGCTTATGAAGAAGATACAAAAGAACTTAAAAGACAATACAAATAAAAATTAATTTTGATTGAGAAGATAGACTAATAGTAATAATTACAATAAATACATTAATTACAGTAAATATAGAATTTTAGTGAAATATCTTCGCATTCTTCATTTCATGAAAATAGAGATCTAAACTTATAAAATATTTTAGAATAGATTCATCTTTTAGAACAAACTTTATCAGACTTATCTTTATAATACGCATCATTAACTTTAGAAAACCAGAGATTATTGAGATAAAATAATAATTTGAAAGAAGAACTTATGTTGTAATAAAAAGCTTTGGATGAAATTCATAATAGCACTAAAGAAGCAGTTAATTCTAAATTCTAAGATGCCAATAAGACATTCAAGTTACTGAAAGACAAGATTCTTAAGTCATAATAGAAATGAGTATATATTTATTTAATATGATAATAAACATATCCTTGATTGAAATAGGACATCTTTTGTTTGCCTTTTTTATTTTTTAAATAAAATGATTTAAAAGAAAGTTCTAAGCAGCAGCGATGAGAGCAGTGAAGATGAACATGTAGAAGAATTAATGGACAAATAAAAGTTGGTATAGGCTAAAGCGAATAAACCAACAAGAACATCTGTAAGTGCTGAGGTTTATGGACAATTCAATAAGAAAGTATTTGCTCATCTTGATTTAAGGGATAATACTAAGCTAAGAAAGTCAATAAAAGTGAAGATGCCATTAAAAGAATTAAACAAAGAATGACCTAAGCATTTATGTTTAGTGCTTTAGATGAACATGAATTGGCTATTGTTATTGATGCTATGGAAGAGAGGAAATTTAAGTATCCATTTCCTTATCATTTTGTAGAGCTGGCGATTTTGTGATCAAACAAGGTGATGATGGTGATGTACTTTACGTAGTCGATCAAGGATAACTTGACTGTTTCAAAGTTTTCAAAAAGGGAGAACCTGAAAAACATTTAGTATATATATATTTCATTTGTCCAATAGAAAGTTTATCAACCTGGAGAATCATTTGGTGAATTGGCTTTATTATACAATGTCCCAAGAGCTGCTACTATTAAAGCCAAAACTGAGGCTATCTGCTTTTCCTTAGACAGAGAAACTTTCAATCATATTGTCAAGGATGCTGCTGCTAAAAAAAGAGAAAAATACGAAGAATTTCTAAGCAAAGTTGAACTTTTGAAAGGTATGAAAGCTTTTTTCCCTTCTTTAGATATGGATCCATATGAAAGATTGCAAATTGCTGACGCCTTAAAGGTCTAAAAATTCAATAAGAATGATTATATTATCAGATAAGGAGAATAAGGAAACACATTTTATTTCATTCAAAAGGGTGATTGCATAGCCACTAAAGCTGAAAATGGTATTCAGTTTTTATATTAAAAACTAGGCGCTGAAAAAGAAGTCTACAGTTATAAAGTTGGTGATTATTTTGGAGAATTAGCTTTAATTAAACATGAACCAAGAGCAGCAAATATCGTTGCAAAAGTAATAATAATTTACATATCAAGAGCGAAGTTATAGTCGTATACTTGGATAGTGACAGTTTTAGAAGGTTGATTGGACCTGTTGATGAAATTTTAAAGAGAAATATGAGTAGATATGAAAAATATTTAAAAAAATGAGAAGATATTACATATATATTTATTTGCAAAATAAATTATTTTAATATTATATCATTTATATAATATATTTAATAATTTTATAAATATTCATAAATTTATGTAAAACCTTACGATTTATACCTTTTTTATATCATTATTCCTTTAACTTTGAAGATGTCTATTTTAAATTACTACTCTCAAAGTAAATTATGCAAATAGTTATTCAATTTTAATAATTTGTTCTATATTTTTTCCTCAAAACTACTTAATTCTTTAGTACAAACCCTAATTATATAAAGTTCTCCCTTTTAATTATTATTCTTATGAAATATTACAATAGATTGTTCGAGATGGTAAAAGGTCTTAAAATCAAAGAAATACCGTTTTGGAGGATTTAAACAAACGGAGGTTTGGCTAAAGATAATTTAAGATTTTGGGTTGGAAAAACTTTTATGAAACAAATAGTCCTTAAATTGGTCTAAGAAAATTAGAAAATTTTTTATCTCAGAAACTCTTCTTAAAATCAAATTGATTTAAAGAAAGCACTAATAGAATATTGCTAAAATTTCATCGATTTATTGGAATTAGATGTTGTTTCTTTTTATTTCCCTAATTGTGAAAACTTCATGAGTTTCTAAATCTTGCCCGAATATTATGATATATTAGATTGGGAATGTATCAAATATTTGAGATATTATGCTTAATTAAAAATTGATGGGACTTTAATTAAAGAAATAGAAATATATAGAAGAACTTAGTTTTTTTAGTCAATAAGAAATTCTAATATTTGCTAGAAGATAATAATAAATTTCAAATTAATCTGATGATATCTACAATTTTTAAACCTAGAAGATTCTATTTTATTTTATAAAAAAATCCTAAATTCATTCCTTCAAATCGCCTCTGAAAATAAAGACTAAGAGTATTTTATTTATTGCATTTTCTATCCAATTAATATTAAACAAACTTACATATGATTATTATTAGAGAATCCAAAATCAGATGAAATTGATTAAAAATTTGATTAACAAACACAAATATGAGCAAAATCAATTTAAATACGAATATTTTATAATTGTTTTTAAAAAATACAGAGTTCTAAGGACTTAGCATCGTCTTTGTTAGTGTAAAAGGATTGACTTTGAATGAAGGCTATTGGATTATTATAAATAACCTTTCAAATTGATTTATTTATTATATTTTATAATGAAAATTTTATTCGTTTTGCTCATGATAGTAACCATTAAGTCAGAAAGATTATTGGTTTCTTAAGATGCTGATTTTAATGATGATGACAATGATTTTGCAGGTGGAGTTTATCCAACAACAGATTCTAACTCAGATGTACATGTAAATCTAGATTAGACTTATAATAAAGCTCTTTAATTTGCATAAATGCATTATGCTGAAAGTTGTAAATTGAACGATTTAGAATGGGAAAGTTTAGATGGTTCAAAGAATTAGATGGTTTAAGGAATGCTTTATTATGTAAATGTAAAAAGGATTTTAGTTCAATGTAACTTTGAAGGGGAATGAGAAAGAGGAGAGATATGAAATTCAAGTATGGATTTAGGCAGATAGAGAATAAACTGCAGAGATTACTTAGTGTAAAAAATTATGAATATTAATATTAGAATTGAAAAATATATATATTCAACAAATGTTTAATGATCTTTTTTTTCTTTAAAAGATATCCATGCTTAGTTGAATGATGCTATTTTAGCTATTTTATTTATGAATGGAGTTGTTGTTAAATTTGAAAGCTGAAGATTAACGAATTGGTTTGATTTTCTATGAATGAGAGAATGTATTTTCTAAGAACTTGCTTTGTTGAGATAATAGTGTTTAGGATTGTTTAAGAGGTGATTATTAAGATGGAACATTAATATAAGGATTTTAAGAACTAATTGGTCGAACTATCTCTTATAAAGGATATCTAACAGATGATTTTTTGACAAGTTTTTCAATTTAACCACAGTTATTTCCACAATGTGGAGATTCATAAAGCCTATCAACAACACTTTGATTAATTCTTTTTTGAGAATTAATTGTTTATATCAAGGGACGATCCTACATCATTTCATTATATATAGTTTCTTTGAGTTTTACCCTTTTCTCTTCATATTTTTTGGCATATTTGAGAAGTCTATTTTCTACTTTAGGTTTAGATGGTTCAAGTATTTCTTCAGGTTCCTATAGAGTATAATCATTTATTTTACTCTTTAGTATAACATGAATGTTATTAATAAAATGATAATAAATGTATTAGTTTATGATAATTTAAAATTTCAATAGGAATGTGGTTTTGAACTTAATGATAATTAATTATTCAAATCAAATAAAGTTTTTAAATGCTAAAACATATATATGATTGGTAGATACCAAAATAAAGTTCTATGATTGAATAAGAGATCTATCAATTCTTGATTTTGAAATCGAATGATAACATCTATAGATTTAAATAATATTAAATTATTATTATTAAAAAAGTATTATTATTTTTCATATATTGTGTTTTTCAAAATCTTTTTTAATTGGCAGGATTTGTTTAGATTGCAAATTAAAATGATGAGATTAGAGTATTTAATTTCATTATTTATTTTAAGATATTCTCCTTTTAAGAATATAATTGTTAATTCTATTAACTAAGTAGAGATGTATAAAGAATTCCTAATCAACAGATATAATTGTAATTGTCTTCCCATTCCAACAAGCATTCAAATCAACCTTTGAACTAATTCTTTTCTTTGTTTAAAATTATGATTAAAATTATTTTTTGATGGATAATCCATGATTATTACATTTGCAAAAAAATTCTTAAATTTTTTTTAAAGTAAATCTTAGAGTAAATCCAAAACTATATTATTAACTTAATATGTTTACTTCTATAGTATAATTTTTAGAAATAATATTTAATGGTTTTCCAAAATATCCAATTTGTGTCTCATTTAAATTAGAACTTTTAATTATTCAAGAGTTGTCGTCTAATTAAATAATGTTATATACTTTTTTTTCTATTCTTGCCTATTTTGATTATCTTTCTGTAAATAAATGTTCAATTAAAGTAGAATGTTCAAATATTTCACTCATTATAAAAGGGTAGTTACTTTAGTAATAATAAAAAAATGTCAAAAGAATTATAATTCATAAAATCAAATAATTTGATTGAAGTATATCATCTCTTCTATCAAGTTCCTGTTTTTTAATATATTGATTTGATATTATCTATCAATATTACTAATTAAATAATCTTCAATCTTAAACAATTCTTTTTAAGTTTGTGGTGTTTTTAGAATTCTTATGAAATCTTAAGATCATCTAAATATTTAGAATTAGCTATCTATTTTATAATTTGTATAAATAAATATAAGTAATTATCAAAATCAAAATTAATATTGAATAATACATAAAAATAATAAATTGTATCTTTAAAATTTAATATAAAAGGAGACAATGTTTTTGATATCAAAATTAATAATAATAATGAATAATAATACATTAACATTATATAAAGAAGAAACAATTTTAGAAGAGCTTGATATTGATTAACTTACTTTCTCTTAAACTCATTTATTCTCTTTAAATGAAAATATAACATAGAAAATTTAGAAATTCTAAATATTTAACCCTTAACATTAAGCTACTCTTGGACTAATTAGATTAGATGGCAAAATCAAATTTGATATTGCTCTAACAATTCACCATAAAAACATATCAAAAAACAAATAAATCCAATCAGATCCACTTTAATGTCCTATTTGTAAAAAGAAATTCTCATCTCCTTAAGCTGTTGGAGGACATTCATCAAGAACTCATCCAAATGAATCTGAAAAATATTAATCTAAAGTTGCTAAAAGAGAGGAAAGAAAACATGAATTATAAAGAACTAGATAACTCTAAAATATAGTCTAAAATGACTTAGAATTTTTGTGATATTCATAAACATACTATTATTATCATCAATATATAATAAATATCTGTTAATTTTAAATAAATTATGTTAAAAATCTCATTCATTAATCATTATTTATAAAATGTTGCTGTTCACATAATTTAGCAAATTTTGTAGGCTGTCAAACATAAGTTTTATGTCTAAAATTACTATCAAATCTATTAATTTAACTTTAATAAACTTGGCTATCCACTTAGATTGCTATTTTTTCATTCATTTCATCTCCACTTCCTTTTATATTTTATTTTCTATATTTTATAAATTATAAATGAACTTTAATTATTCGAATATAGCTGTTAAATTTATATAATTAATTTTGTTATTTTAAATCTTATGCACACTTTTGAAATATCAAATTCCAAATTTGATTAAATTTTATTGCTTAAATCTTAATATATGATTACAAAATATTATTTTATATTTCAAATTATCCGCACTGCTATATATGAATATTATCAATCAAAATGTAACTCATTTAATCTTTATAACTTAGGATACCATTAATTCAGAATCAGAATCAAATATCACTCTTCCAAATAACTCTCATCAAGCATAACCTATTAATATAGTTAACCAAATTATGGATGAATAGATTATTCCCTAATTTAACCTATTCTAATATAATATTCAAGAAAAAAGTGTAGTATTGCACTTAAATTAAAAAATCAGTATAAATAAGAGGTTGTTAAAAACTAACAGAGTAAAAATATATTTTATATTAATAGAGAAAATATAAAAAATCTTTAAATAGACATAATCTACTTAAAATTATTGCTCAATAAGACTTAAGTGATTTATTTTGATCAAAATGTGGATATTGATATCTGAAATTTATTTAATTTATTGAAAAAATAAATCTATTTTTATTAATATTTAAATCCAACTAAAACAGAAGTTTAATTTAAAAAATACCTTTCAATTATTGAAAATTATACAAAAGACAAGAATCTAAAGATATTACTTTGTAAAATAAAATTCATTATAAAAATAAACATTAATTTTAATTGTGATAGCCATTTTGTTTAGCTCCAACAAAAACAAAGAAAAAAATCTAAATAATAAATAAACGAAGGAATTGACTTTAAGATTTTACAGTATAATTAAAAAAAATAAGCTAGATCGAGATGGCAAATATTAGCAGAAGTATTGTTAATTTAATTATAGAGGTGATTTTATAAAATATATAGTTAAGAAAATAGATTGATACAAATTACTAATTTATAATAATTAGTAAGATAAAATTAGAACTTAAAATATAGAATTAATAAATTCATTAATCAATTATCAAAAAGGATCTTAAAAATCATCAATTAAATACAATGACTATAATGCAGGGAAAAATCTAAAATTCATTTTTTATAATACTTAACATAATTATCATTTCACTCTTTTAGATATTTATAGATTTATCATTAAATTCTCCCAAATACTTCTAAATTGATTGATCAACAAAAAGAACTGCTAATAGGAAATTAAATAATGGAAAATCATTAAATGAAAACATTAAATTAAAAAAAAGTTAGAGGTAATACAATTAATGAAAATTACTAAAAATTATATAACTATTAATAACAAGAGAAGTGAGAATTTTTATAAATTAAAATTAATATTATTTATTAAAATATCAAATGAATAGTAAAATACAAGTTATATCCATAAATAATGAAAATCTATATGTATAAAATTTTGATTATTCAGGTAGATAAAGAAATAATCACAAAATCACCTATATTGAAATAGATTTTAGATAGATCCGAAAATTATGAAATTTCTATTGATATTCAATATGATATTTTGGAAACGATATTTACATTCTATGAGAACCATAAAAATGAAAAAGAAATAGTAAAAACTGGTCCACTTGAAAAATAATCGAATTTTTAAAATCTGATAAACAAAAAAGATTATTAGATGCTTGAAAAACTAAGTTTATAAAAACAATAGTAATTAATATAAGTCTGTTATGATTTGTAATATAATTAATTATTAAATATTGCATGCGCATCGCTCGCTAATAAATTACAATGTAATTGATATATTTAATATTAATGATAGATATGGATACTATGGCTATTCGATAAATGTTTAATATCTAACAAGATTAAAGTAAAGAGAAATTAGAAAGAATATCGTTAGAAAATAAGTGGTTGAAGGAATGATTTAAAGTTTATAAATAACAAATAAATTCATATATTAATAATAAAATTCGAATTCAAAATGCATTATTTTAAAGATCACCCATAAGACTCTGAATTAATAGTTAATAATCTTAGATTATTAAATTATGATATCAAAGAAGCAAATACAACATTTCGATTAAATGTTGAATTGTTATCAATTGAAAATATGAAGTTGCATCCTAAATTAACAATTAGTATTATTCATTTTCTTGTCTCTAAATTATTTGATGATGACTCATTTATTAATTCATTCAAAAATATGTAATATATTGTATGAAATATCAAAAAGGTATCCACCAAGAACTTAAATTGAATAATCAGTTTACAAATAAGAAATAGCTAAATTTTTAAAGAATTCTAATAAAATACCAAAGAACTTTATGATAACTAAGATAATGATGGATTAAAGAATTTTTATATTTCTTAGATATATAAGCGAATTTGCTTTAAGGGCATAATTCCTATTTTAATTTCCAATCAAATAATTAAAAACATTTTATTTAGATCCAAAAAGATTGTTAATTGAAGATCGACCTTGTATTAATGATTGTAATGATATGTTCATAATATCAAATTATTAATTTGAAAATTTACAGAATTTAAATATACCTATACAAATCATCAAAATATTGACTGGTTTAATAGGACATTAAATCTTAGTTTAAGTTAAAAAATTAAAAAAATTACTCAAAGAAAATTGTTTATTTATTGATTCAATTATACCTACAATAGACTATGTCTCATAATAATTAAAAACTGAAAGAGATTTTTCATTAAAATTAATTCAATAGCTTTGTATATTAAATTATTATTATATTAGAAAATTGTAAAAATTAAATATCACCATAATATTTAAGTAAAGAAAGAAAGTTAGATCGTAAACCTTAATTAGATTAATCATATAAAGTATTTAATGGAATTCAAAATATAATTAAATAATTTTAAGAATAAAAAATGGATATAAATATGAGTTAAATTTAATCCACAATAAGATTAGATAAATTTTGTGAAGAGGGTAATTTGAATAAACTTCATGAAATTCATAATAATAAAATATAGAATTTAACAAATTAAGTTGAGAAGATTGAAAAAGAAACTTGGGTAAAAGATAGAGGAGTTAAATGTTTATCATAGTCTGAAGAAACTTTAAATAAAATAAAAGAACTCAAAAAATTAGTTTAATCTAAAAGGATAAACAGTAACTGATAAATATTTTTTCAATTTTTAATTAAAATAATGAAATTTATATTAAAATCTTTTTTATTTTTTCGTATTTTAGAAATCCTATTTATTTCATTTTAAGAATATTTTTTCTTAATATAGTTGAATTTAAATTAGTTTGAAGTTAAATATAATCATTTAAATAGCATATTTCAAGTTTATTATACAGAAACTCTAAACTCTGTATAAATATATATCATACATAGTATATTTATTAATCATATTTTTAATAATAAATTATTAGGAGTAAATGATATTTTTATTAATAAGATTTAAATGGCTAGAGAGTTTTTGATATAATATATAATGTATTATTATAATTTTAATATAGATGTGATAATCACATATTAGCTCTGATTAATTTATCAATATCTTATTCAATTCTCAAATTTTATTTCTATTCTCTATCTAAATCAAATATCATAAGCTTGGCTGAATTATTAAAAACTGGTTCAGATTTATCATCTTTTTATCTTTAATTTGTTTGATCTATTTTGAAAATAATGATTACTTAATTATTTGGTATCAGATTGTTTAATTTATAAATCATTTTTCATTCTACTAATTTTGACTTTTTATTTTTAAACAGTGTATTCCAAAAAGAATCTTTCAGATTATAAACATTTTGAGCATGTTTGATGATCTTTTTATTAACATTCAAAATGTATAAAATGACCACATAAATACATATATCCTTTTTTATCAATTAATTATTAGCAAATATCGCAATAATTAATCTTAAAATATCCTTAAAGATGAGATCTCAAAAAATTTAATGATTCATTGTTAAAAACACGTTAAACTATAAATTTAGCATTTTAAATAAAATAATGTTAATATGAGAAAGTGTTGACTAATTTAATAAAATTTCCTTTATAATCTTTAATATTAATATTGCTATATTTAGTTCCTAATTATTATGCAAATAGATCTAAAGAAGTATGTGTAGATATATCCTAGATATTAAGAAATGTTTACTTCAAATAATTATCCAATTTATCTAACAAGAATTTAATTCAATAGTGTATTTGTAATTTAATTATTTAATTGAATTAAACAATCTAAAAAATAATACCAACTTTTTTCTGGATTATCTGAATGATATTAACATATTTCAACAATTTCATTCATTTTATGTTATATTTATTAATATTCTATAGGTTCTACAGTATCTACATTAATAGATTTAGAAAGCACTTGAGATATCATATTTTTTAATAACACAATCTATAATTATACAGCATCTCCAATAAAACCTAATCTACAATAAACATAAGCAGTTGATTCTGTATTTTAAAATTTTTTGCATATTTCTAATACTTCTTCTAAAGGATAATTAATTTTTTATAATTATTATAAAACTCTCTCTGGTTCTAATTCACATAATAACTATATATATTTATAAATAATTAAATACCTCTATATGTTTAATTAATAGAATATTATTTAAACTGAATTCAGAATTTAAATCTTTTTTAATTACTGTTTCTATGTATTTTAATTATAATTATTTATTTTGACTCAACTTTTCAATTACTTAGAGTTCATTATCTTTTTAAAATTAACAAATTAATTCTCTTGTTTTATGTATATCTAAATTTATTAGATCTTGTAATTTTGATACAATTATACTATTTAATTATGCATACATCTCTTTACCATACTAAATATATATTATTTATATTTACCATCTAAATTAGTGTATCATGTAAATATTTAAATACTTATTTTTATACTAAAATATTATTAGATTTTAAATAAATAGAAACAGGATTTTAATATTCTCCAACATATTAATAAAGATATGCTTAAATTAATGGAATTTACTTTAAATCTTTAAATCCATTTAACATTTCTATTTATTCTTTATGTTTAGTTGTTTAGATTTTACTCACTAAAATATGAACAAATTTAAGCATTAGTCTTTATTAAAAATATTCAATAATATCTGAATGACTTTAATGTTATTCTAATTATGCTAATTCACTTTTATCTATTACTTCTGCATATGATCTATAATCAATGCAAAATAGAAATGATTTATTAAATGTACAAAATAATAATATGTCCATCATTATGTCAAATTCAACTTCTAATTTCAAAATGAATATCACCTTTATTATAAAATATGAATATGCCGTTTAAATATCATAGTTTTCATATCCTTTAATATCATTATATTATTATTGAATTTCGAATTCTTATTATTAAAATTTCCAACGATATGTTGGATTCATAAACATTTTTAATACACTTGATAATATATTCCTAAAATATCTCCAATAATTACAGTTGCTTAGAATGTTCTAATTCTATTTAATACTATTTTGTAGTACATATTATTTGATATAATATATAAAAAGAACCATAAGGATCTACCCATATCATTCTTCTTAAATTATTCTCTTCAAATATCCAAACTATCATCATTTCTATTGTACTCTAAATTAATTAATTTTCTATTTATTTACCTTTAATGCAGAAATATTTATTTATTATCCATCCTACAATTTACCCAATAATATATATTCTATAAATGATATCACTTTTCTAACACTTATTATTTCTTCCTCAAAATTTTCTAATTGTGATTACTTTATACTATAATTCCATATCTAAAATAAAGGTGTTAAAAATTCATTCTTTGTTGAATGAGTACATAAATAAATCATTGGAGAAAATAATTAACTTTCCAAACAAGCTTGTAAATATATTGAATAATTCACTCTTTTAAGATCTAATTAATTAAGTAATAAATAAATCTTTCCTTTCTAACCTTTTAATAAAGAAATTAATTTTAATAAAATTTCATCTGGAATATACTTAAATTATTTATTGATGATAAAAGGTTCAACAATACTTAAAAAAAATTTTGATTCATCATTTATTGTTTTTGATAATAAATCACAAATTGAATTTAAATTTTATTCACTTTCTATATCTAAAATGAATTATACTAAAGATATTCCTCTCTTTTTTGCTTCCTCTATTTTACCACTTACTTATAATCTAGCTATTTGTTTGCAATATAAATCAATTATTTATTAAACAAATTGCATTAACTTTTATCTATCAAATTCCATAAACACTTTTTTATGTATGCATAATATTAATTAAAAGCATAATAAAAATTATTAATTTTCCATAAAATGCCTTATTTTATCTTCAAATTTATAATATTTTAAAACTGTAACATTTTAACTAGTTAATATATATATTTCTTATAGAATTTCATTATTAGATATACAAACATTAAATTGACTCTCATATTTATTATCTTTCCAATACATAAGTGGTAAAGGTTCAAATTCCTCCATTTACATAATTTTTTGAGATTTATAATTTGAAAAATTGCTTGTATATACAGTTCCTTTTTCATTTAATAATAAGACTAAGTCATTGTAAATCGAATTCATATAAATAAACTAACATAATAATAATATATTACATTTGCAGACATTTTGATTTGTTTATGTAATTAAAAATTAGCTCTAATTTTACCTTCTACATATTCAGTTCCTTAAAATAAAAAAGATTTAGTTTAATTGGTCCAAGAGATACCTAAAACTAAATGATCCTTATCATCAATTTTAAGAATGTCCCATTCTAGAACACATTAATTATTTTCAGGAGCATCATTTAAAAAATCAGCTAAAATAGTAAATTAAGTAACATTTGAATCTTAAATTCTTAATACCCAACATTTATATCCATTTCCTAAAGCAAGAATAGTATATTCAGGATAATGAAATAATGTTTTACATTTAATAGGAATAGATCTAATAATAGACATAGGTTATGATTTAATAATGAATTAGGAATCTAAATCATAAAATATTCTTCCTTTAGCACATCTAGTTAAAAAACAGTTGCCTTATTCATCTCCTGAAACAAATGTATGTTCATTAACATATTATAATGAAACTATTCTTATTTAATGTACTTTGACCCATTTTAAATGTTTCATATTTATTAAATCATATATTCCAATAATACCATTATCAAAACCAACAGCAAGTTATGATTATGATAAATTAAAACTTAATTAATTTACACTACCATGTTCTGTTTAACATATATCAGCTGCATAAAGTAATTAACTCTTCATTTCAATATATGATTTATTTGGAGGATCTGACCCAATATAAAAATTAAGTACTGCTCCTAAATTACTTCCTACTGCTAAATATTATCCTCTAGATGTTAATGATCTTATTCTTCCAAATTTTTTAAGAATTGCGGCATTCTTAAATAAAGCTTCATTTAGAGCTTCAGGATTAAAGCATTTAAATATTTCTGCTTATTCTATATGTAAATTTGTATCAATTGTAAATTCATTTTCTATTTTTACTTAATCAAACTATTCATCAATTTTGTCTTACAAATCAGCTTTTATTAAAGGTAATTGATAAGTGTTTCTTACCAAACATGCAATCAAATTTGGATACTCTTGCTTATATTAATTTTCTAAACTTTTCATTTTATAAATGTATCTCTAATATTATTTAATAATTTAATCATTATATATTATGTATTTCTAATCAAATTCATTAAATATAGATTTTCAAATTATTAAATCATATACAAACTATTAATCACTAAATATTTGCAAAATCAAATCTAAACTATGAATCTGATTTTATTAATTACGTCAACAATTCTCTAATTCTCTTTATTAAATAACATTTTATATATACATCATTATCTTAATCTTATTTAATACTCTTTTCTATTAAAATTATAATTAATAATTCTAAATCTAATTAATCTAATACCTTGATCAATTTTATGGTAATTAAATTGATTTATTATAATTAAAAAGTAATAGTTTAAATTCATATTCAATATTGATTAGTTGAAGGTAAGATATTTTTATAATAAATATATTTTTAAATGGATGATACTCATTTCGTTATGATAAAATGTAATTAGTAAAATGATTATGCTTAATTTAATAAAATATAAAGAAAATGGGAAATGAATGTAAATGTGATACTTCTTTTGAAGAAGATTAAGAATCGTTTGCAAAAATGCATGCACATTAAAGCAATTCTTATAAGATATTTTCTGATACTTATAAAATGGAAAGAGAAGAAGACTTATCCTTTAGTATGATTGAGAAGATAGAACCAGTTTTTAATATAACCAATGAAGTTTATAGAAAAAAGAGGACAATGAGTTGCATTCCTCAATAAACAGAATGGAAGAATAAGAAAGTGAACTAAAAAAAAAAACTAAAACCTGCATTAAAAGAGTTTTCAAATAATTCATCATCAAATAATGAACACAGCAATAAAACTGTCAGATGGGATGCTTCATGTCAATAAGGAGAATGATTTTGATTTTCTAACTTTAATCTACAAACATATTTAATATTTGATATTTATATAAAATTGAGACAATAATGTTGTTCTATGATTAAATTTTAAATGTAGGTATATATCATTAGAATAACTAAATAATAGACATTCATAAGTTCAATAATAAAGATTTCTCTTTACAATTTATAATAATAGATAATTTAGAAAACTTATTATTTCTTCGAGACATTAATTTTTATGAAACATAACTTAAGTTGAAAATCCTACTTAATAATATATGACATATAAAATCAATAATATATGTATAACAGTTTTTATCTCATAGAATTTTTTATTGCTATAATAAATATATAATAATCTAATTAAGATAATATTCATAATGAATAAAATTTTATATTTAAAAGAATATAAATTAACACTTGACTTTACTCTTTCTAAATGACAAAAAATAAAATCATGATTGCCAGCATTATTTATTTTGTACTCAAAAAATACAATAAATTAAGCTCTATTTAACTAATTTAGATTGCGATTATAAATATTGAATGATGTTGGAAATTAATTATTATTTGATAATACACATTTTTATCATCATAATATTTTTTAATTAAGAATTTTATTAAGATTATTCTTTATGAATAATGTTGTATTAAATTAAGAAATTCATATTATCATGACATAATATTTAATTTCGATTTTGCATCCAAATCTTAAAATAAATAATCTTAAAATAATATTTATATATTCTTAATAACACTCACAATTAAATGTCACAAACAGATAGTACCAAAACTTCAGGCTAAAAAGTCAAAAAAACACTTATAAGTCCTTTGAAAGAAGCACTTTCATAATTAACGAAATAATATAAATTTTTTATCCCAAATGAAGAGGATGTAATTTTTGTATTGGTTGATCTTCCATCTCATTTAGAATTATAGGAAGCAACATCTAGAGCACTCAAATTAATACCAAAATATAATCCAGTAGATTAGAATCCTAATAATTATGATATTTATGTTGCCAAGAAAAATGGTTAACCTAAAATGGATTTCCCTTCATATTAAACTAACTTAAGACTTGAAGAAACAGGAAATTTCGTATTTTCTTTAGTTCATATTACATATTCTGATAAAAATATAAGAAAATCAATCAGAAAATCTACATATGATCTTTCACATTACCAAAGTCCAACATAACCTTCAAGATCAAAAGAAATCAATAAAAATCTTATTAAACCAGAAAAAAACTGGCTACTTCGATTCTTAGGATGCGCTTGACTCTATATATGTTTATTGCTATTATGTAACAAAAACTCAATCATCTTTAATTCTTCTTACTTTATTGTTATTTTTTATTATTCTTTTTTTCATTAATATATAAAATCCTATAAATTGCTGAACAAGTAATCAATTAATCATTTCAAGTAAAGTAATTTAGTAATGTTCAACTATCAATATTAATCTTCCTTAACTAACCTATTTAACAAATAAAAAATAAAAACTTGTATTTTAGATTTTTGGTTTTAGAGATTTGTAATAAAAAAAATACTCAGACTAAAATCATAATTAAAAAATCATATTAATATCACAAACTTTACTTTTTTACTTCAAAAAAAAAATACTATTAATATTTTTTAACAATCAATCATGAAATTACTCCATAATTTGTAAAATTGCATAAAAATGGAAATTTTCAACATCATTATTGAATGAATAAATTTTATATAGATTAAAAAGTAAAAATAAACTAATCACATTTTTATAATTACTTCATAACGAAAAAATTCAATATATTTAGAAGATCTTATGTTAAATACCATAATACAATAAAAAATTAGATCAAATATCAACCGTAAANTGCATCCAAATCTTAAAATAAATAATCTTAAAATAATATTTATATATTCTTAATAACACTCACAATTAAATGTCACAAACAGATAGTACCAAAACTTCAGGCTAAAAAGTCAAAAAAACACTTATAAGTCCTTTGAAAGAAGCACTTTCATAATTAACGAAATAATATAAATTTTTTATCCCAAATGAAGAGGATGTAATTTTTGTATTGGTTGATCTTCCATCTCATTTAGAATTATAGGAAGCAACATCTAGAGCACTCAAATTAATACCAAAATATAATCCAGTAGATTAGAATCCTAATAATTATGATATTTATGTTGCCAAGAAAAATGGTTAACCTAAAATGGATTTCCCTTCATATTAAACTAACTTAAGACTTGAAGAAACAGGAAATTTCGTATTTTCTTTAGTTCATATTACATATTCTGATAAAAATATAAGAAAATCAATCAGAAAATCTACATATGATCTTTCACATTACCAAAGTCCAACATAACCTTCAAGATCAAAAGAAATCAATAAAAATCTTATTAAACCAGAAAAAAACTGGCTACTTCGATTCTTAGGATGCGCTTGACTCTATATATGTTTATTGCTATTATGTAACAAAAACTCAATCATCTTTAATTCTTCTTACTTTATTGTTATTTTTTATTATTCTTTTTTTCATTAATATATAAAATCCTATAAATTGCTGAACAAGTAATCAATTAATCATTTCAAGTAAAGTAATTTAGTAATGTTCAACTATCAATATTAATCTTCCTTAACTAACCTATTTAACAAATAAAAAATAAAAACTTGTATTTTAGATTTTTGGTTTTAGAGATTTGTAATAAAAAAAATACTCAGACTAAAATCATAATTAAAAAATCATATTAATATCACAAACTTTACTTTTTTACTTCAAAAAAAAAATACTATTAATATTTTTTAACAATCAATCATGAAATTACTCCATAATTTGTAAAATTGCATAAAAATGGAAATTTTCAACATCATTATTGAATGAATAAATTTTATATAGATTAAAAAGTAAAAATAAACTAATCACATTTTTATAATTACTTCATAACGAAAAAATTCAATATATTTAGAAGATCTTATGTTAAATACCATAATACAATAAAAAATTAGATCAAATATCAACCGTAAAATCAAATATAAAAGAACTATTAGAAAAAATAAAATGTAAGTAAAAAATAGATTGATGAATAAAAATTTATGTTATTATGAATTGAAATTTTTATAAATATTTTTCTTTTATTTCTAATTTTAGATTTGATTGATTTTCCTAAAATATCTAATAATACGGGTATTAAAAAAAGACAGAAGTGTAGAAATTTAAGTACGTATTTTATTAAAGTATTAAAAGAAATAATATTCACTTTATAAGCTATTGTTCAATAAATTAATTTTATATAGCACTTGATATTGAATGTTATACATAGTATAAATTATGTAATTATTTTATTACGATGTTCTAAAAATCCTGTCATATCTCGCATCTAAAAATGTAATAACATAGAGTTAAAAGGAAGAAATAAAAAGTAATTAAATTAAAAACATTATTAGATGTAGTTCTTAAGCATGATTCTGAATTTATATAAAAACTTCATACTATTTACTTTTCTGAAAACTTTAATAAAGAGAAATTCATGAGTGATGAAATTATAAGATTTGCAAAGTCTTTCAAAACAATAAAAAGAGACAATCATAAACATACATAAATGAAAATCATTACTGAGGAAACGGAGGAAATAGAAGAAGAATTAATCAAAACTTCATAAAAAAATAATAGGATAGAGCAAGAACTTTTTTGAAAAAATTGAGTTAAAATTTACTAATCATTTTTATAATAATTATTTTAGTTATAGTGTTATTACATATTGATAATTAATTATATATTAATTTTCAGAGTGATTAGATTTCTAAGCTTGATTGATATCAGACATCAAGATTAATTTTAGAATAAGAATTTTTGGATTTTGAAAATCATTCTATATATAAAAAAGATAAAAATTAATTTTTTTAATATAAGATTTAGTTTAAGATTCAATTTTTCTATTATTGATAAAAAATATAGATGAAAATTCATTATAAATATTATTGAATACTTTAAAAATTGTTAATCTAAAATATTAAGAATAATTTAATTTATATGAAAGAATGTTTTAACAGATAAACCTAAATTATTATGAGAAGATGTGATAGTTTAAAAAATGAATCAAAAAATCTTTTATAAGAATTACGTTGCAGATCGTTTAGTTATGCATAATAAAAAAAAGAAAATTAAGTTATGAAACAAAATATTTAACTTCAGAATTATTAAGAAACCTAAATAACTTAAACTGCTAAATTAAATTTGAAATCTATAAATTATGCAAAAAAGAATTCAGTATCATCTTATTTGTAAAATCCAGCATATTATAATAAACTATTGACCAGTGTCACTAAAAAAAGAATGTCATTATAATCAATTGCTTCTAAATAATATTCTATAAAACAAGAGAAATCAATGTGGAAAATAGTTAATCAATCAGATTTTCATGGATTTAAATGAACATTAAAAAGAGTTTGAATATTTTATATTTTACGATTAAAATTATAGATTATAAATTAATCCGAAAAATTATAGTATAATTTCTCTTTTGATGATATAAATTTACATATAATTTTTTATATCTATTGATTATATGAGATTAATCCTTATTCTTCTTGGTTCAAATAATAAAGGAAATCTTTGATTTAGAAAAAAACTATTCTTTAATCTATTATCTTCTTTGTGCCTTTCAGAAATTTATATTTGATAAATTAGAGTATTATATTATGCTTTGTATTTTGAGAGTTCACAATTTATTTAATTTTTTTCAATATATTTCTATTTACTAATTATTTTGCATAATTAACCCTAATTTTAATCAGTGTATTTTTTTATGTATCTATTGGATTTAGTTATTAATTTAATTAAAATTCTTGGAAGAATATTTCATTTATCAGATCAATTAATTATCTTTATCATAAGCTAGTAATATTCTTATTTTCATTTAATATCATTCAACCTAAACAAACTTTTAAAAAGTGAGATTTCATTTTATATAACTCTTAAGAAATCTCTTTTGGTAGCTAAATAAACAGTATTTTCTTCCAAAATATAAAGAAATAAAATACATAAAGCATAAAATTTTAAAATTTCTACTCTACCAATAAAATTTAAGGGCATAATTGATTTTTTATTCCCTGCTATTAAAATCTATATTTCTTTTTCTAAAGTATTCATTTTAAATCAGAATTCCTTTGTGAATTTACTTTTCCTTAAAATATATTTAAAAAAGTAAAATTTTGTTTCCATTAGTATATTGAATATAGTTTAATCAAATACCTATATAAATTAATGTCTTACCATATAAATTAATGTGTATGATTCATAGATACTTTCACTAAGAAAATTTTTTTAGAATCATTTTCTGATAATTTAAAAAAATAAACAATATGTGTTGATTTTGATTAAGTTCTATGATAGTTAATTATACTGATTTTGTAAATTTATGAGTTAAATTTTAGATGAAGATCATTAATTATACATAATATTAAAATAACAGTTTATATAAATAAAAATCAATATAAATAAATATAATCAATTTCTTTTTTTTGATTATTATCATATTTATTAACTAATACATCTTAATAAATAAAGTATCATTTCATATTTTTTCATATTTGTACATCATTTTAATAGGTTTTGATAATTTATCTAATTTTTCCATCTTTTTCCATATTTCACATTCATTCTATCCTTAAGAAGTAAAACTTATATTATTTTCTAACTGATATTAATCATCTATTTATTCTCTTAAGTTTATAAACTATTAAAAAATCTAAAAGTCTGCTTTCTTTTAAGTTGATTGAGCTAACTCAAATTCTTTGTCAACTTCTTTTATTGGACTTAAAACATCTATCATTCTTTAAACAGGAGTTTTTGTAATAGAAGTTCCTCTGCTTCTACTTTTAATAGAAATAATTGATTTAGAACTATTATTTATTAAATCAGATCTATAATCAATTTAGTCATTAATTTTCCATCCATTTTCATAAATTTTAGAAATTAGAATATTTTTTAGATAAGTATAATTTGGATGTTAATGTTATTTTAAAGTTTTTAAATACTTAATCCATTCACCATAAATTGATGATTCTTAATCCAAAAATTATTTATCAAATGTAACTTTTAATTTATTCATTTAAAATTCTTAAAATTATTATTCATTAATTATAGAATCACCTGATTGCCAAGGTAAAGTACCTATAAATAGTAATTATTTAATTACCATTATTAAGATATATTAATAAGTATGTTAAACTATAAAGATCATCAATTTTATTAGGTTTTCTATCAACACTTAGCATTGGACTTAAAAAATTACCATCTTTGATTGGAAATTTTATACATTTATTTTAAACTTCATTACTTTATAAAAAGGATAAGTCTTTTAAATATATTAGTTTATCATCTGCATCAAAACCCATACATAATGATTAGGGCATTAAATTACATACAATTAAATTTTTATCATGTATTTTCTAAATTAGTTTTATCAATTAAATGCCAATTAGTAAAATACTTTTTTATGACATCTATCCATTTGCTTTAAGAATCTAACTTAATGATGGACCTAAATTCTAAGTAGCCAAAAAATATCTACATTTTATTATTAAATACCTTTAATCATTATTATTACCATAATCTATCACTTCTGGAATACCTTCAATATCTTACAGTTGTAACAATTTATCGGTTTCTTCTTACAATATATTTTAATTGATAGAGTTTTATATTTTTAATCTTACTTCTCTTTTATTTCCTTTATAAATAGCTTAATATTCAAAAAATGCAGGAGTAATTTACATAAGTCTTACATTTTAGTATCTTATTTAAGATGTTTGAGGATTCTAATTCATATCACAATTTATTTAAAAAAAATAATAAATTGATGGAAAAGAAGAAATTACTGGTTTTTAATTAATTAAAATACTCTTCTTAAAATAATTTATTTAACTTAATCAATATTAATAACTTAAATCATAATTTATTAGTTTATTTATTAAAATTCCATCGAAATCTATATGTTAATTATATTTTAACTTATTATTTATAGCATACTATCTAAAAATATCTTAATTAAGATTGTTATGAATTTTTATATTGTATTTTATTAATATTTATTATACTCCTCTAAACTTAACTTAAATTTATTATTTCTTACATCTTATTTTATGCAAAAAATACTGAACTAAAGAAATCGTTCATTAATTATTCAATTTTAAAAAAAATAAATAATTATTTTACTTGATGCTAGTTTTCCTCTTTGTCTAAAAAATTATTTTTTTAATTTATATGATTAAACCTTATCTCACAAAAATTAATTTTTTTCATAAAAATTATAAAATGAAAAACATTACATTAAATCACTTAATTTATTAATTTTTTCCATATTTAATGATTATTTGTAATGACATCTCTTAAAGTTTCAAAAATTTTAAATAATCGAAAAATGTTTTGCCTATATTTGAGAAAAGAAAGGAAATGATATTATAATATTTTATATATACTTTGATTTTTCAAAATTTTTAATTATGATTATTATAATTTATTTGTATTAGAAGGAGTAATTATATATTTTTACATTTAATAGTAATGATTTAATTGACTTGATATAATAATAATAATGAGTATAAAACAAAATTAAATTAAATTTATAACATAGCTTTTACATTTTAATCCAACTAAATAATTTCATTTTAATTAGATAAAATATAAATTATTTTTCATTCTAATGGGAAGTATATGTAGATAAGCTGAAAATGAATAAAATACATAATAATCAATAGTATTTATCAAAGTTTAAGTAAAGAATATGCCTGATAAGCAATAATTATTAGAAAAATATATATACAATTTAAAAGAGAATGTAGACAGATTTGAGGATGAATTTTACTAATAGAGTTTTAATTTGGAAATATTAAATTAAAATCTATATTAATCTGAATTGGTATAGGAAATTTTGGGTAGATAAGATTCAAGCTAGAATAATTCAATTGAGTATAACTATGATTTAGCTACTGAATCAATAAAAGGTAGTTCATTCATAGTATTAAATGAGCAACTTTAAAATAAGAATAATTAAAATCGACTTAGAAAGCATTCTAAGTTTTACTCAAGAAATCGTCATAATTCATAAAATAATTCACCTTTGAAAAGTATTTTAAAAATACCTTAATCTAATGAAAAGATTATTTCTCACAGTACAGAGAGATATTTATATAATGAAATAAAAGAAAAAAGTAAAAAAAAGCATCGAGTGAGATTTATGTCATCTGAGAAAAATTCAGGATCATCTGTTGAACGGAAAGGTTAGAGAGAAAAAGTGAAAAAGAAATAATAGATAAGTAATTAAAAAATATATGAAAAGATAAAATTATGATTTTTTTAAATATTATGAGATATCTAATTTATAGGTTAGAATAATTATTATAATATGAAAAATAAAAATGAAAGAAATAGTATGATAAATTCTATTGAAATCATTTTTAAATTTACATTTTACTTGATTTATGCTTTAATCTAGATGGTTATGGAATAGTGTTTGATAATGATTTCATTTTATCAGCGACAGATTCATAAATAAATTCTTGATCCAAAATATTAATATCTGAAGATTTGGATCTTGAGATATAACTTTTTTTTTTTATTCCTCTTGGAGTAAGTGCAATAGACATATTAGAATTATCTATCATATCAGATTTTTCTAATATGGTTGATAAATTAAGACCAGATCCCATTTTCATTTAATTCATCATTACACTAGGTTTTCCTAAAAGATCTCTAATTTTTAAATTAATAAACCAATGATGATTAAGAGCTTAAAATGAAGTACATCTTTTTTATGGATCTTTATGTAACATTAATTTCATTAATTATAGTCCACTAATTGATATTCTACAGAAATCTGGATATTCTATATCTCCTTACTCATTTTTTGGAAGTACCTCTCTACTTAAATTATAAAATCTACTTCATTAAAATCTGAACCAAATGGCATTTTACCAAAAACAATATAATAAAAAATAACTCCTAAAGAGAAGACATCAATTTATTAATCATATTATTTAGTTTTGAATATTTCAGGTGCCATAAAGCCAGGTGTTCCAATCCTTCTATGCATTTTATTTTCATGAAAATCAGCACTTGAAAAATTAACAATACAAGAATCAGTAAGACAATCAGGAAATCTATTAAAAATATTGTCAAATTTAATATCTCTATGAAATACTCCTTTACTATGAATATGATGTAATCCTAATAATAATTTATAAAGTAATTCTGCAAGTACTTTTTCTGTAGTTTACAACAATTATGGTAATAAAAACTTTTATTCTCTTCCTGCATATTAATCATATACAACATATAAATAAACTTAATCTTCATAAACTTCTTATAATCTTTATACATAAACATGATCAACTCTTCTTAATATAGATATTTCATTTAATGCTAATGATGGATCATCTAATTAACTCTTTTCAATTATTCTGATTTAAAAAAATAATCCATCAGAATTTCTTTAAGCTTTATATGTACAAGATGGATATGGTTCATTTAATTTATGTTTACATATCAATTTGTATTTTTTATTAAACTTTGTTAAAATACAGTATCTTTTTAAAGCAGCTTACCATCTTTCATAGTGTTCTTAATTCTCTGTAAAGAATTCTATTCTTTATTTACTGTAATGTAATCTAAATCCATGTTTATATGGTTGAAATGAAGATTCAGAATATTTGATTTTCTTTAAATAACAAGCATTTATATTACAATACTCTGCTTGATTATTTGTTATCTTAACCAATCTAAATTAATGTTATATATTATTACTTATCAACATATAATTCTAAATGAACACTTTCCCACTTTCTTGTTTTTGTATGTTTCTAAAATGTCTTACCTTAAAATATTAAATGTTATTGATTCTCTTGTAATTTCATTTACAACCAAAACTCTCCACCATTATTAAATATGCTATCATGTTCATCTTTTTATTACAACCAATTCATTTTTTATATTATTTATTAATATATAAATTATTCATATCATCCTATTAATCTTATTTATCTTATTACTAAATTAATCAATTACATTCAATCATAAATAAAATTATTTCTAATTATTCTTTACTTTTTTATTTTTATTATTTTTATTTATGTATCCCTCAAATTCTATAAATTAATGTAATTTATGGATTTCATTAAATAACTAGTTCTAATTAATCACATATAAATATTAAGATAAATCTAATTATTACAAATAGCATCTCTTAAGACTTATTATATAATTATTAGATTATATAATCAAAAATAAAACTGAAATTTAGAGATTATAAATTGCATTATTATTAATATTTAATACATTTTCAATGAAAACTATCTCATCATTTTAATATACTAATTAAATTGATAAAAAATTTAATAAAATAAAACAATAAAAGATACTTGAGAAATGAATATACATTATTTTTAAAAAGACCTCTACTTAAGTTTATAGAAATAATAAAAGAATCAGAAAATAATAACAAAGTTATGCTTTAAAAGAATGATCAAAAAATTATAAAACTAAAAATTTTAAATTACTCTTATGATTTAAGTCACATTATATAAGTCTCTGATTATTAGTTAGAATTTTTGAAAATCAATTTCTCAAAGATAAAATTGATTCTATTTTAAAAAGAAAAGTAAAATTGAAATCATAATTAAAATTATCCCATTCTTATTAATCTAATGATTAACCCTTATATAATTTAGTAACCAAGATAATTTAAAAATAATTATTTAATTCATTTTCAGCATTCTAATTTCTTTGAAAATCAACAAGACTTAAAACACAATAATAATCAGTTTAACCTTAGAGAACATCTTATTTAAATTCATAAGAAATTATATAAACTATAATGAAAAAAAAAAGAATTATCTGATATAAAATCTTGAGATTAAGTAAATTTAACATCTACTGTTAAACAAGAAAAATTATTCTTAAAAAATGAAGAGGATGATATTTAATAAGAATAATTGAGATCCTAATCTACCGAATCAATTAATAAGAAACCTTTATCTAACAAGAAAAAATACTTTACTTAATTTTATTTCTTAAACACTCAATAATTAAAAAATATCGTAATAAAATAAGAAGTAATGGAGAATTTGAAGTTTTTAAAAATGTCCTTTTTATTAAACTGAAAAGAGGGATGAAATTTATAAATGGAAATTTCTATTAATTTTTAAACCAATACTCTTGACAACTAACTAAAATTTTGCAAATAGAAAAATTAAAATATGAATAAGATATTTTTAAAAAGATAAGTTTTAAGTTCAACTATTCAATTTAGAGAGATATAAGTTTTTAAGCAAGATTTATAATCTGCTTAAAATTGAATAAAAAAATTAGAAAGTATTAAAACTAAAAATATTCTGAAAAGATAATATATGAGAACTTAGAGAGAGCTTAGGCAAAAAATTAGATATATAGAAGAATCCAATTATGTATTCTAATTTAACAATAATAAAAGGCATGATAATTAAATTAGAAACTAAAAATAATAGAGAAATGGAAAAGAATTAATTTTAATGATTGAAAATTATTTATTATTATTGATATATTATAAATAATGTATAAAATATTAATAAACATTATCAATAAATTGATTTATATATTATACAAATAGAAATTGATATTAATAAAAATCAAAATTTACAAATATTCGTACACTTGTAAGATATAATACTAAAAATAAGTATTTTAAATAGGAAGGATCAAATAGTGAGGTTCATATTAAAATAACTAGTCATCATTTAATAACCTTTAAATACTAATGAAGTAATAATATAATTAATGACTACATAAAAAATAATATAAAATAATTATTAGTGAGTGTGTATGATAATAAAATTGGAATATTAATATAATGCTATAAATAGTTAAAAAATAAGAGTGAATTTATCTAAAACTTAATAATTAATTTATAATAATAAGAATCTAATGGATAAGTATAAAAGAATAAAAATGATTGGAAAGGGTAATTTTGGTGATGTTTGGCTAGTTGAAGACAATAAAGGATAGGTATAGGATTGAGAAAACAAAAGAAATTTGCCCTCAAGTTAATCGATTTGTAATTTTAGAGTGTTGATCCAACAAATGAAGTTACATTGTTAAAAGTTTTGAAACATCCAAATATAATAAAATACTATAATTCATTTGTTTAGATTGATTAATTATGCATTTTAATGGAATTTGCAGAAAATTGTATTTCAAAAAAAATATGTAAAAAATAGATGATTTGTAAATATATACAAAAAGTAATCCATCAAACATATTAAATTGGTTTACATAATTATGTTAAGCAGTATAATACTTACATTAAATGAATATTGTACATAAGGACATAAAACTGAAAAATGTATTTTTAACAAAGGATGGAATAGTAAATATAATAAATAGAATTATAGATAAAATTGGGTGATTTTAGTATTTCTAAAAAGTTAGATACCTCTTTAAATCTAACTTAATTAGGTATAAAATATTGATTATAATAATAGGTACTCCTTATTATTTATCACCTGAGATTTGTGAGTCTAAACCATATAATACAAAAAGTGATATATGGTAATTAGGATGTTTTCTTTATGAATTATGTACTAAAAAGAAACCTTTTTAAGGAGATTCTTTACCTGAAGTTTTTAATAATATTATTGGAAGTTAAACTCCAATATTACCTGAAGGATTTCCATAGTTTTATTAAGATATTATAAATTAATGTTTATAAAAGAATCCTTATGATAGACCAGAAATCTAATCAATTTTAGAAATAACTGAAATTAAAAAAGAAAGAATCAAGTTTTCTTAATTATATAAATAAAGATTGATAGGAATGCTTAAATAAACAGATAATACATAATCTGAATCTATTTAAAATAATACTAAATAAATGCATAAACCTATATTTACTCCTTAAAATAAATCGTAATCTTTATTATTTAAAAATCTATTCTCAGAATCAATACAATCGAACATTAAAAAACCTATGACAAAGAAAATCATTTCTATTGATACTGATTTAATTGAGAAAGATAATAAATAATAATAATCGAATGAACCCCAAACTTAATTTGTTAAATAATTATTCAATCCTAAAACACCTACATCTCCAAATAGAAATCTATTATTGGCTGATTTTTTAAAGAAAAAACTTGGAGAGTCTAAGTTTTAAGATGTTCGTTAAATTTTAGAAGAATCTTAAAATCCAATTCTATTATTAGATTAAAACGAAATAATGGCAAATTTAATGGGAGAAGAAAATTTAGAATGTGTAAAGGTATTTATATATTTTAATTCTAATTCAATAGATATTTAAAATACTTATAAGTAATTGTACAACTCTACCAGGTAATCATTTTAGATAAATGAATAATTATTAGTTTTTAAGAGATAAAGTTAGTTCCTAAACAGATTTAGATTAAAATTTAAAAACTAATAATTTTTGATTGAATTAATAATATTTATAAAATATTTTATTCAAACATGATTTTGATGATATTCTTATATGATATCATTTTTACTATTTGGAAAGAGATGATTTACAATTAATTCTAAACAACTCTATGAAATTGTAAAATTTCTTAATCTTAATAATTCAAGAAAATCTTCATCACTTAAATTTCTTCCTTTTAAAATGATATATCTAAGATCATTTAAAATTGATAAATCATCATCTTCTAATTCAATTTACCCATCTCTTAATATTGTAATTAATTTTTGAAATTTCTTTGTTAAATTTTCATTATAATTAATTCGTTCATTCAAATTTGTCATTAATTCTTATTAAACATAGAATAAATCTTTTTAACTACTAGCATATTATTATTCTTAATGATAAACCATATGTTTATGAAATAAGGTCTATCTTCTATTATGATCACTCTTCTATAAAGATTTAATCATCTCAGAATTGTACTTTTCTTTAATATTAAATAAATTACATTTAGATTTATGAAATTATAATATCTTATCTGTAATAGAGTATAATTATAATTACAAGGGATTGATACTACTAAACATTTCTCCATTAGTTTTGATATTATCAGTCAAGAGTTTTTCTTTCAACATAGTCATTGGGACTTCTTCAGTAGATTTAATCACTTTTTCTGTATTTCTAAAAATATAATATAAATTATACAATTTACGAGTATCCACTTTAGCATCAAATTTATATGGTATATATTTATGTACTTATTTTTCTATTAGTTCATTTAGACTAAGGTTTCTGGGATCCTATGTCTTTTCATGCAATTTAAACTTTTTATTTTCTAAATCTTAAATTTATTATTCAAGTTGCTATAATATATTTAAAATATATAAAATACTTCTTTTTTTGTTATTGTTTATCTAATTAACTTACGAACTTTTCTATCCTTTAAATATTCATCTAAATTTGGAATTGCTTAATTCTATAGAAATCTAGCAGGACTTTCTGAAATATAACGATTATTAGAATAATTTCTTCTAATTGGAGATGTACCAACTAGAAAATTAGATAATTAATTCTCTTCTTATTCATTTTAAGGGTACAAAGTTCCAAATGATAATTAATTAGAATTGTTTTTTATTCTTTTAACTTCTTAATCTTGTAATTGTAAATATCCTTTAAGATGTTTATAGGCATCAATTTTAGGAAATGCTTTCATTTTTTATACATAATTTCTTCTTATTTAATCTAATGAATGATCTTCTTATCTTTATTTTTCTCCTTTTTCTCTATTATTTTAAACACTATTTCCAACATGAAATGTATGAAGTCTACGTTTTGATCTATTTCTCTTTCTTTCTAATTATGCTTCTTTTATTGTGTCAAGAGTTGATGCTATTTTGTATGCTTTAATATAATTTAACAATCATTACAATTTATATCAATATTAACTGTGTTCGATCGATTTAATTAATCCATTTTATTAATTAAATAATTAAATTTATAATTTACACTCTATTCTATTAATTTATGAAAAGAACATAAAGAAAGTTATCTAAATGTGTTGATGAAGAAATGCAATCAGACTCATCTAAATAACAATCTGATTCAGAATTTATTATCACTGAAACATCAGAATCAGAAAAACTTAAAAGTAAATCTTTTTGGAGTCTTAAAGGATTAAGTTATTAAATTAAAACACTTGTTAAAGAATTAAAAATAACTACCTATAAAATATTAGCTAATATTCTTATTGAAAAATTATAGAATGAACTCTAAAAAATTCATACTACTGAAAGAAGAAAAGAGATATAAAATCTTAAAAGACGAGTTTATGATGCTATTAATGTAATGGTAGCTATGGGAGTTCTAGAAAAAGATAAAAAATAAATATCATTTCATGAATAAAAAGACAAAGATATTGTCAATTTTTAAAAAGAGTAAGTTCGAAGTAAATTAGAAATTATTAAAGAAAAAAGAAGAAAACTTACGAAAGCTACTCTCACTTATATGATGCATAAATAACTCATTTAAAGAAATTAATAAATTAAATTAGAATCTGAATCCATATTATTTACTCCTGTTTTTGCTTTTTCAGTTTAAGTTTTTGATAATGATTTATGTATGCAACAAAAAAATGGAAAAAAATTAATTATCAAATCTAAATAGCCTATCTATATCTACTCTGAATTAGAAGTCTTATAAAAGATACTCAACTGATAATAAATCAATATCTATATAACAATGTTAAAATATAATATATATACAAATTTAATTATAATTCATTACAAAATATTATTATATATTTTTTCAATATATTATAAAGATTTTAAAAAGCTATCTTCTCCATAAATTGATTATGGAGGCAATAAATATGGTAATTATCTACAAACAAAAAACTTTTAATTTAGTAGTCTAAATATAAAAATTATTTAAAAAAAATAAATTAAGAATGTTACCATTTCAAAGAGTAAAAAATAGCTAAATTTCTCATCTAATTAAATTTGAATCTCATCTTCTAATTGATTTTTTAATTCTATAAATAAATTCTCCAAACTTTAAGAAATAAAGTTTATTCCTATCAAATCATCTCTTGTGAATTTTTTTGTTGTATTAAATTTTGAATTTATATCATCTCTTACGAAATTTGAATAATATTATATATAATACATTGGTCCTTCTTTTAATTTACCATTTAAAATAGTCTTACATAAAGAATTCTCAATTACTGAACATGTGTTTTGTAATAGATTATTTAAAACATCTAAAGTCTAATCAGAATATCCATATTTAAATTATTCATCATAATGTAAAAATTCTTCATAAGCTTCTATAACTTAATCTTTGTAAAGATTAATTAAATGATCTGTAATTTCAATTTCTCTCAATTTATCTTAAATTTAAACAATATAATCACAATAAAAAATTTCAGTTACTTCTTGACAATAATTTATATAAATAGAAAATTAATCTAATTTTTCTGTTAATCTATCAATCTATTTTTAATTGATTACAAGAGAATAATTTAAATAAAAACAAAATAAGAATATTCCAATTAATGGATAAAACACAAAAGGATGTTATAGACAAGAATATTATTAATCTTATATTTTAAACTATTTTTTTGAATCAGTTTTTGAATAATTTGTAAATTTTAAACTTTGAAACTATGATAGATTTTAATTTTCTTAATATAATTTGTTTTTGAAGTTGAATTGATATTTATATAGATTTAATTCACTTGCATTTTTATAAAAGTATAATAAATTTGATAATCTAATTCTTTCAGCTTCTAAAGATTAAATTTAAATTTATTCAGAACTTCTAAGAATCCTTCTTTGAAGACGAAAAAAATGCATATAGGCAAGAGAATAACAAACTATTACTAAAACTTCTATTGTTAAAACTATGAAAGATATTACACTCTAATAATAGGAAACAGTATTATTTAAATTATTCTTAATTTTAAAACTAAATTCTTCAGTTATTAATTCATATTGTTCTATATAATCAAAAAATGAATAAAGTAATACATGAATAGTTTTATGGAATTTTTGCATATATTATTCATCTAAAGGATCAAAATTTTTAAAATTACTCATTTAATACCAAAGTTAAAATATTTCAGTCCATGCATTTACTTCTTATGATTCCTTTTAGAAATAGTCATATAATTTCATTTAAACTTCTGATATAGTAGAAGTAACAACGATTTTTTATGAAACTGATTAAAAAATGGCAAATCTATGGTTTATATTTTCTGTAATTAATTCTGTAGTTTCATTTTATAGTGTAGAATTCTTAGAATTATATAATTGTCCAAGACCTAACAAAGTATTTCTAATTAAATCTACAGTTGTAAAAGGACCAAAAACTTCTAAGATTTATTTATTATCATCCATATTTGACTTATACAGAAAATGAAAGATATGAGATAGAAGCATAATGATTATTAAATTACAAAAATCTACAGTCAAAACTAATTTAATTAATTTAGGAATATTGCTTTTTCTTGAAAATTTATTATATATTTATGATTTTTAAATTATTGATGAAACATCTTTATTACCATACTATTAATATTGAGTATCTGTTTAATGAATATTCTAACCTCCAATTTAATTTTAAGATCCTTCATCTAAGAGTTCAATTTCAGAAACTTTTTAATGTTTTGGGTTAATTTCAAAAAACTCTTACTAATATTAAGCTTTCAATTATTTTGATTATATGATAATTGGATTTGTATTGGATTTTTAACTATTACTTACTTTATTTAAGCTTTTTATTTCATTTTCATTTATTTAACTATTATGAGATTCAATAATATTAATTTATTATTATTCAATCTATCCTTTCTAAGAATTAAGTATAAATCTACTGGAATCTAAAGGAGTTTAAAAATTCGAATAAATTTAAGGTAACTAATAATCTATTATATTATTAATTTCATTTTATTTATATTCGAGTTATTGTATATCAGAAATATCTCCACTATCACTTTTTATGTCAATTAAACCTTATATGGAATCTAAACGCATTGGATTTAGTGATACTTAAGATGATCCTTTTTTAAAAACATCAAACAATAAGGAATTTGATTAATTTTCTGCCAAAGTTATTTTTTTGATAGAAATTAAATACGCTTAATAAATTTTAGTATGAATAAATCCTATTGACATTGTTATAGAACAATTTGAATAGTAAATATCTGATTAAGATTCTAATTTAGGAATGATAAATGTTAATTATTCAACATCAATAGTAAAATGTATAAGCAATCGTTCTTATTATTAATAATCAAATTTATGACTGATTGAACCATTCTCCTCTCTAATGATTTCTTCATCTTAATAAACTTAATATTAATATTATAATTATTCAACATATAATTAAAAGTTTGGAATAATTTCATCAATACCTTTATTGTAATAATCATTAATTTTAATTTTTAATTATTCTAATGCTAAATTTGATATCCCTTAAATTTTAAAGGCATCAGATATTACAATATGTCCTTTAACATTTTCATATTTTCCATATGGTACAATTTATTTAAGAAAACAATAAATGGGAAAAGCATCTTCACAAATGTTAAATGAGAGATCAAGATACATTTCACAGAATATCAATTCTTTAAATTTCTTTTACATTAATAATGGCCTTCTTTTACGAATAATAGGAGGCTTATTAGTTAGAAAAAAGATTTCCAATAATTAATCATGATATGTAGCCAAATTTGGAGTAACTATTTAATGAACAGTTTGAATAGTTTATTTAAATTCTTTTGGATCATATCCCAATAAATTAGGTGCATTATTTGAAAAATCCATAATTTAACCTCTATAAAATTTACCATTAATTGAATGTCTAGCCAAATTAGTTTTTAAATAAAGTACTTTATATCCCTATAATTAAGATGTTTTTGAACTTGTCGATGGATATTCAAAAAATTTATAATTCTTTGTTTTTAATGCATTTCTTAATCTAATAAATTTATCAAAATCACATGATACTTCTAAAACATAAAACATATGTAATAAAATCGATGTTCTACAATTTGAATATTTTTAAAATATTTCTATTTCTTCTTATATTTTTGTCATACTAGATACATGGTTAGTAAGGGATTTAAATAATTATTCAAAATTCACTTTTAATTCTAATAAATTCTTAATAAATTTTATTTTTTAATCAATATTATAGAAAATATGATTTAAAATTTAATCTCTTCTAATTTCAGTTATTCTATAATTTTTATATCTTATTCCTATTTCTACCTCATCTTAAGTTAAATTATGTTTCATTTTCTATAATACTTTATGTTTAACTAAACCTATAATAAGTGTTAAAGTAACTTCATTTAACATTGAAGTATTTTTTATATTTCTTTACTTATAATCCATTATAAATGTCATTACTTAATAACATTCTTCAGAATCACATATATATAATAACAATTAAGATAATCTAAATATATTTGGACTTTTTTCATTATTTTCCATCTCAAATACATATTTTGTAAATTGCCTAATATATCTTTCAATTAATTCTATTTATAGGTTGATATTATTCATTTAGATGGAATTATAAATTTTCATTTCAACAGTATTTTTTCTAGTATCTATTACTTATCTCCTTTCTCCTCTGAATCCTTTGCAATAACAATAAACACTTTAACAATTTTAAACATGAGATTTTATTAATACAATTATTTTAATCAAAAAATTTGATTTCTTTATATTATCAATTTTTGAATTTTTATCTAATTATTATTAATCAGATAATCTAAAAAAGGAAATATATCTTAGATAATGAACAAAGTATCGAAAATGTTAATTTTTTAATGCCTCAATTTATTATTTTTTAATTTCTTACATTTCCTTTTCAATAACAAATGGTTATGAATCATCTTCAACAAATTAAGATCTTCTAGAACTTGATCTTTTTTATGTTTTTATTTTTTTTTTTTCAAGATATAATTGTTAATCAAAAATTTACTAAAGAACATAATTAAATATGACTTAAATCATTTTGGTTAAAATAGGAATGCAAATAAGACACATAGAAAAGAGTTACATTTAAGACAATTAAAATTAATGAGAAAGTGAAATAGTTAAGGAAGCACTTAAACATAAAAAGGATAAATTTTGTTTATATTCAAACATATATGGAATAGATATAAAAAAATCCAATAAATCTCCAATTAAATTAAGTTGTATTATTGATGTAATTAGAATCTATATATTATTATCATATTAAGTGTCAGAATAGAGAAAGTATATGAATTAGACTATAATAGGCATAAACTTAACTACTTAGGATATATTGAACCATGTAGATTATTATATTCTAAGATGATTATTATCAAACATTGTATAACTTCTTTAAGCAATCATTGAGAATGTCCATAATATAATCATTTCAATAGTTGTAACAATATCTAAAAATACCATAAATAATCTTTGATTATATGATATTTAAACATCAAAAATTACTAATAAAACTACTAATAGATTCCAATACATCAAAGGTATCGTAAATATATGAGGATAAGTATTTAATAATTTAGCTAAGAAATTCCTTACAACATTTAACCAAGATTATTAATCATTTCCCATTAATTATTGATAGAGAAAATTTTCAATAAAATTTGACATATTATAAGATCTATTTAAGAGATTAATAGAAACTAATTAAATTAATCCAAATAATTACGATTAGAATTATCTGGCCCTCCTACTTAGGATTTGAATTAAATTGTGGCAAATTTTGATTTCTCATATTCAATGAATATTGCTATTGCTAATAAGGGAAAACATAAAAGAAATATTAAAATAATTTAAATTGCTATTATTGAATCAGTCGAAAATAAATCAGCCATTAAAATTGTTGGCACAAATGTTTTAGATATAAATTTGCATACCCAATAATCTGATACATAATTTATCATTATATTTCTTCTATCTTAAAGAATATGTAAAACTTCTTCAAACAAAAAAACCATAGCTATTCTTTGAATTTATGAAATTAACTCAATTATTATCCAAAATGTTTAATAATCTTATGATAAAGCTATTTAAGTATATCCAATTGAATATTTTAAATATTCCTCTGTATATTATCTAATTTTCTTCATTAATTATATAAATATTTAATTTTTATAGTAATAACAAACAAAAATTATACTTAAATAAGATCATTTAATAGACATCTTTTTACAATCTCATTAAATATTCATCATATTGCTTTATCTTTAAAATTATCAAAAATAACTAATTATTTTATTAAAAAAAATAAATGAGTGAATCATCCAATTTTTTCGTAGGAAAATACAATTTCTCAAGAAGAGTATTAAATCATAGAGTCCCTATTGATTTTAATCACGGAATCACTTAAAACCCTTTTGATTTTATTTGGAGATCATCTTTTAGAAATTTAATTGTTTCCAAGTACTAATCAAAAAATCTTTCATTCTAGTTTAATTCGAAATATGTCAATGTGGTATTGTGGTGCAGCAATTGTTATTGGAATTGCAATAAATGAATTTTAAAATTACAGAAGAGAAGGACATACATTCACTACTCCTAAGTATGATTATTACTATTTAGAACCCAACCCTATTTAAATTATGTTATTAATAGTAGAAATAAAGAAGCTAATCTAGGTAGATGGAATGGTAATTTTGCATGTTGGGAGAATGAACCATTATGCGGCAGAGATTTTGAATGAAAAATCTAAAATACATACATTTATTACATAAATGAAAATCATTTAACAATTAAAATTTCTAAAATTTTTATTATCTTCTCTCATTTTTTATTTATATCTCTTGATTTATTTCTTATTATTATAATTAATATTCCTTAATATTAATTTTTAATTTTATGGAAATTGCATTCCTTCAAAAATATTTATCATATTGTATTTCTTAATATCATCATAAATATATTTGATCATCTATTGTAATATCATCTAATAACATTTATTATGCTTATTTAATAATGAATTCAATTCATTTAAATAAATTTAATATTCTACTAAATTTTTAATATTTAAGTTTAATAATCTATTTTTTGATGATTTAAATTTTTAAATATCTTTAAAACAACATATTAAAGGTAAAGTCAATATATTTCTTACATGTGTAAATAATTCTAATCTTTTAAATTTAATATTTATTTCATTATATTCAAATTATGATCTTTATTCATATAAAATTATATATTTATTTATTTCCTCTTCTTTATTATCCTTATTGTCTAATTGTTTTAGGAAAAAGCAAATAACATTATAAATCTTATTTTTTGTAAACTATAATAAATCAAAAATACTCATTATAGTAGATTAGAGAGCAAAGAATAATATTCTTTCTATAAGATTTACTAATTTAATATTTAGTTTCTAATTATCATTTAATACATACAATTAAATGATAGTTTTTTTTATGAGGATTGAACGAATAAATAATATTTAAAAATTTTTTTTAATTAATTAATCCTCTTTAACTAAAAATAGTGAAAATAAGATATTAATATTTTTTTTATAAAATCATTAATCTATAGTTGAAATTATGTATCCTACAGTTACTGATTAATAATGGGTATTCTCCTAATCTGAATTATAGTATTCATTTATAACAACACTTTTTACTGATAATATTTTCATATTCATTTATTTTAAAACTACATTAGCCTAAATATATTGTTGAAAAGTATAACCGTATGTCTAGCATCTTTAATGGCTTCTTAAATCAATAAATCTTTAAGTTTATTTTTTTATTCTTGACTAATATCAAAATTTACACCATTTATATTCTCAACTCCATTTTTTACAGCAGTATCAATGATTCTAATATAAATAAAATATATTACTTTCCAACTTCATGAAGATTTTTTGTTTCTATAGTGAGTAAATTATTAGCTTTGAACCCCTCAAAGATCAATTTAACAGGATCTATGTTGTAATCATATTCTATATATGGTTAAATGGAATAATCATTTGTCTGAATTTTTAATTCCACACTTGATTATTCTTGAATAGCTCTAACAATAAAATAATAAATTACTTTATAGCCTTATCTGAAATAACGGCCAATTATTAGAGTGCCTCTTAAGCTTTATTTTTTTTAACTTCGATATTTAATTTAATGATGGCTTGAGTTGGTTCTACAATTGAAGATGCAGTGCCTTAAACATAGTATATCTCAGGTAGTAGGTATTCTTGAATCCCACAAGATTACATTATTATTTGAGTTCCTGAAGTGGGTTTAAGAAATTGTGAATAACTTATGGCAAATAAAAGTGAAATTGATAGAAATGTTTTCATAATTTTAATATCAAATTAAAATTTAAAATAAATAAGTTTAATATTATAACATATTGAGTATCTTAATAAATTATTTAAGAAATACGGACATAATAATTATTATTGTTTTTTCTTTAAATTCTTGATATTTTGATAAAATAAGCTTATTTTAAATATTTCTAGATAGTAATAGATAGATATAAGGTATGCATTTATTATCACTCTATATTCTCTCTAGTTTTTATTAGATTAATTTATTATAATAAGAAAAGTCTTTTGACATTTTGCATAAATTATATGTACTTCCATAAAAAATACTTATATTTAATTAAACAAATATAATATTTTAAATATATTATATAAATATGGATAATTAATGCAATTATGAGAGTATTCAAGAATCAATTGACAAATGCTTATATGTATAAAGAAATTGCACAAATTAATAAAAAATAGCTTTTACTTAAGTTTTCTATTGTTAACTAAATGAAAATTACACCTTAGTATTATTGTTAATTGTAATGATTAAATAAGATTATATAGCCATTCTTTTTCTTTATGATGTTTAATTTATTATCAAAAACAGCAGAGAATTATTTATCTCCTGCAGTTACACATATAGCAAAGTATTTTAAATTATCTTAAACACTTTCAGGGTATATATATATATATAAATTTATTAAATTAGAATTACTCTAATAGCTTTAGCTAATGGTGCTCCAGATGTAATTACTGCAATAATAGCAACAGGAGAAGATGATCAAGGTGTTTTAATTGCTGTAGGTAGTATTTTTGGTAGTGGATTATTTATGACTACTTTTGTTTTAGGATCTGTTTTATATTATTCTAATCATATTTTAGTTAATAAAGTATCTTTAACTAGAGATTTGGTTTTTAATATCCTAGGCATTGGATCTATTATTACATTTGGATATATTGGTTATATTTCAATACAATTTTCAATTTTATTTGTTTCCTTATATTTAGTTTACATCTTCATTGTTATGTTAAATGAAAAATCAGAAATCAAACATTGTTAAGAGAATATGTAATTATTAAAAAAATAAGGAAATTAAGAAGAATAATAAGCATTACTCTCAGAAGATGAGTTTTAATAATAATAATAAACTTCATAATAATAAAATGATGATCATAAACCTTTTAAGTATTTTGGAAATGAATAATAATCATTAGAATTTGAAGAATAATAAATTAATTTATATTTAACTGAAAGTTGTGATAATGAAGATGATGATTTAATTGAAATCATTCCATTTTAAAAATAAACAATTATTCAAAAATTGTAGACATTTTAAACTCTAATTTTTGATTTAATTAGCAAATATACAGAAGGAAAGAAATAACAAAATAAAATTAAAACATCAATTTAATTATTATTTACTCCTTTATTATTATTAGTTGTTTTAGATATTTATGATTATTTAATATTTAATTATCCACTTTGGTTATATGTTGAATGTTTTACAATAATAATAGTGTTATATCATAATTATTATGAAATACCTTTAATTGTATAAAATACTAATATAATTAGTTTTTAATAATCTGGAGTGCTATTTGTTCAATAGTTTGGTGTAAATTAATAGTAGAAATTCTTGTTGATTTCATTGTGGTAATCACTTAATCTTGATCTAGGTTTATAGTTAATCTAAATATTGACTGGAATTAGTCCTTCATATTTAGGCATGACTTTTTTAGCTTTTGGAAATTCAGCTTGTGATTTCTTAGTTAATACTCAATTAGCTAAAATGGGACTTGGAATTATGGCCATTACAGGTTGTTTTGCTGGAGCATTTTTTAATTTGAATGTAGGATTTGGAATAGCCTTATTAAAATAAACTTGGAATGGTTCTAATATTTAATTTTAATTATTCCTTAATAATTATAATACCAATTTACATTTGCTAAGTCCAGAAACTACATTAATTATTTAATTGCTTTTATTTTTTTCACTTCTTAATATGACATCAACTTTGCTTTTATCATTAATCTTAAAGTAAATCATATTTATTTACTATCTATAGGTTTTAACTTAAAAAATAATTGTCTTATTATTATTTCATCTATTATTTTATCGTTTTAATCACTCTAACAATGATAACATTTTTTGTTAATTGATTTTTATAATAACAATTCTATATATTATCATATTTCTTGAAGTGATTTATAAAATCATATTATTTTTAGACTTATATCAAATAAATTTCAATTTCTAAGATTTCCATATTTCTTTGAAGTGTTTTATTTAAATTAAATTAAAACAATACTTATAATGAAACACAATCAAATACATTGATAAAATAATAATGTCTTCACTTTAGTTTTAAATTTAGACTATATAGTAGTTCAAATATTTTAATACTACAATCGTATTTTACTCAGAAATAATCAATCTGTGTTCATAAAAATAATTATTCAAATTAAATGCAAGAAGATGTTGAATAATCAGAAATGTAAAATAAATGTTAAAGTGTAATATAAGAAATCACCTTAAGTTAAGAATTTGAAATGCCAATCAATAAAACTATGAGATTTGTGATGATTCCTCCACTTTCACAAATTAAATTTGAAGATGAAAAAAAAAGTCTTAATTATTATTCTCATGCTAAGGATGGAAACGAATTCAAATTTTAGATTGAATTTGAAAATAAGACTGATAATGCACATATTTTTGTTTACTGTAAACCTCTTAGCGAATAATTAGATCACTCGTATATTTTAATAATATATTTTAAATAGAAAAATTTATAAATTATCAAGTTCAATTTAGAGTAAAAAAACAAAAAAATAAAAAGATATCAAAATAGAATAAAAAGAGAATTGTATTAAATTATTACTTACTCAAAAAATCAAGGAATAAAAATTTTGTTTATTGAATGAAATTGTTATAGAATAAGCACCAAAATATAATAGTAGAGATGAAGTAGGATTCACAGGAATAATCAATAATTCAGCTACATGTTATATGAATAGTGTTTTTTAGATCCTATTTCATCTTGGTATTTTTGAAAAGTTAGTGTATTCAATAAATTCTGATTAACATAACTAGTTTCCATGCACAGTAACTTATTTAAAAGATTGTTTTGTAGCTTCAAGCCTTATTCTATAATCTAAGACACAGTTAAATAGCCATTTCCACATAAGAAATTATAAATTCATTCAAATGGGACATAGATCAATAAGCTATTTAATAAGATGTTTAGGAATTCATAATGGAACTTATTAAAGCTATTTGTATTAAAGCACCAGAAATTGAAAACAATATAAACTTTCTATTTTAAGGAGTCTTAGAGCATCATATTAAGAATGATAAATTTGACAATTCAAATTAAGAATAATTTATGGATATCTCACTCAATATTACTAATTCTCTACATGAATCTCTTAAATTATTTGTATAATCTGAATAATTAGATGCATATACTCATGATGTATATGGTAAATAAGAAGCGATAAAATTTCATAGATTTAAAAAATTGCCACCAATTTTATTAATTAATTTAAAGAGATATTAATTTGATGGATAATGTTTTAAAAAGATTCATGATTATTTCTCATATGATTATGAAATCAATTTCAAATAATACTTAATAGATCAAGTAGATGAATTCTATCAACTTTTTGCAGTATTAGTACATAGAGGAGAAGCCATTAATCATGGTCATTATTATTGTTATATAAGACCAACTTAAAATCCAGATGAATGGTTTAAATTTGATGATAAAATAGTTACTAGAGCAACAAAATAAGAAGTGTTTTAAAACAATTTTGGTGGAGAATTCATTTATGCTTAATATAATTGTGATTTAGATGAAATCATGACTAAAAAAAAAAATAGTCCTGAAACTGCTTATATGTTAGTCTATATTAAATCAAATCATCCTGATATTCTTGTAAGTCCATAAAATTTTCCTGAATGGATTTTGAAATAAGAACAATTACATAATGATACTTAATTTGAGCAAAAGAACTTCATTTAAACAAATATATTTACTATTAATCATTTGAATTAAAATCAATGTCAATAAATGAAAACTGGTATAATTTTTCATAAATCAGCATTAAATTAATCGATTGATTAAAATGTTATTGAAGAATTCTTTGATTAATATACAACACCTCTTATTATACCCAAAGTCATCACAATTTAATAAATCATAGATCAATTTAGTGAAAAAATTGATGTTGATAAAAAATGTTTACATTTATTTATGTATAAAATATCGCATTTGAAACCAAATTTGGAATCTATAATTCAAATGTAACCATAAAGAAATTTATCTTATTATTTAGCAAATAAAATTTACTTATTTGGATTAATGTTAATATCTACTAATTTTGAAGATCAAATTCTTATAAATAACTACTTTGGAGTTGATAAGATTAAATTAGATTTAGTTCCTTAAGTTGGAGGTAAGAATTCCAAAGAAAATAAAACTGTTATTAACAATAAAGTTTTAGTATTTATTAAAACATACTCTAATAAAATTATGGAATTTGATTAAATATTGCTTTTAGAAAAAGGATAACAAATTTCAGAAATCCTTAATAGAGAGTATACAAATAATGATTAAATTATAATCTATTATTAAAATGATGGATTAGAATTTAAATGTTAAGATTAAGTATTAAAAAATAGTGAATATGTACAAGTTTATATAGATTTTTAAAATGAAATGGCTGAGAATATTGAATAAATTAATAATTTAAGAGAAGTCATTATCAAAGTTGTTAATGAATAATAATGTACTTCTTAGTTATTTAATAAAAATGATTCTACTACATCTCTATTAGATTTTCTTGCCCAATTAGAAGATTGTAAATAGGAAAATATTTAGATTAAATATAAAGATAAAAAAGGGAATGTATAAATTTTATAATAATAAATTAAAATAGAAGATTTAATTTAATTTGATAATAATATTACTTATAAATAAACAATCGTTCCAATCGGAGCATTAAAAGAATAAATGAGTTTTTAGATAGATAATCAAACATATATTATCTTAAAGAGCATGAGTTTTGCTGAATTCATGGAATAAGAAAAAATTCCTTAAAATATATATGTTCCGTTGCTTATTTCGAAAAAAGACAAAAAATAAGCATAAGTCTAATTAGATCTTACATAAAAAATTTCAAGATATACATACAAACATGATATTAAATTTTTAGAGCCAATCATTCTTGGAACAGATATTTATTTAATTTGCTTTTTGTAAAGTGTTGAGATAATATTATTATGCAACCCAATATTGTGTTAAGTATCTTAGAATACTACATTAGCAGAGACAGTTAATAAGATAATTTAGTTTGTTAGTTAAAATACTATTTAATATAAATCTTAATAGATTTAGATAAGGGAGGATTGTATTTATAGCACTGAAGATAATAAGACTAGAAGGTTAGAATAACAAATACGTATTCGAATAAATAATTAAGAAATTTAATAGGATACTCAAATGGGAATAGGATCGATAATGCCTGAATTCAAATAATTAACAGTTGTAATGACATTCCTGACAATACGAGATACAAAGGTTGAGAAATTGAGATAAAAAGGAGTGCAAATATTTTGATATATATGGGTTATAAGATTTCTATTTAGTAATCGTTAAATAATAAATATTCATTACTTTTATTAATAAATAACTTCATATAGTTCATCTAAATATCCTGTAAATGTAGGGTTTTAGATCAATTCTTTGATAAATCTTTTAGAATCTTTTGGACATTTAGATAGCATGACTTCTTAAAGCAATGGTAAATTTAAAATAGCAACTGCACCTGGTTTAATAAATCTTCTATCAATAGGGATATGTTAAATGACTGTGGAATGCCAAAAGGTTGAAAAGGATTTAGCTATATCTTTAAGTAGATTTTAATATTGTTTTTCATTATCTTTAAAAACTGAATTGGAATTGGTAGATTTTTCAAATCTATTTGAATTTTATTTACCAATAGTTTTAAATGCATTATCTCGAGAGTTATTAATCAAATGATATAATTATTTCAAATGTGAATTATTTTTTATTGGAGCAATGCACTTTTTTAAATCTCTACTTTAGGTTTTAGAAAAGTAAATTCTTTTAGTATTAAGATCTTAAAATAAGAAAAAACAATACCCAATATTGTAATATCTTCTTATTAAACTTCTTCTATTCTTTAGGAATAATTATCATATTCCCCAACTACTCCAAAAAAGAATGGACAAGGAGCTGCCACTCTATCAATAAGTTCATCTGGAATGCATATTATAAATGGTAACTTATAATTAAAAGGATGTATAAGGGAAAGGATTGTTATCATGACATGAGAAAGTACAGATTTCCTTTTAGAAAATAGTAAAACTCTTTGGGATAGTAAAACATGAGAGATTAAGTAAATTAATTCTTTGAATGATAAGATATGGAAAGTTTAATCACATCCCCATAAAAATTAGAGAAATTATGCATTATCTCTTTTTGGTGTTTGGATTTAAATTTCATTCAATTAATATTTTTAGTCATAAGTAACTTGGATGCTTCTTAAAGAAAACAATCTATTGATAATAATAGTATTCAATTTGCTTTTAACAAAGAGTAGATCTCTTTTTAAGACTTCATGACTGGATGTTTCAGAGAGACAAGGTTCAATTCTTTCTAATTTAACTTGATTCCATATATTAGCATTTTCTTTTAAAAAGAATTTAATAAATGGATAATAGCTAACAAAACAATGAACAATTGGACATAACCAACAACTGAATGTATTAGGATCTATACAAATGAATTCATTGATTTCAAAACAAATAATGTTTCTAAATACATTAGGATTAGATTCTTAGACAAATTCACTTACAGTCATTCTACTATTATTTTAAATATCTTCTCTAGGTATAGTAATAGAGTATTCATTATCTCCTTTAGTTAATTATAGAGTTTGCATTATAATTTACTTTAATTCTGGTAACACTTTTTCATTGAAATTATGAGCATTGGCTTCTAATTTTTTGGTTAAAATATCATTGGGAAATATGTAAAGAGGAACCATATCACTAAGAATATTATAAATTAGATTACTAAAGGGAATCATTAACATTAGGGAATTAATATAGAATTTTAGGTTTGACTTTGATTTCATTTGTATGTTAATCTAATTATTATAATGCTTCTATATCTGGTCCGATTATTAGAAAATGTTCAAAAAATCTTTATCCAAGATAGGTATGTTATTCATCAATAATTGGTTATTTTAAAATTTCAGTCAAATTACTAGTTTATGTTCTTTAGAAAGGTTTCATTTAATTTATCCTAAGATAATGTATATTAAATATACTTTTATTTAGGATCTGAACCAATTAAATCGCCAATAACTTTTTGAATATTTTCTTTCAAAAGCCTTTGTGAAGTTTCATCAAGTTTCTTGACTTAAGATAGCTCAGGTCCAAAAGCTTCAATTTATTCTTCTAATTCTTTAATTTTCTATTTTAATTCTTTAATCTTTAAATCTTTTTCTTTACATTCTACACAATCTGAATTCATAATAATATTAATTTATATATAGTAATTAAATATATATAAAATTGATTCATTCTTTAGGTCTTTCTCTTAAGTAAATAGGGAATCTAGGAACATTATTTTTTGATACTCCATAATATTTATATGTAATAGTAGATCCAATTTTTGGTGGTTTTTATCTTATATCATCTGTTAAACCTGATCCTATATTAAATATAATTCCACTAGTATTTTTAACTTTTAAAGATCCAAGCATTCCTTAACATCTTCCACTTCCTTATTCATGTGCTAATACTGTAGCTTCATCATCTTAAAATGTCTTTACTTTTAATAATTTATCAGATCTTCTTTATTCATATAAACTATCAGGATCTCTTAACATTAATCCTTCACCTTCTTTCTCTTATACTGCTTCTAATTCATCTATCATGTGATCATAACCTTTGCATTCTATATGTGGAACATATACTATATATTCATTTGCTTATTCACATGCTTATTTAAATTTCTAATATCTATCTTTAAATGGTAATTTCAATCCTGGAGCATCAAAAACCATATATTTTACTCTTCTCCAATCTTCTTCTACTGGAACTTATCTTTTTGTTATTGAAACTAATTTAGAAAATTAATCTCTCTCCAACCATAATTCACCATCTAAATATGATTTTGGCCAACCTTTTACAAAAAATTCAGGAAATTATATAGGATTACCATTTCTTGAATACATTTTTGAACCTGTCCAAATCATTCTCATTCCATCTAATTTCTCACTTAAATAATAACCCTTTGGATCTATTTCTTCATTCCATGTTTATGCTAGCATTACTTTACCTGTTGGAATTGTACCTTTCCCTAAATCTACTACACCACCTTTTATTAATTATTATCGTCCTCTTAAAGCATCATCTGTTAATGCAGCTATTGTATCTGCCTTTATTAAACCACTTCTTTTTATTGTATCAATCTATTTCTATTGCTACTTTTATTATACACTACGATTTTATTATATTTCTGAATCCTTTTTTAATTATTACTATTAAATTTATTAACCTGCCTGCACTTCTATATATCCTTTTTCTAATTTCATTTTTGATGCCTCTTAATAATATTTCTCACATTCTTCTTTTGATTGAAATTACTTCTCCACTTTTTTCACATTTAATTCTTCATAATCACACAAATTTCCATATCTTATGAATAACTGTGTCTCATTATCATCAATATTTATTTACCAAAATTTACTATCACATTATAAATACTTTTTCATCTTAATATTTTTATTAAATACATTATCATTTATTTTTATACTCAAACATATTATGTTTCTGATATAAATCTGATATTCATTTCAATTAATTATTTTCTAATTCATACAAAATAATATTAATATAAATTTTTATTCACTATTCAACTTTAATATTACAATCTGAATGAGAATTAATTATTTCCCAATAACAATTCCTTTTATAATATGTTTTTTTTTAAATTTACTATTTTAGCTTCTTTATATATTTATTTCAATTTTAAGGACAAGCTATTATATTCTTATTCTAAAATAAAAATATATACACTTATTTTATTATAATTAATCAATTATTATATAAGAAAATTATAAACTGAAAACAAAAATTCAAAATATTGAAGACGATCTCAATAAAATATTAGTTATCAATTCACTAACTTATTTATCAAAAAATTCTTTGATAAATTATATAAATTAAATAAGAGAATTTGTGATTAGATTAATGTTATAAAATAGAAGTAATTTATAAAGTTTAATTTACACCTTTTAATTTTTTACATTAACCTTAATAATGTAATAATAATTATATTAATTAATATTTCTAAACTTAGTGCAATCTATTAAGATATGGTTTGTCAGAATATGATTTCAAAAATTACATCACTCCAATCTTTAACTATTTTTCAGTAAAGATGAAATACATTTGGAAGTGATATCAATAATTAAGAAAGCTACTATGATATTTTTAAGTCATTGATAAAATCCCATTTAGTTGAATCTTATTTGGGTTTATAAAATATAAATAATAATTTGAAAAACTTTAAGAAAATAAAATAGAGTTTGGAATAATTGATGGATGGATTTAGTATATCATAGCAAATTATAATTATTAAATTTTGTAAATTAATTTCTCCATAGGTATATTGGATAATTTAGATTTAGACTACATAAAAATGTATATTCTAAAGATACAGTTATTCAAAACACAACTTTATAGAATGTGATAGTCACAATTTTATACAAAGCAATAGATTTTATTTCTAATTTTAGAATTTAGCAAGAGGCGACTCGATTTTCTAATCAAAATGTCTATTAAATTAGTTCAAGAGAACATTTTCCAAGTTTTTTTATTGTTAAAATATTAAAGAATTTTATTATTTGGAAAAGATTATTTTGAGCTAATAAAACACCTAATTAAAAAGGGTTATGAAAATTGATTTAGAATAAAAAATTGAAATTATATATATTTCATTAATTTGAGTATATATGTTTCTTTTGTATAGAATATTTATTTGTCCATTGAAATAATTAAATTTTATTAATCTTCAATAATTTAATAATAAATTGGTGCCTGTTTTTCTTCCAGGAATATTCTATCTTTTTTTCATAAAATCATGGGGCTGAAGAGTTTATGGCAATTATTTTTTAAGTTTAGCTTCATCTAACTTATCATTTGATAACCATTGGAAAGAACTTTTATTTTTTTCTTTTCTTTTTGTATCTTAAATAGGAATACAAAAGTTATTAAAATCTATTTCTAGTTTTTTGTTCTCAGATTCTTTTTACTTAGGTGTTGATAATAAACTTAAATTATTAGGACTTTTTCTTTCCTAAATTTCTTGATAACTTTATCGATTGATAAATGGATAATTAGTTTGATTTTCAATTAAATTTTCATTCCTTTTTTTCATACAAGACTTTTCAAAAGAAATTTCATCAATTGCATTAATAGTATTTTCATTAAATTTAGGAGAATTAAGATTATCTTATTAAATTGAAGAAATAATAGATGATTGTTAACGAAGTGCTAAATTAAACTAAATCATTTATTAAGATTTTGAATAACAAGGTTATGTTTGACAAGATCGATTATTATTTTTTAATTATTAATCAAAAAATTATGATTAAGATTGAATTTTACATTTGATAGGTGAAACAATATCTCTTATAATTTGATTAATATTTTATGTATTTCTTGAAGATAATTAAAATTAATTAGTTTATTTAGCAATAAATTATTAATTCTAAATATAATTAACAATAAATTTCAATGCAATTTAAAGTATTTTTTCATAATCTCTTTAATCCAATAAATGGAATAGAAATTGATCAGAAATAAAATATTTTTAAAATTAAGGAGGTTTATTCTAGATTAGTAAATGACAATATTTTTTAATCTTAAGATTTGTAATATGATGATATTCATAATTATTTGTAGAACAATTAGTTTTTAATCTATTCTTGATTATCAATAAGGAAATACATTAATATGATTCATTTTATCTCTAACATTGATCATGTCATCAAACAAATGTTTTTATCTCATAATAATTTAATTAATTTTCTTAATGATAAAATATTTGAGAACACCAAGTACAGTATAATCTTCTAGAGATTTAAACTCAGTATTTATTGTTAATAATTAAAGCCTAAAGAAGCTTATTGTCATTTTCGAAAAGTTTTAAAATCAAGATAAAAGTTTCCTACAAGTCGATCTCAAAATTAAAGATCTAAACATATAAAGACACCTAAATCTTCTAATTAATAAACAGCTCAATTATTATAAATGACATAAAGACAAGAAAAAGAAATAAGTGTTGATGAAATAAAATAAGTTCATTCTCCAAACTTTTACAATTTGTGTAGTCTTCCCTATAAAAATTATAAATATGAAAAACCACCTGGTAATGCAACTGTATCAGAATTCCTAGAATAAGCTTGTCGTCTAGGATAAAAAACTGGAAAATGGGATAAGTAAACTTTAATAGATAAATTTAATCCTGATAAGTAATTATATTTCATATACTTTTTATAATAGTGTTTAAATTAAAAGATCTACTTATACTAGTAATCATTTAATTAAATCAAGAAAGGTTCAAGGACCAGCAAGTTGTTTAGAAACTATTTATGTAGCTAAATTATAATTAGAATTAGAAGAAACTTAAAATTAATAATTATAAAATAAGGTAAATGAAATAGAGGAAATCTTAAAAGAAGGTGTTAAAAATGATAAAACTAAATGTGCTTCATAATAATATATATTAAATAGATGGACTAGAAAATAAGTATCTGCAGATAAATTGTGTGATAAAATTGATAAATTACCTCAATTTGCACATTAAAAGTATGTTATTGATTAATCAATTAATAAAGTTATAAAATCATCTTCCTAATATACAAATTAAGAATAGAATTCTATAACATAATTACCAGAAAAGATATCTTTTTTTAAATTTGATTTCAAATAAAAAAACTTATAAAAACTTTAATATCAAAATAAAGGATAAACTGTAGTTTTACTTAAACAAAACTATCCTTTCCTTTAAAAACCTATTATAGGAGATAGAATTTTATTGAGTTTTGATATTATTAATTCTTCTGAAAGTATTCCTTATAGAACTTTTTGTACTTTTCTACAAGTATATGAAAACAAAAAAAATAGGGTTACTGAAGGATCAACTGATAAAGTGGATACAGTTACTAAAAATATTGTTGTCAGTTAAATATTAAAAGTAATTAGAAAGTAAATAATTAGTTTTTTATACTTGATGCATAAGAAATAATTACTTGCTAAGAGTTTTGTAATTTGATTCGAATTCTTTGTTAGCAATTGAATGAAAAACATCCAAATATAAAACCAATTTATTAATAATTAATTTAAAATTATAAATATTACTAAATTATTAACGAAGATTTATCATAACCTTTTAGTAGTTCCCAATTTAAATTCATTTATTTAACCAATGAAATGAACATAGATGATATAATTGATTTATTAACATTAAACTGATTATATTTAATACTTTAATCATAACTTCAAAATTATCTTCTTTCATATGGCGATCTTATATAAGATCTTTCATGTTATTTAGATTAAATAATTCTACTAGTAGTTTTACCTAAATTAGGTATTTCAAGAATTCTCTCTGGGATTCTTTACACATTTTTTTACACAACAATTTCTTTATAAACATCCACTGGCTCTGAATATTAAGGTACTTCTTTATAAATTGGAACTTTTTAGTAAATAGATACGTCCCTAAATATAGGAACATCATGATATACTGGAACATCCTTATAAACTGGAATGTCCTTGTAAACATTTATTGATTTTTCTACTGGAATTTCTTTATAAACTGGAACTTCTTTATTTACAGTTACTTCTTTATATTCTGGAATATATATTGGAATCTCTTTAAATTTGATTTCATCAGGCTTTTTTATTTCTTTTATCACTTCTTTCACTACTTCAATTGGTTTTATGACTTCTTTTATCACATCTCTAGGTACTTCAACAATTTAAGGAATTTCTTTATATTCGATTTCTTTTACAATCTTTTCTTTTCTCTTTCTTTTAAGTAATTCATCATATTTAACTTAAAGTTCATGTAATGATATTTATGTTTATTTTGCTTCTTCATGCAAACGAGCATTTTCAATTTTTACATAATCATCTTTGGGTAATTAGATTGGTTAAGATTTAAGAGCTGAAATCATTGTTATAATTTCAGAATTATCTTTAGATTTTTCAACTTCAGGAATACTTATACTATATTCTTAGATTTATGAAGGTTATATTTACACTTTCACCTATCTTATTAATTATTCTAAATGATCCAATTCTTTTTCAATATTGATCTTTGGGGATTCTATTCTCTTTCTATTTTTACTAACGATTTCTTAAACTTAAATTTGTTCTTAAATAGCACTTACAAATTTTCTCTTCTTTTTTTTTGATTTCTTCTCTTCCATTTATTATTCTTATACAATTATATATGGTTAGTAGGTTATAGGATAAGATTAAACTTATGGAATACATATTGGATGACAATGATTATTAGTTTAATATTAAGAGGGTTAAGTTGTTTCAATAACTCTTTCAACTTCAATTTCATTCTCATTTTACTATATTTTAGTTTATTATTTAGTTTAAGTTTGAACTTCTTTAAAAATTTGTCGCAATTCTTCAATCCCTTTAAGACACAAATCGTTATGAATTTAAGACATATAATTTTATTAAAAAAACAACAATAAAATTTATTACAATTTATATGTTACATATTTTACTTTAATCTACCATTTGTCAACTTTGTAAATTATACAAAAATTCAAAATTATTTTTCTTTTCTATATTTACATTTAGATGTATGAATAATTTAAAAAGAAAAATTAATTATCATTTTTTTATTCTAATAACTCTATGTTTTACTTTCATAATATCGATCATTTTTATGATGTCTTTATTATTACTCTAATAAAAATTAGTTGCTTAAGTTCTATTCAATACATAAAAAGGCTTAATTTAAGATTGGAAATTAAACTAAGTTTAAGTAAAATGAGAATTGCATTTTATATGTCCTTTTTGATTATTTTTGCTCAAAGCATTATTCAAAATACTTAAAGGTTTCAATATTACTTCCTTTTTTGGTATTACATCTTTTAACATCTTTTCCATATAAATAGAAATCTTGCTTTTTCTTGGTCCCTTCTAAATAGGTTAAATTGGATGAATAGACACTGTTTCATCTAATTCCTCTTCATGACTAAAATAAACAATTTATAATAACCTTTATTGCTACTTAATCGGTTATTAAACTGGTAATAAATGTACTGATTATAACAAAGCTGGTCTACGCACAGTTAAATTTCGAACTGCTTTTAAGAGATGCATTTTCTTTTTTAATCTTTTAATTGCTTCCATTTTATATGCCAATATAAATATAATAGCATTTCCAACTGCTTTAAATCTCCTCAAGATTTTTTTTTTTCTTTAGTTTCTAAATATATGTAATTAGCATTACCTTGTTTCTTTAAGAGGTAATTCTCTATGTACTTTTAGAGAAAATCCAATCAATTATCCACATTCTGAACAATCACAACTTAAATTGCATTTATTTAGATCATTTTCTAATTGATCAGTACTTTGATATAAGATGGTTCTTCCTTTCTTAATGTTAGATGCATGCTTATAAGTGATAGTTTTGACATGCCTTAATTCATAGTAATCAGATGGTGATAATGATCTGTCGGACATATTTAAAATCAAATAATAAATTCATGAAATTTTATATTGTTAATCTCTACATGATTTTTTTAATTTATTCGTTCGTTTTAATCTAAAATTCAACGCTTTAAGTTTTGTAACCAATAAATTTTCTATTTATTTTGATTCTAATGCAGCAGTAATGAAACAATATAAAACAAAATATTTATTTTTTTTTGGATATCCATAAGAATTTAGAATTAATCTATAATTAAAGAATAATTGAATAAAAATGAAGCAGTAAACATTAATACGAAATTGAAACATTTGTTTGATTGCAATTTTAAATTGTATATCCTATTAATTTAACAAATATTGAAGTATAAAATTACAATATAGAATTAAATAATCTTTAGAAAAAAACATTAAATTGATGATATAATTGGAACAATTATCCATAAAAATGAAAAATAAAGTGTTTGCACTTTGTCAATCATAGATTAATAAAAAGACTACAGAAAATCCAATTGGGTGAAATGCCGAATAAGAAATTTTGAGAAATCAATATGCTGAAGTAATAAATGATTTATGAGTTAAATGAAATTAAAAGTTTATGGAGCATAATAAATTAAATAAAATGAAGATGTAAATAAAGAGGAAACTTAAATAATTCATGATGAATGAATGGGGAGATAAAGTAAAAACAGTAATAATATGATAGGGAGATAAAATTATTTGAATAAAGAGAATATGAAATAGTTATTATATAAGTAATGAGTATAGGAGTGTGAAAATGAGATGAATTAATTAGTTTTGATACTAATTTGTATATATTTGTATGAAATAAGGAAATTAATTAAATCATTTAATTAAAAAATTAGATAAGCTCATATTATGGATTCAACTAAAGAAAGAGTAGAAGGTACAAGAGCCACAGTGATCGAAATAATAGGAAGAACAGGTAGAATTTGTAAATATTGAATGCAGGTTCTAGAGGTGGAATTACATAAGTTAAGGTTCAATTGGTTGGCTAATAAAGAACATTGATTAGAAATGTAATGGGACCAGTGAGAAAAGGTGATACATTAGAACTAATGGAATGTGAAAGAGAAGCCAGAAGATTAAGATGATCTAAAGTACATTAAATATACAATTTGCCACATATTTAATTATTTTCTTTATGAAATTTAAAATGATTATAGTCTTGTTGTTAGTTGAATCGTTAGTTTATGATCTATATTGATGATTGACTCATAAAGATTACATTTGAATGTACTAAAGTAGAATACTAGAATTCAATATAAAAGTCTAATTATTTTATTGATGAGAGATTGGATCAGAAATTAAAGTATTTTGTATTTCATTTTATAGTTGAATTGTAAATATGAATATAAAAAGTATTAATTGGATTTATAATTGATTGATTAGTAGTAATTCTTAAACTCAATAGCTAAGAGATAGAATATGAAAATAATAAGATGTTTCAAACATAATCAGTAATAAATAACAATAAGAAAACAGATAAAATTAAAAGATTTGAATGGTAATATATATTAATGATAAGAAATATTATTTTAGAAGAGATCTAATAAATCAATGAATTCTATGATTACGGATTGTATAATTACAGTTTAAATAGAAGATAGTTGATTTGCTATGTTGATGGAATATTTTATATATAGAATTAAGTTTTAACTTTTTATAATTGTAGGATTTTATATTAATATCAATAGAAGGAATAGGAATATCCAAATTATCCTGATATATTTTTAATTATTTCATCGACTGAATAATTAATATAAAACAAATTGATATTTAACAAAAAAAAAAAAAAGTTTGAAAATAGTGATTATAAAATTGAAATATGTATATAATAATGAATGTAGATTCAGTAGATTAATTTGATTATGAAGCTTGTTCAAAATTTTATTTATATTTATAATTGTATATATATAACCAAGATATTCTTAATTGGATTTTCAAATACTTTTTGTTTTAATTAATTTATGTCTCTTTCAGCTCTGAAAACAACAGTTTCATTCTTAACATTAAATTCACTTCTTCAAATTTACGAGAATCAACCTGTAGAATTTTGGGATTCTAATCAAATGATGTCGCATCCTAAATTAACTCCTATATTCTAATCAAATCAAGTAATTATTTTATATGAACTCTCAGTATCTGAATTTATTGGCTGCCTTTTTTACACTTACATTCATTGATCCTTACAAAAAGCTTTAACTTATTAATTCAATTGTTGTTGCGATATCCGTTATTATCCAAAATTTGAAGTATTTTAACACATTTATTCATTAGTTTCTTTTTACCTAAGACTTTCAATATGATATCTATCTACTTTTAATTAATTGTCCTCATTTATCAACTATTTAGAGTATTCTCATCATATTATGATAAACTTCAATTTGATAAAATCCCTTAATCTCAATCTCATCCTTAATAAGAAATTGTTAAAGAATTAAAAATTGTCAAAAAGTAATCCTATAAAAAACAATAAATATCTCATAAAAAAAAAGAAAAAATCCCACAAAAACAATTACAATCAACTATATAACCATAAATTGAAAAAATTGAATAACCAGATAACACAGAAGTAGAATCAATTGAAAATGATTTTACAGAATTTATGAAGCAACCTTCAAATGATTAAACTATTACAGAAATAGAAACCGAAAATTTATATGAAGTTAATCATGCTGATTTATCTTAGATTTCATAAGTTAAAGATGATACGAGTATTATTTATTATACTATTATATTAGAATTAACATTTCAAATAAAATTAAATGGTGAATTTACCAATTTAAATTGTACTTTTGAAACATTTGAATCAACAATGAATATTCTAAATTCATCATACACTTAAGAACAAATCAAATAAATTAAAATACATTTGTTATTAAATCTTTATGATGATAATGAAGACTGTTCTTGTAGACTCTGGTGTCTAAAAAGAATTTTATCATATAATTGATATTTAAAAAACTAACTAAAATTTGCTTCGTGTGTGTGATTTATCATATAATTTGATTAATTAATTTATTTTTAACATATGAAAGCTATGGGTTTATTTGATTTTCTGGATGGAATTCCAGATGATTATGTACCAAAATAAAGAATGACAGCAGAAGAAACTGAAGAAGCCTTCACATATCTCAAAAATCATCCTTTATTTATAGATCATATACCAGAAGATATTGAAAACTATCCTGAATTATTAGCTTTATAAAACTTATAATATGATGATACACCTGTAAATGTAGCAGCATCTTTACTTAAGAATGCTAATGAAATCATGAAAAAAGATGGAGATAAAAACTACTTTTAGAAAAAAGCTTATGAAATTTACACTGATGCAATTGAATAAGATTGTGGTGATAAAGAACTAATGGCTAAATTATTTAGTAATAGAGCATTAATTTCATACAAATAAAGTAATCAATATAATAATTTTATTTAGAAAATTATAAATGTGCAATTCAAGATTGTAAATGGGCAATTGAAAATGATCCAAAATTTATAAAACCTTATTTTAGATGTGCTCAATGTTTGTATTAAATAATGCATTTCAGTGAAGCTCTAAAATTTTGTAATCTAGCTCTTGAAATATCAAAAGAAAAAGAAATTGAAGAATTAAAAAAATTAATTCTTTAATAAATTGAAAAGTAATAAAAAAAAAATGAAGAAGAAAAATAATTATAATAAATATACACAATTTGTAATCAAAAAGGAATTAGAATAGGTCCTTCAAAAATTACCTTACCTCCAGAATATCAAGTATAATACACAAATATTAAATATAGCCTTAAAAAATATCATTAGAATAAGTGAATCCACCTATATTGACGATTCCAATGCTAGTCACATATCCTGAATTTCGATAAAGAGATTTCATATAATATTGTTCAGAACAAACAAAATTATACTAAATTTTAGCTCCATTGTTTTAAACTCCTCTCCCTTGGGATTAAGATTAATAATACAATCTAAATACTATTGAATGTTATATCGAATTAGATGATGGAAATTATGCCAAATTAAACATTAAAGCTAAAATGTTATCCATTATGTAAGGATATAAAGTAACTGTAAAAGAGTTTATTGAAATTCTTGTGATTTGTCCAAAAACAAACTATTATAAAAAATAATTTAGATCAGAATACAATGTTTTAAATGATTAATGATAAAATTTTCTTATAAAATAAAAGTATAAAACTATCAAATTCTACCATCTCTTCTTTAAATATCATAAATTCCAACTCTTGTTTCCACCTAAGCCTTAGGACTTTATACTAAATAATAAATGAAATACAATTACATTTTGAAAATCCTTAATCTTGAGATTACTTTCTCTAAAATTCAGTTGGACCATTTCCTAATGAAGATTTAGGTATAATTTTAGATCTAACATAACCTTAATATTCTTCTTTATCTTAAATAGCAGTTCTTTAATAACCCATTTTACTATTTGTAAAACTAGCAACTCTTTCTCCCATTCCAAATCTATTAAAACTTCTTTCTCTCTCATATGGTCTATTATTAGATTATCCTCTTAGCATATTTTCAGCAGCTTAATTACCAATGATATTTCTATTAGTTCCTCTTTCCAATCCTAATCTATCAATTAATGATGTATCTTCATGATAACTCAATCTCTATCCTTAATCATTTAATTCTCTTCTATAATATCTTTCTCCTAATTATTATCCAAATCCATTAGATTTTCCATAACTAGTTTCTGGTCTTATTCTTCCTTCAACCTCTTTTCTTTTACCAAATTCTGACATTTTATCATCCATTTCTGTTCTACCTATAGCATTTCTTTTATCTAATTCTTCTCTCATTTTTGTATAATCAGATCTACCAAAATCTTTCTTACTCATACCATCTTACATTTATGAATATTTTTATTCAATCTATCTATCTCCAAATTTATCATCATATCCTCTTTAATATTAATTTTTATTCTCAATAGGAATTCTTTATTCTAAATTACCTCTTTCTTCATAAGGTCTACTTTAAATTGGAGGTCTTGATCCAAATTATTCTCTTCTTCCATCAAATCCTTATCTTCCTTCTATCATTGTATTTCCTTAATATCTTTCATCACCAAATGTTCTATTAAATCCTCCTCTTCCATCTAATCCTTCTCTATTCTCTACTCTTCCATCCTAAATATTTCTACCATCTGAAAATTTCCTTTAATTCATTCCTTATCTTACATCTTAAAATCTATCTTGACCATAACCACCTCTTTCCTCCAATTAATTTCTCTATCCTAATCTACCTTCATATTGGTATTTTCCTTCTTATCCTTATCTAAATCCTTATTATGGCAATCTTTCATTATTATAACCTTGATAGTACTATCGATTATCTGGATGTAATCTTTAATCAACATCAAATCTTCCTTCTGGAACTGGACCAAATCTTGCTTAATAAGGAGATCTGCCTTCAAAATCACGTCTGTCTGGTATTTCAGGTCTATCTAATCTTTTTTCAAATTCAACACGTTCAGGTCTTCTATCATATTCAACTCTATCTGGTCTCTTTTCAAATTCACTCCTATCTGGTCTCTTTTCAAATTCAACTCTATCTGGTCTCCTTTCAAATTCAACCCTTTCAGGTCTTCTTTCATATTCTACCCTATCAGGTCTTTTTTCAAATTCTACACGATCCGGTCTTCTATCGAATGGTGTTCTTTAATCCTAAAATTATTATCTAGTCTCATATGGATTCATATTTCTCCTTTCTTCATAAGGAATTGGAATTCTTCTATGATCATCTATAGGTGGTTTAACATCATATTATTATTATTATTATTATTATGTTTTTGGTTCTACATAAGGATTTTAGGGATAGAATTATTAATTAAATCTTGGATGTTATTAGATTAAATCATCAAATCCTCTTCTTTCTATCATTCTTCCTTCAATAGGTGTTTTAGATCCTTCTTATGGTCTTTTAATTTAATTTTATTATCTCTATGAATATTCTTAAGATTTAGAAGTATTATTTCTTTAATCCAATAGATTTTATTCAATTGCACTTCTTTATCCAAATTCTCTTTTATCTAATACTTTATTATGTTATTCTTATAAATCATGATAATCAGATTTTCTAACATAATCAGATGCTCTTATCATTCTATCGAATCTTTCTGGTTATTCTTATTATCCTCCAACTGTTCTTATTCTATCTTAATCATATCTTAATCTATCGACTTATAGATCAATAGGTTTATCATAAGAACTTATTTATTTGGATGTATTTCTTAAATCCTATTCTGGATACATTCTTCTGTATTCAGGTAATTGAAATTCTCGTTTGTTTTCTGATTATTATTATTGTTATTAAATATCTCTACAATAATTATCTTATCTTGTTTATGGTGTTTAACCATTTAAATTTGATCTTGGATCAAGAGGTGTTCTAGATCCTATGAGATCTCTCTTTTAATTCTCAAGATTCATATATGGACTTGCAATCTCTCTTTCATTCATTTATCGTAAATCTTACTTATAATTTACTTAATCTAAAGGCTTTCTTTAATCTCCTTCTTAATATGTACGAATGAATGGTTTCCCTTATTCAGTATTATTATATAGAGATTGCTTTAAATATGGATTATTATTTGAAATTATTTTTGATTACTCTCCTCCTTAACGATTCTAATCATATTAATTTGATGAATATCCAACCTATCTTTCATAACCCTTCAATGAATATATACTACCATTCTAATCTAAAGGATTTGAATTCTCTTTCTTTATATTCACTTCACTTTAAGGTGATACCATTTTCCTTGTTTAATAATCTAATTATCCATTTACTTTTTCATTTGATCTTAATCCTCTTTCCTCCATTACCCTTTTTGAATATAACTTTTATTAATCTGTTAAATTAAAAATTGCTGTTAATAAACTATATATAATCGATGTTATTTTAGACTTTTTAACATATCACTTTTAAACACATTAATACTTCAAAAGATCTAAAAGACATATTGACATAATTTAAATTATTCAATTAATGAATTATTAGAATTCAATCCAAAGAACACCTAAAGCACTCTAAATATAAATTGTAAAATATACCATCACATTTAATTATCATAGCCATCATCCCCACCTATTCTAAGAACATAATTAAGTCCTAATCAATTTTCTTCACCAAAAAGAATTATACCTGTAACAGAAATTATACGTATCATTCCAAATGATCTACCCTCAACACCTTAATTAAATCCACTCTAAAAACCTGATATTACTGTCCCAGAACTTAAAAATTTTCTAGATGACCTATTGAAAAGATATGATAAATTAGTCATAGATCTTTAAAACTCAACTCAAAATTAAATTAAATTACAAAATGAACTCACCAATCTTCAAAAGGATGCAAACTATAAAATATAAGCAACTAATATTGAAAATTCAATATTATCTGAAACACTCAAAAATAAGAATGAAGAAATCACACTTCTACATTAATTAATAGATAGACTAAAACAATAACATCTTTAAGAAATTTAAGATCTCAAATAAGAAAATCAAAATGTTAGTGCAATATTAACTAATAAATTACAATAAATGAATTCTTTTGCCAAAGATAAATTATCAGAACTTGAATAAACAAAAAGCTTACTTTAATTAAGAGATTAAGAAGTCTTAGAATGGAGAAGCAGAAAAAATAACCCAGATACCAATACTTAAGAATCCAAGTAAGATATTATTTATCAAGTAATATGAAATCCAACATACCCAATTTCAATTAAACATATGATCAAATAATAAATGAAAATTAAAATCTAAAATCACAACTTCAACAAAAACAGAATGAAATTAATGTTCTCAAAAATTAAGTATAAATCTTCTATAAATTTAGTTGCAATAAGGATTATCTAAAAATGATCTATAATTATATGCAGAATTGCAATAAGCCAGAAAAGAAATTCAATATTATTAAGAGTAAATAATGTCTAAATAGAGTAATGACAACTTAGCAGATATTGAAGATCATGAAGAAAAAATATAGATTTTAGAGAGTGAAATTAAGCGATTAAACAAATAGGTTTACATATCTAAAATTATTATAATTAGTTAGCAGATATGAGACATGAATTAGAAAATTACAGAGCTCATTAATCTGAAAATGAGTTTTTAAAGAGTAAATTATCTGATAAATAAAATTAAATAAAAGATCAAAGAATACGAAATGTTTAAAATTGATCATAATTTATTTGTAAACTTATGATACATATATAAATTTATTGAATTTAAGTCTATGGATTAATTAATATCTTCCCTAAATTTGATTTTTCATGATAAAAATTTATAAATATAATAAATAAAAAAAATGTTTGGATTTCCATTTTCTGGTCCATTTGGAGGTTTTTAATAATTTGATGATTCAGAAATGAATGATAATTTTTATGATTAAATTCCTTAATAAAAAGATGTAGATAATAAGGAGTTATATGAAATATTAGAGATCCCTCCTTAATCAGATATAGCTGAAGTTAAATAGGCTTATAAAAAATTAGCCAAAAAATATCATCCAGATCGACCTGGAGGAAGCTAATAAAAATTTTAATTAATACAAAAAGCAAATGAAGTTCTCTCTGATCCAGAGAAAAAAAAAATATATGATAAATAAGGTAAACAAGGATTATTGAGAAAACTAAATGTAAAGAATTAATAATTTAAAAAATGTGATCCTTATAAATTAGAACATAAAATAACATTAAAAGATGTATATCAAGGAGCATATCATAAAACAATTTTAAATAAAATTTAAAAAACATGTGAAAGTTGTTAAGGTTAAGGAGGAAAATAATCTAATGATTGTTAAAGTTGCCGAGGATAAAAATTTATATAAATGCTTGTATAAGTTTAACATGGATTGAATGTAGTACAATAAGCTCCTTGTCCTGATTGTAAAGGGTATAATATTAATACTATTAAAATAGAAAAGGTAAGATTTTTGTAAAAGGAAATGAATGTAAATAATGTAATGGAGAAGGAAGAATAGATGGATAAGTAGAAATAGAAATTCCAATTGAGAAAGGAGTTCCAGATGGATATTGTGTTAAATTATACGGTAAAGGAAACTAGAAAGTAAGCAAATCCTTTTTGATAAAATTTAGCCAGGATTTGAGAGTGGAGATGTTCATGTTTATCTACAAATTGAATAGCATCCTTAATATATGAGAAAGGGAACAGATTTATTCTATTAGAAAACAATTTCACTTAAAGAAGCACTTACAGGAATAAGTTTAGATTTAGAAACTTTAGATGATAAAATTATTAATGTGACAACAACTAAAATTATCAGACCAAATTAAATAATGACAGTTAAAGAAAAAGGATTACCAACATTTAAAGATGAATTGCATTATGGAGATTTACATATTTAATTCAATATTGAATTTCCTTAGTAACTAAATTAAAATATCAAAAATCAAATAGCTTAGGTAATCTTATAATTTTACTTTAAGATTTTACCAGGACCTAATAGTACCATCAAAAATGGAAATGCTTCTAAATTAGAGGAATTTCAGTTAGGTGAATTTGAAAAACAATTAGCTAAATAAGAAGAAAATGAGGAAGATGATCCAAATTAAATATAAGTTGATTGTTCAATATTTTGAATATTTTATATTATAAAATATGTATCAATAAATTAAAGCAAATTCGTTTGATTTTGTAACTGTAAAATTAAACCTGCTATTATAAAATTTTTTGATTTTAACAATATTGAGTCTAATAAATTATCATATCATTGTGATTCTAATTTGAATCCAGATTAGAACAATTAAAAATACATAATCAAAGGGTTTCAAATAAAGAAAGAACTCATTGTATTATTACAGAAAAATAATAAGAAGTGATTCTACATTTAAGTTCAAATATTAATATCTAAAATCAAAAAAAAAGATGAGAATACTTATTTTTATAAATAATGAAAAATTTTAAGTAAATTCTAACTTATATTATTAGAAATACATTAACACAAAGAAAATTTATCAAAAATGAAAGATCAATTAATCAAAATACAAGCTGATGCTTTAAAAAAACAAGAAGAAACTAATACAAATAGATTAAAGTAATGAAGATAAATTAGCTTAATATCTATATTAAATTGAAATTTAATTTAATAATTCTCTTTAATAAAAAAAATTAAATGAATCAAGGTAAACTTTTTCATATTTTAGAAACATTCACTAAATAAAATGATAGAGAGTATAAAAAATAATTGTTTAGATGAGAATTGAAATAAATAGAAGAAAGCTTAAAAAAAATAAATAAGAATTAGGGCAAAAAATTAATTGATTTAAATAAAGAAGGAATATTAAGTAGAATTGCATAAAGAATTTCTGATATTTAAATGGATTGAAAATCGCTGTAAACAAAACAGATGGAATTTGAGAACAAAAATTTTAATTTTTACAATAATCTTATGATAAATTAAAGTAAAATTTATTTCTATAGATAGATTAAAGTATAATAGAGATGAATGTCAAATATTAATAAAAGAGAAATCTTTTAACATAAATAATGAAATATCAAAAAAGAAAAATGAAAACTTTCAAAGAAAAAATGAATTTGAGTAAGAGTTGAATCAACAAATAGAAAATAATAAAAAAATAGATAGATTTCTCTCTGGTTCTTAAAAATCACACCATTCATAAGTTTTTATTCCTCATACTTGCTTGTCTACAATATTTAAAATCACATAAACGAAATCAATATAAAATAGAGATTGCCATTTATTCTTCAAATAATAATACCCTATATTTGCAAATATCAACACGCACTTAGGTTTTAGAATACTTAAAGGCATGTGCAGTAAGAAGCAAATAAAATCAAAGTGACAAAAATATTATAAATCCAAAGTAATGAACTTAATGGTAAAGAGTTTACAAATTCTGTTTCTAAAATATAATCAAGAGGAATTTATGAAATTTCAAAATTTATAATTGACCTCTCTCAGAATCTTCAAGATGTTTAATATAATCTATATAGATACTAGTTTAAAAAATATAATTATTATGTTAACTAATTCACTACTAAATTATAAATTCACTATCAAAAGACTAATCCAATCTCAGTAAAAATTAAAAATAGCTTCTAATAATTATGTTATTTTAATCACTTAATATTCTAATAGCATTCATTGATAGGATGATTTTGTAAACAATTATTTAAGCATCATTTAGGTTAATTGCCATATTCAAAATAAATTAATATAAATTTTTGGTTCATTTTCGATTCCTAAAGTTAATAAATTAAGTTGTATGTTCTAATGATTTTTTTATAGAAGATCATTATTAATCATGCATTTCTATTCTATAATAAAATTAAATCAAAATTTCCGAATTCAGAATTATTAGAAACGAAAAGGCAACTCATTTATTTAATTATTTTAAAATTATTTTTGTAGATAAGAATAAATTATATTTTTCTTTTAATTACATTATTATGATATTTTATTTCTTTATCAAAATTTTTCTGTTAGTATTAACAGTTTATTTATTAGACTTAAAAAAATAAATGATATCCCTTCTTTAATTAAAATGCTCATCGTTTGTAATTATTCATTAATAGTTAATTACTGGGTTTATAATGTATTAATTTTATGATTGATTGTCAATAATATTAATATGTAAGAACATATAACTTTAACTATTGATTAACTTACTAATCTTCTTTCAAATAGTGAACAAACTTTAAATTGGAATAGTATAAATTCTCTCTCAGATAAAAGTTAAACTCGTTTTAGATAAAATGTGCCAAAAATTGTCTCTTTTGTTGACATTGAAGAATTTCAAGAAACTTCTATATCAAGTGGACTTTAAAATTCTAATAATCAATCAATTATAGATAAAATTCAAGAGTTAGAGGAGGAAAATAAACAACTAAAAGAAAGCTTAAAATTTTATGAAAAAAAAGAATATAATTGGAAAAATTAAATGAATGACTACTAGTTAGAGCATATACAATTAAAGCGATAAAACTAATTACTTTAAGACAGATTAAATTCTATAATATAATCAAAAGAATAGTTAAGCAAATTTAAAAAATAAACCGAATCTTAAAGATGTAATTTAGCATCGC